CCGCATGAGCTGCGTGCAAAGGTTGCAGTGGCAGTGGGCGCAGATGTCCGCGAGTGCATGGGTCGTGAAGTGGACGAGGAAGCCTTGCAAGCCAAGAGCCGTGAGCTCAGCCATGGGAGACAGGCGGTGCCAGTTCGGGACGTTCGGGTGGCCACGAGCGTGGCCTTCGATTTGGCTCCCCTGCTCGAGTGGGTGTATAAGGACCGGACAGGCGCCTTCGGCCTCATCCTCGCACGCGGTGAGCCCAGCAGAGTGTTCACGACGCAGGTCAAAGATACCTTTAACTGGGCGCTCTTTGTTTTGGCAAAGCTCGAGGGGCAGGGTATACAAGTATACGGAGACCGTGGACCCCAAACACGGGCAAAAGGGCGCGGCAAGGGGAAGGAAGCAGGAAAGGGCAAAGAAGCAGGAAAAGGCAAAGGAAAAGGTAAGAAGGGAAAGAAAGGAAAAGGACGCGGCCAAAGACGTGATGCGGAGGAGTGAGGCGGGCTTTTTCCGAGCCGATTTTTCGGGGGGCCCAGGGATCATGGTTGCCCCAGGTAAGACCCATTTCAGAGGTACGTCCTCGGGTCTAGGTCGGAGCCCACTTTGGGGTACGTCCCCGGGCTCCTAGGTCGGGCAACCTAAATCCGTTGGGCCTCGCCGGTTCCCCTGTAAGGCGCAAGGGCTACTAATTACCCCGGTTCCTTTGGGGTGGCTCCCCCCCTAATCAGAATGGATATTAAATTCGGGGTATTTCCTCTAATACCACATGAACACTATTGGGATCTGCTCTTTTTTTTTTTGGATAGGGTGTCCCCTCCCCACCTAGGAAACCCAGTTCATGTCCGGGTAACTTTCCGGGATCGATCCGACGCGCCGTGCTCATGCGGTCTACTTGCAACTCGGATAGGAACCATGCGAGCCACCTTCGTCGCGCTACATCATCATCATCATCATCATCATCATCTCCGTTGGGACCACAGGCCACCAGTGCGAGAGTGCACACAGAGGGGGAGAGCCAACCCCACCAGAGCCACAGCGGAAGGCAGACAGAGCGGGGGAGGCCAGGACGGCCTCAGGTGGGAGGGGACTTCTCCAGGGTGCCACCGGCCCCGGAAGCCCCTCCACCGAGGAAGAGGAGCGGACCCAGCCAGAAGGGCGGAAGCATCCCTTTCCCCCGCACCCACCGAGGCAGTGGGAAGACCCCCCAGAGAGACCCAGAGGTGAGGATCCGCCCGGCAAGGGGCGTTCCAAGGGCGGGAAGAACCGCCAGGGCAAGCAGCAAGCCCAGGGACAGATGACGGGAGGGTCAGACAAAGGACACACGGAATCCCTAGGGGGGGCAAGCCCCACCTTCCCATGGATGCAGGACATCCCGGAAAGACTGAGGCTCAGACTAAGGTGGACGCCACGTCCAGTGCCGGAGTCGTCAAAGCCGTCCCTCATCCTGCTGTACGCTGGGAAGGATGATGCGGGGGCTTTGGATGCTTACCTCCATGCCTACAACCCGGCCTTCTCGGAGTACATTTGGGCGGTGGACATCAGGCGAAAGGGTGGAGACCTTGGGCAGGACATGCTGGGAGATGAGCCTTACTCTACGATGTGCTCCATGGCCATGGCGGGCAAGGTCGCTTTTGTGGGGGGCGGCCCCAACTGCAGGACGTGGAGCATCCTAAACCGGGTGGCCCGCCGCTGGTGAGGGGCAGAGCGGAGCAGACCCTGTGGGGCTTAGAGGACCTGGAGCCCCGGGTTATGGAGGACACGGACAATGACAGCGTGCTCATGCTCCGACAGATGTACCTGACCTCGCTGGCCTACAAGGGGCTAGGTCAGCTAACGGTCCCGCAGGTGGGTGGCAATGGACCCAATGGAGTGCAGCAAGAGCCCGAGCGCAGCGAGGTGCTCATCGATCTGGGTCACACGGGCCTACATTCAATGGGCGAACGCACTCCACCACTCCCTCATCAAGTTTGACGAGTGCCGCCTGGGCCAGGTGGTAGTGAAGTCCACGACATTGTCAACGGACCTTCCCCTTCACCATTGGCATGATCTGCGTGCAACCACGGGGCTCACCCCAGGGGGGAAAAGCTCAACTCCAGTGACCTCAGCCGGTACCCAGAGCAGATGATGCAGGGTCTCGCAGCGGCCATCCTTTGCCGAGCGGGACCCGTCCTGGAGGCGCTGAGGCCGGGGGGCACGGTGCCCCAGGCGAACCCAACGACCCCCCCGAGGCGGCAGAGGGAACCTTCTCCCAGCACGCCGGGGGACAACAAGCGCCAGTCCTGGAGGTTGAAGGCTGGCCAACAAGCGTTGGCGGGACTAACCTTGGGCTCACTTCCGGTCTCGGCCTCGGACAATCCGGAGGTCCGGACACCGACACAGAGGACTGGCGAGACGGACGAACTTCGGGGGGGAACTTTTTCACCTGAGCCATGGGCACACCATGGCATGGAAATCTCGGATCGGCCCACCATCCTGCCGATCACGCACGACCCAAATCTCTCCGGCAAGGTCATGTACCTCCAGATGGCCTTCAAACAGCGCCCCCTAAGGGACGGAGGGGGAAAGCCCTCGTTGGGACGGCTGGCCCCATGGACTCGGCCACTGTCCAAAGCAGCAGCGATGGGGGCCAAGATCTGTGTCCTCACTTCGCCATGGGGGGACAAGCTCCAGGAGTCGCTCTCGTTGGGGGACGGGTCACATCCCTTCCCGGAGGACCTGCTGGAGGATATCAGGGAAATTCTGGCGCCGGGGGCAGGCCGACCAGCTGACGGCCAACCCTTCTTCCTGGACATCTTGCACAGCGTGGCGCTGAACATTCAGGACCCCGACCACCAGCAGTTTCCCCGGGATCTGGAGCAAGGGGTCCCACTGCGGGTCACGGACCCACCCCTGACCTCGCCGGGCATCTGGCCACTCAAGAAGGAGCTGAAAGGGGAGGAGCCGGAGTTCCAGGAACTCCCTCACCCAACGGGCAGGGGTAACTACCCCTCGGCGGATCACTTCAGCGAGCTCATCCGGGGCACATTCCTGGAGGAGGTCCCCATGGGCATGGTAGAGGGCCCCTTCACTAAGGTGGAGGCAGCATCGCGCTGTGGCTGCAAAATTGAGGACCTTTGTCCCGGCCCCCTAGCGGGCATCGACGAGGGGGACAAGATCCGCACCATCTACGATGGCTCGGTGGGCGGGGCCAATGACACCATCCGGAACCAGACGGTGGAAAGGACGACGGCTCCGACTGTGCTGGATGGGGTACAAGCTCTTCATTGGCTACATGCGGCAGCTGCGGAGGGACCCCCCTCTCAGGGTGCCCCTGGCCCCGAGAGGGAGGTCGTCAAACCTCCACCTGGGGGCTGGCTATGGCCGGAGCCGGGCACCAGGTGGGTGCTGCTGAAGGCGGATGTCACCAAGGCCCACCGGAGAGTACAGGTCCTCAGGAAGGACTGGCGGTTCCAGGTGGCCTCACTGGGGGAAGAATGGTGGGTGAACAAGGTAGGCACATATGGCATGGCCAGTGCCCAATCCTACTGGGGACGCCTGGCAGCCCTTCTACTCAGGGTCCTCTATGCACTTTTCCCTCAAGTGGATTGGAACTTCGTCTTTGTCGATGACTTCCTGTGGCTGCTTCGAAGCGAGGGGGCAGTAAACTTGGCGGTGGCGCTGCTGGCAACACTCCTGGCCTTGGGCACCCCGCTTAGCTGGAAGAAGACGCATTTGGCGGAGGTTAACACGTGGCTGGGTTTCGTGGTCCACCCGAACATCCCGCAGGTTCTCATGGCCGCCAACAAACACATCCTGGTTATGGAGGTTTTGCAGACCATGGTGGAAGGGCAGGCGACGCACTCAAAGGACATCGAGAAGGCCCTGGGTCGCATCCAATGGGCGACTGCTGCATGTCCGCTGGCAAAGTCGATGCTCCAGCCACTTTGGGCCTGGAAGATGGCCACCACCACGGTGGGGAAACCCCCCAAACTGATCAGGATGCTGGCGTTCATGCTGCGGTTCCTCTGCAACACGCCCTTCGTCCAGTACTCCCCTTACTTGCCGAAGTCCTCTTGGTGGGGTTGCAGCGATGCTAGCGCCTCGGACGAAGGACTGGCATTTGTGGGAGGTTGGTGCTCCAACAGAGTGGAGCCGGAAAAGAAGGAGGTGTACTGGTTCCACGAGCAGATCCACGTGGAAGAGTACCCTTGGGCATTCAAGAATGGGGATCCCAAGCGGAGGATTGCGGCTCTGGAAATGCTGGGCACGCTCTTCCTCTGTAACATGATCCTCACGCACCAAGGCCCTCTGTCCTCCCGGGTCCGACTCCCGGTGGGCAGTGACAATCAGGGCAACGTCATGGCGATGCTCAACCTTGGATCCAAGAAGCCCTACACGGCGGCGATCCTGATGGAGCTGGTCTTCCTGCTCCACACCCATGGCTGCTCGCTGGCGGCCAACCACGTGCCCCGAGAATTCAATCAATGGGCTGATGAGCTGACGCACCCAGATTTCTCTGGGTTCGACCCTTTGCACAGGGTCCCCAAACAGGAACTCTGCGAGGAGTTCGTTTTTCTCCCGCGTCTCCTGAATGGAGATGCATTTGATCTTAGCGTGGGCCCACCCATGCTCCCGTGACCGGAGCCGGTGGGTGACTCACTTCCCCTGGTGGCAGACCCCCCTGTGGCCTGGGTGCCCCGGGCCCCGGCTCAGGGGCGGGCGCTATCAGTCTGCACACCCGTTCTTCAGTTTTTGAGATTGTGAGTTGGGTGGCCCATGGGGCCCACCCAGCCTTTGACATCTGACAGGGGAAGATGAGTCCCTGGCACCAACACACTGCTCGGATAAAAGAGTTATCGCGTGCTTGTGTGTGGTGCCGTTTGGTTAGCTTGCATACACTCTAGGTTGTGCAGCTTACAGAATACCCTACCTCCCACTACTGTAGCACCCGTGAGAGGGCACCTGGAAGATAAGTTTCCTTTTTGAGGTGCCATGTTTGTGGGTGGGAGGGAATTTGTAGAGAATCTTGAGCTCAGGCTGCACAACAGCGACATTGGCTTTGGAGAGAGGCGCGTGTGCACGTGATGGCCGCTTGCGCATGGGGGCTGACGGGTTTTTTGGAGTGCTTCACTTCGGCTTGCGGATGCCAAACAACTCCAGGAGTATGTGCCAGCATGCAGGCCCTCCCCCACACCAAGATGGTACTTGCTGCTGGGGTGCTAGTTGTTGCGTGCTTTTTTTGATGGGAGCAGGGCGTTTTGTGAATTGGCCAAGTTGTGCGTTTCTGTCCAGCTGCGGCTGCGGTGGCTACTGCATATGGATTGTCAGATGGCAGTGTCGATCCAGACATGGAAAGCAAAAGGGCCCCCAAAAAGGCCTCGAACCATTGAAGTGGTTGCTTTGGTTGATGTCATTTTAACCCAGTTTCTTGGTTGTAAAGGGAGTGTAAGATTCGGACACGGGCGATGTCTTGCTGAAGCTTTAGCGTGTTGTTTGGTTAGGGCCCGGAAACCGGCTGGGGAATTGCGCGCCCCTTTGCAGGTTAAGAAGCCCAAGGGCCCAGGTTGCTTTGCAAAAGCTGGCTGCTCGAAAGCCCATAATTTGCACGAGGGCATCGTTTTTGTTCTCAAGATCCCGCAGTCGGCAGTCGGTGGGGATGTGTGGTTTCGGAATTTGCACCACTGGCGTTTGTGAAACCACCAGGAACCTCTAAGACACCAATTGAAACCACCCTAGGTCCCCCAGTAGTGCCTTCTCTCCCCTTTTTTGGGGGGAAGGTTCCATAGACGTCTTGAAAAAGAATCGGGTTCCCTTCTTCTAACCTCTCAAATCTGGAGGACCTAGCACGAACTGGAGGTTCGCCTAGCTCTTCGAGCCACAGAGGCTCTACGCGAGCTTCGGGCCCCTGCTGAAGCAGGTGAAAGTGAGGGGCACTTTGGAGAAGCTCTCATGCAGGCGCGGGGCCCTTATTTTGGGGCCGAACTGGGACGTAGAAACCAGACAAGACACCCACCATAGCCCATCAAGTATATATTTAACCCCCCGGTTTATAGCTACCCTCAGCTCCACGGCGTTCCCTTCCAGGGGTTTGAAGTGGATCCCTTCACCTGTCCAAACAGATGAACAACACCTCACTGTTCTTTGTGTTGCTTTTTTGTTGTTTAAATGTCTTGTAGCTTCTTGGTTCTGTTTCATGCTGAGTGGGCTGCAAGAAACAGTTGGTTGCTATACCCAGGTTTTGTGGTTCAAGCTGCCCTTGTGACTGGCTCTTTGGAGCAACTATTCTCAGGTAACTCCTGATTGCTCCTTTTGGGAGTAAATGGGGACAAAACCCTAAGCTCCAAACCACAAATCCAAACCACCAACTAGCGGGAAGCTCATCAAGGTCATCAACGCCATTCGTTGGCGTTCCTAGTTCCAAAGCGATGGCGAGAGAAGCACAGCCATTGTTTGAGGGAAGCGCGCACGCATCATTTCGCTCGGGCATTTTTGAAAGGCTGAAAGAGGGGCCAGTACCATTGCAGCTTCTGACTGGCAATAGCTACTGTGGATGGACGAAATCCTACACTGCTTTGAAACTATGGCAAACCTTTGTTTGTTGGCATTTGCGGGGGAATCGCCATTTCAGGGTTTCTTAGGTGACGCAGGGTTTTGTCCATCCACAGTAGTATTTACTTTCAGGAGCCATGAAGCATCAACCTTCCCTTGCTATGGCTCTAAACCAGCATCGACCGAAACTTGAAGCCATAACCAAGCCAAAGGCTGATAAGTGAATGAAAACCCAATATTAGCGCACCATTGGTTGATGTTGATTGGGCGGTTTTATGGGTGTCCCATACAAGAAAGGGGACCCGACAGCGGTTTGGTGAACGGATAATCCACCGATTCCCGAGACTGAGGTCATTTTGACAGCCTCTGGGCTCAAGTCACAAACCGGGGGTGGTTTCAACCTGCAACTTGGGGGGGGTGACTTTGATGCTGGTAGAGTAATTGGGGCCAGATAGATTGGCCTTGATCTGCCAGGTCGTCGCTGTATTCCTGGAACAAGTCTGCGGCTGCCTCAGTGTTTTGCTTCATCAGCTGTATTTTTGGATGGGGGGGTGGATGATGGTGGCTGTTTCCATCCCCACGCCTAGGCTTTGACTCCATTCTAACTTTTGAACCTTTCGGCTCATGGGCGAAAATCAGTCGAGGTTCAACCGCCTGGCTCCCCTGCCTTTCAGCTTACCTTCTGCGATCGGCTTAGCCTCGGGTGTTGCGAGGCTTGCCAATCCCCCGAAGTCGGCTGCGTCCCTAAGGGGTTGGGCACTGTGACTAACGGTGCGTGGCTGGGACACAGCGGATGCGCGAAACCAGTGCTACAAGCCTTACAGCCTCTCACCTTTCAGCTGGTTTAAACATGGACTTGTGGCCCACTCATACGGTTTTCTTCTGGGTGATGTTGGAAGGGAACTATAGTTGGATCCCGTTAAGCAGAGAAGTGCACCCCCAAAAGCTTGGTGGTTGCCAGCCGTCCCTTAGTTTTTTTTCAATTTAGTGGTAGTTTCCATTCAGCATACTAAACGCTAAAGTTTCAACAGGGAAATTGAGGACTGCCTAGAATAGTGTTCTTGTTTTGGACCCTCCCACCAAGGAACATGGAACCTGACACGGACCCGGTCCCTTTTAATGGAACATGGTTCAAAATTGGACCCCGCGAACATCAGGTAGTGTAACCTTTTGCTGTTTTCGGGGGCAGCTGCTTACCTTTGATGGGACCCCTTGGGGTTTTTGTAGGGGTTAATTCCTTGTCCATTCTTTTCAACCATTGTTCTTTTCGAACACCAGCCGTTTTCCCCGGGTTTGTGGAGGTTTTCTAGAACCCACAACCTCCCGATTGATTTAGGGCCTTCAAATAACCTGGTTTTGAGATCCATTGAAAGCCGAAGCCAGGAGCCTCTGGGAAACATCCGGATCCCTGGAACAAATGGGCATGAAGGGTACCCCTCGAACATACCCCTGGAAGCATACCCCTAGGACACACCCCCAGGCATCTTCCAGAAGCTACCCCTCGAAAATCGCCGGCCGCGCCCTTCAGGTTTCGGAGGAGGATGCCCGCGCCAACGAAGTGCCCAAGCAGCTCATGGCCCCTCAGAGTCGCAAGACGTCGGTGCTCTCACTACCCGGTGGAGGGTTCCCACGAGAGAAGAAGAAAAGCGAAGACAAGCCAAATTGACGAAAGCAAATCGACCCTTTTGATCTGACCTTGGGGTTTTCCTTTGGGTCTATTCCGAGTCGTGGCCCAAATGCTGATCACCTTTCATGTCCAGTTTTTTTTTGGCGAGTTATGCTGCCGGATCTAAGCAGGCCCCCTTGTTGAATTTGAGAGCTGGGGGCGTCACATAGGGAACACACCCGACGAATAGGACAGGTTTACTCATCCGGGAAACCCTGCTGAGGCACGTGGCGATGTCTCAGCCCACCCCCTAAAGCATCTGCATGTTTAAAATGTTTCCCTACAACTACCAACCAAAAGGGGTCCCGGGTCCCCCATGTTGAGACGCTGCGTTGCCACGAAACCCAGGACAGGGACACCCCCATATTTATAAATAGGGGTTCATTAAGTAGTCCTGTGAATGGGGTGTTCGTTTCCGAGTGAGGCACCCACTTGAAAGATTGGGACGTGACCAATCACCGAAAGGATGGCTTTATGCCATCTCCCTCCAAAAGTGTCTTTGACAAGCCAGCATAGTCACTTTGAAAGCCATGCAAAATACAGTTGGAAATGCAATGGATGGTTCAATTGCCGCCCCAAATGCACCCGTCCTTGGGGCCGGTTCTGAGAAACCTGAACAGGGATACAAGGAATGGAAACATGGACCAAACGGATGGACCGCACAACTGGACCAACGTGAGCATTCCTAAAGCTACGGCTGGCCGGCCTGCCGGTCTATGGGCTGATGGCAAGTGCTTGCCCTTAGATCTGGTTCCTCAAGCACTAGGCAAGAAAGGAACGGGGACCATGTAATTATCATGCTGCATATTATATATATATATATATATATATATGTGTGTGTGTGTTGTTCTTACGGGTTCTCCTTTTGGGGAGTACTTTAAATGGACAACGCAAAGAACCCCCGATCAAAGACAAGGAGTTTGTCTCACCAAGGCCCAAAGCGAACCGAGCGGATCTGACCGTGGGATCCCTCCATTTCCTTATTTGGAACCTCCAAAAGTGGCAGTTTCAATGGAAATCACTGGTAGATTGCCACTTTGGAAGGGGAACATCCAGTAAACCCCCTGTTTTAGCCAAGGTTCACACATGTGATCAAGGTCCCGAAGGGGTAAGTGAGTGATGCGTCCGCGTTTCCTAGTCCTAGAAACCGGGGAGCAGGCTTGCTGTAAAGCTGGCTGCTTGTCCGTGCCAAATCAACGCTCCAGACGCAGACCAGCGGGGGATGCTGTGGACGGGCGAAATCCGTTCGCACCACTTTGAAACCATGGTTGAAGCCATTGTTTGTTGGAATTTACGGGACAATCATCATTCCAGAGTCTCTTTTGTGGTGCAGGAGCTCGTCCATCCACAGGTCATTTGATTTTCCAGACCTCTATATTTACCTGTCTTTCGAATTGGCATCTATTTTCGGGTAAGATCAAACGATTCAAGCCCGGGGCCTTGCAAGTGAGCAGATCTACAGCCCTGAGCCGCAAAACATGGACGCAAACGGAGGATCCCAAAGTGACCCGCCGCTTGGCGGTTGTTGCGGACACAAACCCGGCTTGGTGGTTTTTCAGGGCTTTCCTCAAGTCAATAAGGGTGGTGGGTATCAACTTCTTGCGAGTTGGGAAATCAGATAGTGTCCAGTCACCGGGTTGTTTGTTTGTCTGTCTGTCCGTCCGTCCGTGCGTCTGCCTGCCTGCCTGCCTGCCTGCCTGCCTGCCTGCCTGCCTGCCTGCCTGGCTGGCTGGCTGGCTGGCTGTCTGTCTGTCTGTCTGTCTGTCTGTCTGTCTGTCGGTCTGTCTGTCTGTCTGTCTGTCTGTCTGTCTGTCTGTCTGTCTGTCTGTCTGTCTGTCCGTGTGTCTCTTTGTCTGTCCGTCCGTCCGTTTGTCTGTCTGTCTGTCTGTCTGTTTGTCTGTCTGTCTGTCTGTCTGTCTGTCTGTCTGTCTGTCTGTCTGTCTGTTTGTCTCTTTGCCTGTCCGTCCGTCCGTCCGTCCGTCTGTCTGTCTGCCTGTCTGTCTGTCTGTCTTTCTGTCTGTCGGTTTACTTATCCGTCTGTTTGTTTGTTTGTTTGTTTGTTTGTTCATTTGCTCCAGCCCCTTCGACGATCCCAAGAACACCCCGATCGCCAGAGGCCCTCAAGGGCTTGGAGCGATTGCGGGCCGCGCGGGAGAACACACACTTCCCGAAGGCGCCGGTTGGGTTGGGTCCCGACGGAATTCGCATGTAACGAGATTCGAGATTGGTGTGTTTGCGCACAGGTACAACTAAGAGCCATCAACCCGAAAAGCAAGCAAGTTATGTGTCTCAATTTGGAGGTCCCTTTTCTTGCGGGTCGGCAGGGAATGAGCAATGGAATGGCCCCCGCAGACCATCCCCTGTGGTTTCCTTTAGTGGGAATCCCTAAGTTCATAACCCAACACCCGGAGGTCATTCCCTACTGACCACCAGCAAGTTTTGGATTGGTTTGGATATTTAAACCCTTGGCTCTTGCAATTAGAGGGTGAATGGGAAACCACCCCCGGGCCCCCCTTCAGGAAAGAGCTAAGCATTGATGACCTTGGGGGAGCGGGTCCCGTTGACAATCCCTTAAAGGCCCCTGAAGAGATACATCTGCGCCACTAGAAATATCATCTTGACAAGCTGATTAGAGGATTCCCTTACAAAGCATGTTGTTTTTGTTGGATGCATCCATTCAGAAACTCAGCTTCCCGCTTGGTTTGGTGGTTTGGAAAGTAGGGGGTGGGAAACCCATTCACCCTTTCAAATCCAAATCCAACCCAATCCAAACCAACAAGCGGCGACCTGTATCATCAATTATGTTTTTGCACGTCTTGCATGTTCGGGTTGTTTCCAGGTTTGATTTGGTGTGTTGGTCTCACTCCCCAAGTTCATGGACTTCATACTTTTTGGTAAGACCCAAATTCGGGTTTGTTTGGGCCATCCGCTCAGGAAGTGAGTGGTTTGAAGTGATGGTTGATGGAGAGCCGGCCTACTTGTTCCGAGGTGACCGCTCCTGCAATGATACCGAGCTTCGCACGTTGCTTGTGACTTGAAGTGGAGCAGGCAATGCAGTGTCTAGTTTTGCTTGAGGCCTAGGTCCAATCATTAAACCAAACCAGGCCCCCTTGAGACAGCGGGGCGCAGTTGGACTCCCTCTAGGCCTCAAGGGTGTGTTGTTCGTTCCCTGTCCTTTTGGGCAAGACAGGTTATGACCCACAGGGGCAAGGCTCCTGTTTTCTGGGTTTTCTTCAAGCCGCGTTCTTAGCATGTTTTGCAATGTTTGGAAGTCCACCTCAGAAAGGCCTCTTGTAAATTTCGGCAGTTCTGCTTTGTGCGTTGTTTCGGTGATGTTTGTTTTATACGCAAGCCGAACAACGCAGACTTACACCACTGCAAACTAACATGGTCCCAGGGAGCATTTCTGAAAGCAGATTCCCCAACAACAATCATTTTTGTGGTCTCATCCGAATTCACAGAGCAAGGCAACAACACAGAGAGAGAGAGAGAGAGCGAGCCGCGCACATGTGCAAACACTAGTTCTCAAAACCCCTTAACAAGGAGGAGCTCCCTGGATGTGGGTCCGTATTCAGGCACAGGTCCACCTTTGCTTAAGGCTTTGGCCTTTTGCGGCCCCAAGCAAAGTCGAAGCCGCAAAAGTCACAACACCAACACGTTTTGGGCCCTCAACATCGACGAACTCGGAAGGCGCCGGAGATCCGGCAGCTGCAGTTGCTGTATGGCGCGGAATGCGGTTCGGTGAGAAATCCCCGGGCGGAAAGCGCTTGGGTTCCCTAGAGCTCATTCGGGGTTTGGGAAACAAAAGATCCCTTTCCCTTCCTCCAAAGGATTTCTTTAAAAATATATAGTTCGGGCGACCTGTGGTTTTTCCGGGTAAGCAGGCCCGTGCTTCGAAGAAAACCTACACTAGATTGCTTCTCCTTTTTGTCTCACTTGATTGGAGTGGGGGATACCTTCAAACTCGACGGCAACAAAGGGTGCCCCTTAATTATTTCCCATGGCTACCATAGGTCTGGGTTGAAAGGGCGCAGGAACGAAAGAGGTTACTGTGGAGGCGATTTCTCCATGTGCGTATGTGTTTGCTTAGATTCTTCAAAGACTCTTTGGAAGGCTAATTTCACTGCAAGTTAGCTTTGATGGAGTGATGTTGAACCGAGAAAATTCTAAAGCCCTGGTTGTCACTGGTATGTCAGCACGACGTTTATGTGGGCATATTCTTCTTTGGCCCTCGGACGCTTACGCCCTGCGCTTGGAGATATCTTTGGCGGGGGATGGAATCAGATGCCCGGACCCGCAAGGAGGGGCTTACGTGGCTCGTTCCCTTTTTGCTCGCACCTTGTCAGCCAAGCTGAAACACAACATGTCCTTTCAGGCTTGGAATAGATGGCAGCTTCGGTTTGGTTCCAATCATTCACCGCCAAAGAACGGATTCACTTTGCTTCCTGTGAAGTGCCAAGGCTCAATTGTTTGCCCCGCCAGGGTCTTCAGAGCAGCTCTGAAGCCGGGGTTCAAAACAAAGATACCCGATTGAATTGGCGCAACTGGGCAACTTGAAGATAGGATCAAACCAACGAAGGGTGGCTCGATAGTTCCGAATCGCAGCATCTCTGGTTCTTTTTGGACTGCCCCCCTTTGTCGACATGGGCGCTAAGAGGGGAGGTTTTCCCCGGGTCCACTCACTCCATGAGTTCCTGGACTTACCTTTTGGGTTTGGAGCATGTGGCAGACTCTTTCAGTGAGCCATCCACTCCTTTGTGAGTCAAGCGTCCAACCACGAGAGCTTCAGCGGAACGGGCGTCGTTCGCGTCGGCCAGGCGCATACATCAGCGATCAAGAGCTGGAGGCGGGACCCATGTTCATCCGGTCTATAACCCCCCTCACCTAGGTCGTACGTTGGAAAATACACTTCAAGGTTCGACCAACCAACCAAACAAGCAAGCAAGCAACAAACCAAGCAAAGCAAGCAAGCAACCAAGCAACCAAGCAACAAACAAAGCAAGCAAGCAAACAAGCAAGCAACAAACCAACCAACCAACGAACCAACCAACCAACCGAGTATCGACTTAAGTTTCTAGTGCATCGGGGTTGAGCCAAGCCTTGGAACATGTTGAAAGCATGGCTGAATCCAGAGGCCCGGTGGTTGTCAACCCCGCGCTGGTTAGCGCCTGCCAGAGAGGTAAGTGCTTGCAGCTTCCAAGGAACACCTTTTGAGAGTTTGTCCCAGCACTTGACGTCTCTATTGCGTGATCCCAGCAAGAAGGAAGTACCGCACCAAGTCTGGAACCGATTCGGAGGCAGCAAAGCTACAAAGGCCCGGTGTGTGTAAGAGGACGTTTGGTTGAAACCACGGGTCTCCAATCAGGATCCATGTCAACGTGAGGGTGAGGCCGTCACTGGTTGCCATAGGTTTGTTTGAAATGGGCATCCCACTTTGGCAACACGGGCTTGCTCGGCCTTGCTCACAAGTTCAATGGCATTTTATTCAAAATCAACAAGCAGACAGAGGGCGCACCTGTTTTGCCCGTAAGCCACTGGGCAAGTATGAAAAGGTTCCATGTCTTTGTGACGCGCACACACAAAGCGACATTCCTATCGAGAGAACGAAAGTCGCGCTCGACTTTCACTGTTTTCGGGCAACAGTGTGCTTGCCTGCCTTTCCCTAGAAAGGAGACACGGGCAAAATCCACTGGGCATGGGACAGCATTTGCAAACGAACCACGCAAAAGGTCATCACCTTTTGGGATGTTGTGACCAAAATTGTTGCTCACGTGTGCTATGGTTAAACTTCTTGCACGGGTCAAGGATAAGTTCCCTTCGTGGGAATATCTTTGTATTGTCTAAAGCCGCTATTAAAAGGTTGATGACCATCCTCGTTTCTGGTCGGTGCGCCTTGGGGCAATAGGCGTTGGAAGCGGTGGATTTGCTTCCACTCAGAGTACCGGCGGGCTGACAGTCGCATGTTAAAAAGCATTGCAACTGCTTTGTACATGGAAGGAATGAAGTTAGGATTGGCCAACTGGACAGGTGCAAGTCTACTTGTACATGTTCAAATGTGAGCCAACACGGGCACACAAATGGTATGTGTAATTATATGGATATACATATATATATATATATATATGTATAGATTTGTGTGTGTATTTGATATTTATGCACGCTCTCGCTACACATGATATGCACAAGTTCAAGGTGCATGCCCCCCTTTTGTGCCACTTGACTTTCCGTTCGCGTTCCGTTTTCGTGCAGAAAGCTGCCAGGGCTATCCGGCACAGGAGGCCATTAAGGCGCTGAAATCAATCCGTGCGAGGGTCCGTTTCGGACTGAAGTCACTTTCTAGGTCCCCCAGCTAGGTGCCCTTTTGCCCATTCTTTTTTGGTTGGGAGGGTTCCCCTACTAAAATAGACTACAGAAAAGTTGGTACCCTTATTTCAAGCCTCTCTACTGGAGGACCTAGTTTTTTGGGTTTGGACCATTTTAGTGGCCAATAACAAGTGGCTTTTTGGACGAATCCACTCGGGAAGTGAGTAAAAGGAGACACCCCGGCAGTGGCAACATCGCGTACCTTCCACCAGTTGCCGGCTTCCTTCTGGCTTAATTACAGAGGTGAACAGGCGAACTTGATTCCCAAAGCACAAGGCAAAGTCGACCTGCACCCCGTGAACCCCCCTGCCTTGTTGGTCTTGGTTAGCCTCATGCCTGCCATGCCGAGAAAAAAGGGCAAAGTGATCCCCTAACCCTTACCGGGTCTTTGGCCTGGTTTGTAGATGCTTGCAGGGTCCCCCCAAGTCTTCATTGACCCCTCGCAAAGGGTTCCAATTCTTTTTCTACCTGGGTCCCAGGTTGCAACTGGGCCTGTGTCGCGAATCCAGAAAGAGGAGACTCATCTGGATGAATAAACCCGTTCCATGAATGAGGGAGTTCCCCTCCAAAAGCAATGGCTCACTTGTCTTTTCAAGCTGACTGTTTGTCCTTCTTGCCGAAGAAACGCCCCAACAGCAACCCAGAAGGAGATACAGTGAATGGACAACATCCTGCACCACTTGGCACGGATGAAACCCGAGAATCTGTCCGTCCATAGGTCATGGCTGATTGACCCGGCAACCCCATTCCCATTCAAACCACTTGCAAAGCCATCCGGGTGCATGGCTGCGCGGGAAAAAAGAAAGTGAGGTGAAGCCTAAGAAGAGCGAGAAGGACGCCAAAGGCGTCTCCGCGTTTGGAGTGGAGCGGGGTTTGGCCGCCTTTACTAGGTTAACTATTGTCACTGTTCTTTGCAGGGCTTACGATTTCTAGTGGTCTGGTTCTGTTCATTTGCGAGAATACCAAGGTTTTGGGAAGTTGCAAATTAAGTGTGTCCTTTTTCAGGGTACCGGTTGGAGTGGTTCGAAGGAAGACCACAAGAAACGATCACTTAGAAAAGCCCAAATAGGGTATAAACCTCCTAAGCGGGGTGGAATATGGGCGAAGGGGAGGGTGAAGGGAATTGAGTGAGGCGGCAAAAGGAGTGATGAAGCACAGTTCTCAAGGAATTAAGGTGACGAGACTTTGGTTCCAGTGACAGGTGAGGTCATAAAGTTTGCAGTGGCCTACCCCCGTATCTTCAGACAATGGTGCCTGCCATAGCTTTGCAAGTGCCCCCAAGAAGACTTTACACAGGATTGCTCAGTTGGACACCAGACCGCAAGGATTGGCCACTTGCTATGGTTTTTTCAGATGGGTATTGGGTAATGTCCAATATTTGTTGGCGGACATTTTGTGGGGTACTCATTTCAGTTGGTTGCTGCCCCAAATGGACCTTGAGGCCTGACGGGTTTTCCCAGGGGTGCCTTGGGGAAGGGAGTGGGCTTGGCTCTCACGGGCAGATAGCGAGCTTATCTGGTAAGCGCAGACCCATGACGGATTTGTGAATAGTACGTTTCTCGACTCTTGTCCGAAGCCTGAGAAAAGCAACACACCTATTTGTTTTGTTCAAGGTAGCTTGCCCAATTTCAGAGCCGCTGCCACATCTATATCAACCTGTCGATCCTCTCGTTTTTGGTTGGGGGTCAGGGGGAGTGTGAACTTGCTTGCAACCTCCCATGGGCTTTGGGATGAGTTTGACATGTCAGCGACTCAGGGTTCCTCCTCCTTTTTCCCCAAAAGATCTTAATCCAGTTTTTGGATACACTCACAGCCCCATATTTCATCTTCTGGATTTTTGATTGTCTACGTCCTAGTTCTTTGATTAGGCGCGCTTAGGTTTCAGACGCGTCAAGAAAGCACCTGCAATCACCGCCTTCCGATCAAACCGAATCTGCCCCCCGGCTTTTTCCGAAGCGATCTTTTGATCTGACCCATTGGTTGTCCTATTTCGGTTTGTGTGATGGCCAAGAAAGGTTAGATGAGGTTTTTTCCGGGTCCCCAGGCGGCAAGTAACCCCCCCTCATCCGCTGTTTCCCTTTGGCCAAGCAAAAGCCAGGAGAGTCACAGTCAAAACACGGGTAGATGAAGGTTAGTAAGGGGCAGTCCCAGCCGGAAATATTGGCGGCTGCCTTTTCAATTCCTTGCATGGTTCTGGGTTCACCATGTTCACCATTTTTGCACCAGGTTTTGATTATGACTCAGGAGAGGTTTCAAAGTTACAAGGCTATAGTTCATGTTGGAGGGGCTCGGAGGAACTCCCTCCGCCTCTGGACCTTCTGCCAATACTTTGGGGTCAATCGACCTCTTTTCATATGCCTGCTTCACACTACGAAGTTAGCTTGACTTTTTCGCAACCTGGGACTCGCAAAATGCTGATTTCCCACAATCTACTTAGGAACGCGCCTTGGTTCATGGTTTTGTACCTGGAACTCCCGTCAAAAATGGTTACCCATATTCTACTTAGGGACGCACCTGTTGTCCATGCCCCCTTGGGAAAACCAAGCCTCATCATTTTGACCGCTCAGGCGAGAAGCAACTGACCACGCGGCTGGACCACACTGCCACGCAGAAGGGCGTGCTGGAAGAGGCAGCTCGTCGATCTGGGGTCGCGGGGTGTCTTCCTTTTAGCCAACGGTTTTTCTCCCGTATCCCCCCACCCCCTTAAAACTGGAATTGGGGAGAGGGGTGACTTGGCAGGGGGGTCCGCCTGGCCGGGGGGGGGGGGGAACTCAACATAAGAGTAACACAAGGGGATCCCCACAATCATAGTTCTTCTTTGGTTTCCCTTTGGAAAAGGGTTCCCCCACAAAGCAACACCCACAGTTCATGGTTGTTGTTGGGAAACATTTTACATTTTTGCTTATTGTGGTTTAGTGGGAATCCCCACTTAACTGCTATTTTTTTTGTTTTGCTCCCCTTCCAATATCAACCAAACTCGGGAAATGGATGGGCGCTGGCACTTCAGCCATGGATCCCGATTCGCGCTGGCACTTCTTGCCAGTGAGGTGCTTTTGATTGGAAATTGAATTGACCGGTGACGAGGTGCGTGTGTATGCACATATGCATTTAACGCTGTTTTATCACTCATGTTGCACCATCCCCACCTTAAAGATGGAGTTGGAGCCTCCTTTCGACTCATTGAATCACTGTACGGGGCACCTTACGCTGCATGCAATTGGAAGCCACCAGGGTTTCTTGGCGTTTGGTCCATTTGCTGTGCTCAAGGACGTTCAGAGAGGTTTTGCCTTTGCTTGATTTCAAGCCTAGTCACTAGCTGCAACATTCGTTGTGTTGCGCCTTTCTTCTATTCGTGTATCTACAGTTGTTGGTCCCTTCCTTGTTTCAGCTTGTTGGAACTAGCTCACCCATGAAGGTCCCTGAGCCGGGGTCATTGGATGTCCCCTTGAAAAGTTGCCACTTTCGGTTCCAGTGAAGCTGCCACTTTCGGAGGTCCGCAAGTACAAGATGTGGACTGCACTGTCAAAGGGCAAGGCTTCGACCTTCGGCTTTTGCAAAGCTTGGCAACTATCTTTGACACCCCAAGAACGCTGACCACGTCTCATTTCCGGGCTTCTTAGGTTCGGGGTTCGGGGGGGGCAACTCATTTGCCGGAACACTTGCCCCAGCTTCATACCGCCAACTCAAAAAGTGCCCATGTCAATCCGCCGCATTTGCCGGTACTCTAAGCGGTGGTTGCGGAACGCAGGCGCTGCTCGGCGGCCAAACGATCGGCGGCCAAACCATTGGACGCCAAGGCGCGCAGGGCCGGCGCGCGGGTTTTTGGTGGCCTTAATCTGGCCAAGCCTGGGTTGACGTTGGGGAGCATGTTGCATCTTTGTCCTGAACTCGAAACAAATATTTCTATCCTAGGTTTGGGGATAGGTGCAACATATGTCTATCCCAGGTTTGGGGATAGAAGGTTGAAGTGTGCGGGTCTTGCAGTCCAGCCTCTAGGCAGATACTCCTACTGCAACCCAGCCCTGGAAACCGGGAAAGGAATCCTGCAAGCACCCGTCAGGCCAAGAAGCAGCAAGCCCAGCAGACTTGGAGGAAATTCCTGGACTTGCACCTAGCATGAGCTCGGCCAAACAAAAGGCGTCGGCTTAGAATCTTCTTGCATAGTTTGCTGTACCTTCCCAGCAATTGACATGGAATCTGTCAGGGGGCATCCTGGAACACCATTTTCCTTTTAAAGGGACCGGGTCCCTGTCAGCATCCATGTTAATTTGTAGGGGGGAGTATTAGTTGGTCCTTCCTTTCAACAACCCCTTTAAATCCAACAACTTGCAGGTTTGTTCCAACCGGAATTCGAGTTGGTGAACTTCAAACTGTGTCTGGGTGCTAAGTTGCCCATTTTTTTCTTTTTCTTTTTTAAAGGGGACAGCGAAAGATGGTATGGGTAAGTGTTTTTGCCAGACCGAGTCTCGGGCCGCTGTTGAGCACTCGCTAAAGCAGAGATGGTACCCGCTGAGCGCTCTTGTCGGCTTACATGTCTGGCATGTAGCCCGAGGCGCAACAAGCCCTCACCATTCACACATGTTCGTACCATTTTACCGCCTTGGTTTGCTCGCACGTTACGAAAATGATTCGAGGCTCAAGGCACGACAATTTGATAGCTGCTGTCGACCAGGCACATCAGGTGAGGGTTGGTTGAGATTTCCTTCGAAGAATGTTCAGAGCGTGTGAGCGGAACATGGCGGTAAAAGGGGTCCCTTAAACAGTCTGAGGGGCTCTCAAAATAACATTCGGGTTCACTGTAAATCATGTTTTAGAGTGCAATTTGAGGATGTCACCCAGGTGCATTCCTACTTTGTTTGCCATTTGGCGGACGCGAGTTGGCAGGCACTATGCGCAAGGCGACGCTGAAGATGCCATTGAATCAAACGTGGCTCCGGCGTGCTTTGAAACCCCCAGATGCCCAGTGGTGCCGGTTTCTTCATTTTGGTGGGGGACAACCTCTTGTTGGGGTACCTGGTCTTCAAGTGAGGTGGTGTTCTTCACCGTTCTATTCATTGGTATTGCCTTCTTGTGTGGCTTCTTCTTTTTCCGTGACCACAAAGAAACCTTGCTTCCTTGCTTCCTTGCTTACATGCCAATAGGCCAATAGGCCTTGGGAATTTCGAAGGTTCGTTTAGGTGAATCCCACTTATTTTTTTGGGGGCCGGCATGTCATGGGTCGGTTTCCTCTCAAGGGAGGCGAAAGAAGTCCCCGAGTGAGCTTCGGGCCCTATCGCCCAGCTGAACCCATGGGGCCCAAGAGCTTTCTTTAATGCCGTTGCATGTCAGCTAGGTGCAGATGTGTTGACCATCAGATGTGTTGATTCAAGTTGTTTTTTTTGTTCGGGCATAGATGTTGTAGTTTTTTCCCGCCGTGGTCTACGCGCTTTCACTTGAGGTTGGTAGGGATGGTTATGCTTGCTTTTGGTGTCCCTTTGGCGCTTTCCTAGTTTCTAAAGACACAACTGGCTGGCTATGAACTGTACTGGGGAACATCCTCAAAGAGAACTGGCGAGCGTAAAAGCCGTTGTACATGATGTCCCACAGAGGGGTTTGCATCCACACTGGCTTCCATTTTACTTTGCACGCTGAATGACGCCGCAAGGTCCCTGATTTTCATGCCGCAGGCTACCCGCGGTGTGATACCAATTGGCATGCAGGATCCCAGGTTGGTATTATAGAGCGGGCATCGCTGATTCCACCCGATTTTGTTGAAAACTGGCCCGTGGCTTCCTTCGGCAACATAAGGCCCTGGGTAAGATCTTTGAGATAGCCTGACTTGCTTCCGAGAATCGTTGGCGGAAGAGTAGGCGGCGGGCGGTAGGGTGCGTGGATATGTGACTGGCACGCTTCTGGCACGCCCGCCGTCCTGCTCAAGACAGCAGTCCGGAATTCAAGACGAGCAGTTGTTGCGAAGTTTGCTTAGCATCATTAAGGCAACCATAATGATTCATTCTGCAGGGCGAACCAAAGCGGGATGCTGTTCGTTTGTTTAATGTTGAAAGTACCTCTTCAAAGCTGGTTTGGAGGTGGATTTATTTTTGCCACCTTTCAAGGGCGATTTTGAGAGTGTTACCAGGGCCAGCTTGCACGAGGCATTGCGACGTGTAGCACTTCGGCACACGAGCACAGAACAATCACTTTTCCAAATGGACCGGATCTGCCCCTTTTTGGTTTTCCGAGTTTGACTACCATGTTGCTTATTAGCACCAAGCATGTGAATTCATGCAATTGTCAGGTCCTATGGTTGCAAGTGAACCTATTTGTGAAAACCAGGAGCCCTCGATGGAATTGATTCAAATCCTTTTCAAGACCCAGCGTCACTCATGTTGAATTCCAAAACGACCCACTGCCACTCGTGCCAAATACTTGTTTGTGCCAGTGTCCCATGTTCTCTCCATTTGTGCCCACCCCACGATCTTTTTGTGCCATCAGGAGCCCTTCTGCCGGGGTTGTTCCTTTTTGATTTTCTGCTCGTTCCGCAATGGCTGGGGAACCCGATCGCTGCGCCGCATGTGGGAAGAAGGAGAACCTGAAGCGCTGTACAGCTTGCAAGCGCCTTGTCAGGAACAAACTCCGCCCAAAGCCAATCGAAGCTCTATTTGTGGCTCCTATTTGGGTATGGGTCAAAATTAAACCACCACAGGACCGCAGGTTTTAGCTCTTGTTTCCATTTACCAGGGTTCCATTTTGGGTACTTGTTCTTATCCACACCCATTCGTTGTTTTTTGTTTTGAAGTAGCTCTCCCCCCGACCGCAAACTGTTTCTTCAGGCCATTCGAAGGCCATACAACTAAGTAAAAGCCGTCCGATGACCACTCGTGCCAAGTCGTGAAGCATGGTTGCATGCAACTTCTGTATTTGACTTTAGATTCTGAAGGAGCCAAGGAGCCAGGGATGATACACATCCATAGATTAAATGGGGAGCTCAAGAGCTGACATCTCATCCCCGTCCACATAAGAAGGAACATTTTTTAGATACACCCCCGTTTTTGTTTCCTAAGCTTGCAACTTTGTCGCTACACTTTTTTTCGAGCATGTGGCGGCCTGGTTGAGGCAAGTCCTCTTCTCAAGAGCTCAATTTAACATGAAAGAGGTTATATAGTTTCACCCCCCAGCCACCAGCCAAAAGCAGGGGAAGAGTTGAGTTGATTTCCTCTGGCAAAGTGCCCAGCCGAGGCAAGTCTTCTACTGCGGCATCGAGTGCCAAAAGAAGGACCTGGCACGTCACCGGAAGGAGGACGCCTGCGGCAAGCGCCCAGAGCGATCCGAAGTCCCAGCAGCGCCAGTTGCTACTGGGCGCAAGAAAAAGCGAGGGTCCCATAGAGGAGTCTGTAGTCATTTCGGAGATGCGAGCATATGCTTAGACTTTTTGGAAACAAGCGTAAACCTAGAAAAGGCGATCAAACAAATGAGCCATACGCAAAGCCCTGGTACCCTCCCACCAATTAACATGGGACCGTTCGACGTTCGGGGGGTCTGGGTTGGACCATGTTCCTTTCTAAGGGACCCCGTGTCAGGTTCCATGTTGGCTGGTGGTAGGGTAAATGAAGGTTGATGAATAAGCGACAGTCCCAGCCAGAAAAAAGTGCGGCCTAAGTTCCTTGCATTGGGTTGGGGCGCTTTCAATGCCCGCTTTTCAATAGCCCACTTTTGAGTATGATTCATGTGTGTGTGTATGTGTCATTATTCTTTTGGGGGGTGCAGATGTATACAAATGTTGGTTTGCTTTTTGTGCCCCTTTTTCAGGCAAACCTTGGGAGACACCTGAAATTCTGAAGGAGAATCCCTGAAAGAGGAAATAACTACGCAAAACTGAGGGACCCGACCCGTGCCCGGAGAAGCGCATGTCAACAACCAATGGCCCAAACAAGTTGTCCAATACTGATGCAAACGATGGATTCCCCAAATATTGCAAGTTGGACTTGATGGTTCTTGTAGAAACCAAAGGGCTCCAAACCGCCCGTTGTGAGGGAGGCTGATACTTTGGCCTTCGACAGGCGCCCAAACTTTCGAAGAGGTTTCCCGGTGAGACTTTTCGGTTCTCAAGATAATATGGGAAAATCGAAAACGGCTGGTTTCCCGTTGGCTTTCCCTGGAAACACAATCCGAGAAAGAGGTTCCCGAAAAAGACAACCACTTTGGGCCCTGAAAATTGCTTCTGTGTCCTTTTGGCTTCCGCTCGTTCGGTATTGGAGCAACCCACGCAAGCAGACTGTTTGGAAGATTATTGTGCACTCCGTGTTTTTCTCTCAAGGGACTTGCCCTCCCATCCACTGACATATTCCTTTGAGATGAGCTTTCTTTTGGTGGGTTTCATGTCAATTAGTGGCTGAGATGGCAAGTCCCCTGGAAAGAAAATGAACACATCCAAAGTGATAGAGTCCCTAAAAACAGGCAACCAACAGGTGGAAAGAAAGAAACACTATGACAAACCACCACCATGAGTGATATAGTTCCCCTTCAAACCAGAGGAACATAAGACATACTGTGGACGAAATCCACTTCGCACCACTTTGAAACCACTCTGGAAACCAAGGTTCGGTGGTATTTACAGGGGATTTTTGTTCATTCCGTTGGGTTTCTTGGGTGCGAAATGGATTTCCTCCACCGTTCCTCTTCACCACCTGCCTCCCCTCCATCCACCGTATGCTCCTCTTCACCACCTGAGACTCCGAAGCCTCCGAAGCCTCCGGCTCCCAGGTGGCCACTGAAGCCGCGTACCCCACACCGGCGAAGCCGAAGCCGAAGCCCGTGACGTCCCAGAGCCCCCCCTGCCAGCGCTGCGGCCACGGGGCGGATGGCGCCTTTGCGGAGGTGGCCGCAAGGACCCATCCGTTGGGGAAAAAACTTAATTAAGCCCAACTAGCTTTGCCAGCCCCAACATGATCTTAACTTTTTTCGGGGGGGGAGTGTTGGTGGGTGGGGTTCCCCACTTGGTGACTTCCGGGTCATGGGAGAAATTCCGTGGTATGGAAAGCAGTTGTGAAGCGTGGTTGGTCCCTCACACGGGGAACGGGGGGGGGTGGGGGCAGTTTTCCTTGGGGCGATTGGGGGAGACCGTTCCACAAGAAAACGATGGTCATCGTGGCGGCCGGCGGGGTTCCTCGGGGCGATTCTTTTTTTTTGAAAAGGGGGGCTCTTGAAAATACCTTGTCGTGAAGTGCTTGTTTTTCGCTTTTGGGGATACCTAGTCTGTTTTTGCCCGTCATTTGTTAATTGTGCGTTCCCCAAGAAAGGCGATTTGTTAAAGGTTGCGTTCCCAGAAACCGAGTGATCGTGAAGTGCTGTTGGTTCTTTTTTTATCATTTGTTGTTTATTATTATGTTTATTATTCATTTGTATTGTTTTGTTTGGTAGTTTGGGTTCCACCACGATAGCCGGACTTAGCGTGCGCATGGGATTCGCTATCTCTTGCAAACAGTTCGCATTTGGTTCATGAAGCATTGCCAAACTTCAGTCGCCTGTTTGAACCTTTTGCCTTCTTGGCTTTCCTTCCCTCGTTTCCCATGTATGGAGGTCATAGGCCTTTGTAATGTTGACCCCGGCGGGACGGGGTGTTGCCTCCAAAAAGTCATGACACTAACCAACCTGGTGATATTTAATTTGAGGTTTCCAACTCTTTAAATCCACTACCAAGAAAAGGCTGTCCTTTTTTTCCCATGGAAACCTACCGGAAGTTCCAACAAAGAAGCAAGAGTGACAAACCTAGCTAGTTGGACGTTCTTCTCACTTACCCAAAGCCGACCTTTTGATCTTTCAGTTTCCCCTATTGGGTCCATGCGTCGTCATGCCCCAAAGAGTGATCACCTTTTGTTCCAGGTTGTTTGGGCAAGTGACTACTTGATTCTCCTTCGAAACTGCTTGCCCCTCTTCCTACCTTTCAAAAATAAACACATTTCTCCTGGAAAGTTCTCGCGCAAAACAAAAGCGACACACCTGGCTGCTAGCTGGCTGCTAGCTGGTAGGAGCATCTTCGGATCCCGGGACTGCAAGCACGGGCCCTACTGCCACACCTGCGCGCAGAAGTTGTCCAACATCACGCTGGCCTTCTGCTCTGGCTGCCACTCGCCTGAGAGGTTCATCCAGGGTTCCACGTTTTGATCTGCCCCCCCCAAAAAAAAGACTTCAACCAGGGGGGTTCTCCTTTTGGGGGGCATGAGCCACCCCTGGGTTGCAGTCTACCCTTGGGTAGTCAAGAAGTATCAAGAAGTAGAAGCCTGGATCAATGAGCACCGGGCTGCCAGGGTTAGAGTCGGTGTGCGTCATGTTTTTGAGGGTTCCCTTTTCTCACTCCCTGAGTTCGTGGACTTGATACTTGTTGGAAGGACCATTTTGGCGGGAAACAACCAGTTTGGACTTGCTTTGGCCCATTCACTCAGGAAGTGAGAATTCGAGGTGGGTTGGAGCTCCCTCCTGTTTTGGGTTCCGGTTCCTTGCCCACTTTCACGCGGGGAACCTTTGGATAGGCGTCCTCTGACTTTTTTTGGCATCCGCGGGTTGTGCATTGCCACGGGCAGCACCCGAGTTGATGGACTTCAAGTTTTTTGGGAAGACCATTCTAGTGGTAAACAACAAGTTCTTGCCAATCCACTCAGGAAGTGTCCCTTCGAATGTGGACGTTGGTTGTACATTTGTCCGGCGTGATATCTCCACGTGGAGGTCGAAGGCTCAAACAGGCGGAACCATTTCACAAAATGGCTTGTTACCTTTTGATTGCTGAGATCGATTTAGAGGTTTCAGCTCCAACTTGTAGCAAGCTAGGAGGAGAGCGGGCAAGCACACTCAAGGGAAAGAAAGTATGTGGCTTAATTCCCCGTTTGCCGGTAAGTGAAGGGATAACTTTATTAACAAATTTAAGGTAATTGTGCCGAGCACTTGCCAACCGTATGTGCCAGATCCGCAGTGTTCTAGAAACAAGCATGTTTTTTGAGCTGTGCAGCGGCACCCGTTGCTTTTTTTCTCCCGTTTTGATTGATGGCTTCCCTAGAAATCCTGAACCCCCAAAAAGGGTTCCGAGACCCAACGGGCTGTTTGCAACTGGGAACTGGCTTCGTTTTATCCGAGGCAACGCGCTGATTCAGAAGATGCTCCTGGGTGATGGCAGGGCCTTCAGAAGTCTCTCGCTCGACTGTTCGCAAAAACGCGGGAAACAACTGCTCCTGGTTTCATAAGGGTCCTGAGTTTTGGCACGGAGGGCGGCTGCTCAAGTGAGGTTCGGGCAACTTCTGAAAGTACTTGGATGGCCCTTTCTGGATGAGTCAAGCGTCACTTGTTAGGCCAGTTTGGGACGAGTTGGGATCATGTTGGAATTGGACGGAGTTTTGAATGAGGTTGAGTCAGTGATTTCGTGTATGTTTGCCCGCGTGTGGGAGACGAGCTATATGTTCTCTGTGTCTTGCAGCGGGGCCCAACAAAATGGGTGGGTTCCCTCCGGTTTTGTTGGTTTCTCAAACCAATCCATAAAGGAGAGCCGAAAAAAAGATATCTCAAACAAGTTTTGGCTATTCAAAAAAAGAATATCCAAGAAAGGACCAGGAAGCCAAAATGAGAACCAAGAAATGCCACAAAAAGAGACACTCATCCAAGTTACGACCTCCAACAAGTTCCTGGGTCCTTTGGGCAAGTGGTCTATGAGCGGCAGCTCCCCTGGTTCATACCTGGCACCCTTGCACCCTTGCGAAACCAAGACCACTCTCTGGGGAGAAGGGGTTTGTTTTTTTCCCGGGACCTCCTTCCTGGGTCAAACACCCGCAGCCCCAATCTGCTCGCAAACGATGGATTGAGGCTCACTAGCAGCCAAGACAACGGTACCTGTCCTTTCCCCTTTGTTGGATACTTGTCCCATCAACCAACGGTCTGGATAGACCTGGGCAATCAGACCCAAAGCAGGCACATGACACGCATCTTTGTTTTTTCCCGCGTGTGTGGCTTCCACAACCTCATCTACACCCAATGTGCTTCTCCTCTCAAGGGTTAGAAATGTTCAATGGCTTCGTGGGAGTCATAGTCGTGACGGAAACCTTTCTGGCTAGCCTTTGGTGACCTCAGCCGCTTCTTAAGGACCTTTTTGGAAATGGCGTTCCCATGAAGCTTGCACATGTTGATCCACCTTTTGCTTGGGGATTCATCCGGTAAGCATGTGAGTACCAAAAGTCAATGGGCTTTTGGGGAACTGCCCTGCGGAGTTTCCTAGGCTTTGGGTTCATGTGAACACTTTGTGGATATTTTTTGTGGGTGTGTGCTTTTTGAGGGTGCCCCTTTCTTTGCGTTTTGAAAAGAAAGCCGTTTCAGGGTCCTCCGACAAATGACACGCTCATGTGTTTTTCCTGTTGCGAGCTTACATGGCGCATATCGCATCCACCTTTGGAGGATCTGACTGCGAGCCGCCAGTTGTTCATGGGCACCTTTTCTCCATTCTTGCCTGATGGGTTTCTCAAAACATCGGCACCCCAAGAAATGTGGGTGCATCTTTTGGGCCCACCTTTCTCCAGACAAGTCCTCTGACTCTCTGTTGTTTCAAAGGGCTCCCCGCCCCAAAATAGCAATGTTGAGAGCCCACCCAACACACACTGCTTGTAGTCCGAAATTGAAAGCAAAAGCAACTCGTGCCAAATACCAAACGAAGGCTTTGGGGCGACATGAGGTCAGAGCGAGAAGGTGAACTTAGTGGGCTTGGACTGATGCCGAAGCGAAAAGCAACGCCTCTTCCCAACGCTTCGGCAACACGTGCAGAGGGTTTGAGCGTGGCACGACGCCTTCGACGTTGCAAAGCTTGGAATGTTTTGTTTTTTTTTTGCGGGTTTGCTGGGCTTTTTTCAGGGTGCCAACAGGAAAACCATTTGCTGGGTCCCCGATTTTTCAAGCATATGAGCCATGGTCAAGGCATGCATAACCATATGGTTGCATATCAACAGGGTAAAGTGCATAAAGTAATCAGTCTATCTTCCATATCGCCCTAAAGTAATATAGGAATACTAGCATCCGGATTTGCTGCAATGGGACAATCAAATAGCAGAAAACACCTTGCAGTCGCTCCTTGTTCCGCGACGACTTTCAAGAGATCGCGGTGGGTCGACACCCATGTCCATGACATGTGGCTACACAAACTATTTGCCTCGAATAGCAAATGAAAGGATTGTAAGTTTGAAGGAACCAGGAACACCTGGAAATGTGAGAATAGCACATGTCCAAGAACCCCCCCCCCCCAATGTTTGCTGTGAGCCGTGTGTGACCTGCAGGCAGGGATGGCCTTTGGCCCCTTGTAGGGAGAGTAGTGGTTTGTCTTCAAAAGATGTTATTTCCTTTGGTGTCCCCTCAAGCACTGCCCAGGCATTAAATGTCATTGTCACTATGTTCTTGTCGATGGTTGTTGGGAGGTTCATTTAAGCATACTACTAGGGTTCTTACAACAGGGGGTCCGTTTTCCCTTGAAGAAAAGACGGTAAACTAGGACTACGCAAAGCCAGTGTCACGCGAGTCTGCACCAGCTGCAAGGTTCCTTGCAACGAAGACGTCGGTAGGACACAGAAGTTGTCATACGAGCGGCGACGATCTAGTTGTCGGTGTCACGACCGCTGAAGACGACCGCGGGGTGAAAGAAATGCCAGGCGATCCTCGGAACCTGCGAAAGGTTTTGCTGCGTGACCCTTTTGGCAGTGGCCACGCTAAAGCAGGGAGCAATCCGCACCTCAAATGAGCAACAAACAAGGGTAGACACTTGATATTGGGTTCTGGTGTTTTCCCTTGGGACCCAAGGTTGCTCCCATGTGTCAGGGTTTTCGGAGCACTCCTAAAAAATGTTGTTTGAGGGACCTCAACCACCTCGCGTTGCCCCGAATTTCGATTTGGAGTTATTTGGAGAGTTCAAAACGGGGGCAGCCAAGATGCTCTTTGGGGGACCCAATGACCTATTGACCAAGGTACCCTTTGGGCAGGGAAATTCATGAATACTACTTGTATACATGTCAGGTAGACCAAACGTGAAACAGAATCAGGAAGCCATTTGTGTGTGTAGCCAACATTCGCCAAGTCTTGAGCGGATTCCACGCCAGGAACGCGGGCTATGAGCAGACCACCGACCTGCGGAAGTCCGCAGACATCCCAGTTTGGGTCAAAATGCCACAAGGACTTCAAGGAATCCCTCTAATTTACTTGAGTATGATTGGTTTACTTGCTTTTTTTTGGGGCATCCAGCGTAGTCAGCAGTGAAGTTTGCCTCATGCTCATTTTTTAGCCCATTGTATTGTCTCTCTGTCAGACTTTGGAGGGACATGGAGGGACATGGAGGGACATGGGGGGGGATTCACAAAATGTGCCTCAAAACCAGAGGGACCTGCCAGTTGTCCCCTGTCCATCCATCGAGGGAAGCGGATTTGAACTGTGACTCCCGTGCCCAGTCGAGTTTCGGAGCCAATTGCAGAAAACCGCTTTACCAGTGAAAACGGGAAATCCTGTATATGCCATAGGCTTGAAATGGCTTGAAACAGTTCTCAACCAACATCTCATGTTTGCCATCCCGACCAGTTGGTTTTGCGGGTTCCGTTGCTTTGCCCAATTTCAGCCCTGGCGTCCAAAGGTTGGTTCCTAGCGAGGAAAGGGAAACCCCGTTTCGCACCCACGCTGAGCAGCCAGCTGCTCGGTGAGCAGGCAACCTTCATTTGTTGACTGTTGCTTCTTGATATCCTTCTTCTTATTGCTTCCATTTTGATCCGCCAAAACTCCCTCCAGAGCTCATTCATCAACATGCCAAGGTGCTATGTACTGAATGGGTAAGTCAATGATTATTGTGGATGGACGACATTTGGCACACTCCAAATACCAACGAACAACCATGGTTTGCAAGTGGTACAGAGTTTTGTCCATCGGCTCGGCCGGAGCTCCTGGCCATTGGCCATACATGGAGCGTATGGGAACCCAGGCCAGCCACCTTGAGGGCCTGTACAATTGGGACACGGCCCTGACCACAGCACACACCATAGACATGTATATGCAAAGTATGTCATCATCATTACATGTATATACATATATATATATATTTACTTGATGCATCTCTCGCTCTCTCTCTTTCTATGGGCTAGTTTCTTTTAAGGAAGGACCCAATGATGGGTACACGTTAATAACCTCCCACCGGCAGCATTTCTCAAGCGAGGCGTCCTGCCAGAACTTCTTGAAGACCAACAAGGAGCTGGCGCCGGGCTCGACGATCATTTTCGCGACGATGTTTGATCCACGGAGCGCTTGTGCGGTTGGGATCAAACAAACATGAACCACCAGCATATATGGACATGAGGGAAGTTTTAGGCCTTTCTATGTACCAGGGCAAGTTGGGGGGTACCCTATTTTTGAGCCACGTTGTTTGGGGTCAACGGTGAGGGACTCAATCGGGTTTGCTGTCATTTAAGTCACCCAAACACCCAAGTAGCTGTTCCAAGGGCGCAGGTGTCTCTCACTCCCCTATGATGTTTTGCAGCCAGGTGCCCGGGCTGCATCGATAGATTTTCTTCTTTGGGGGAGAAGGGCGGCAGTGGGCATGTAGGGTGTGTTGGTTACTTGGGGCACAGGCACTCCCAAGTACTTGCCGAGCCTTGGGCCTCGTCAGGTAAAGAAGGGAAGCAGTGAATGGGTTGCTCATTGGTCGGGGTGCCCTCCCAAACTCAAACGTGGAACCTGAAAGGAACCCCTCAGGCAGAACATGTTCCTCTAACAGGGGCCGGCTTTCAGGTTCCATTCTTGTTTTGGGGAGGGTGTCCCCTTGAATATCAGTTGGGAGTTGGGGTTGCTATTGTGGATGTGAAGGAGACCTTTTTGGGTTTGCTTCGCGAGAAGCCATTACAGTTCTTCGCGGGGGGGGGGGGGGGAATTCCACATCTTGCGACAGACCTAGGTAACAGTTTTTCAGTTTTGCTGGAGGACATGTCTGAGGATGTGTGTTTGTTTCCTTGCCATCGCGCATTGACTGGAATCTTGCCTGAATGGCAATGCTAGACCATAAGGAGCTTTGTTGTGGTTATGAAAGGCAAAATGAAGCACGTGTTGGGCCAACGTTGGAAAGGGTCCCTTTTTCAGAAGCCATTGATATCAAACGTTCTGTCACTTTTAGGAATCACTTGGGTGTCATGTTGTTAAAGGGACTTGTTGGGGTTGGCTTAAAGAGTAAGCAAGAGGAAGCCACCTTTTTTTTGGATTCCGCTAATTTGAGACAATCCCATTTCTGGCTTTTGATGGGCCTTCACTATTGCAAGTAAAGAAACCATATTTAACCACAAAGCCATGGCCGTGCCCGAGGTCCGTGTGCAGTCAGATGCGAATGTTCGGCTGCACGCCCCTGTCTCAGAGAATGGCTCGTCGCCTCCATAAAATTTGCTGGTTACCCGCCCCTTTGAGGCAAATAGCCATGTATGTTGCTTTGGCCGGGTATGTGATGCAAGCAAACACTGTTAGGTGAATACCCTGAAGAGGGTGGTGGATGCAAATCCACATGTAAATGAGGTCCACCGAGCAAGCTTGGGAAGCTTCCACATGAGTGATCCAAGGACTCCATTCCAACAGACCTAAGGACATGGAATGGATGAGACGTACACCCGCTGGAATCTCTCGTGTTGGTTTATTTTGCTGGGGATCCACCTCATTTTAGGGGGGCGTTGCACTCCCAACCCGGGGGGGGGGGGATGACACCGTTTGAGTGCCGGCATACGCGCTCAATACTTCCGGCACAATTCTTACCTTCAAAGGCCCTTGAATCAAACCAACGCAGATAGCTTGTGCGAGCAGAGTGTAACATGTCAACGGCGCTTCTGGTGGATTTGAAGGCGTGGCATATTGCAGAGGAAGTCAATGAAAATGTCAAATGCGAACCGGAATATGGGACCTGTCCTGAAATCGGGGAAGAGGCAGTGCTACGTGCCCGACACGGGGAATGGCCTCTCTTTGGTCAGTTCAGTTTGGCTGAACAGGTGGCACTGCTTTGAGTCTGGTTCGGACCAGTTCTTTTGAGAGTGCCATCCATGGTTCGAACAGGTTACCTAGGAAAGTTCTCGCTTTTCTACACGAGGTTTTCGGCCCACCCCTCTATCCAGTTCCGCTTGAGTGGTCGCTTTCCTCTGAGCAAGGTAGCACAGCAACCGCCTGAGGACTTGCTTGGCAAGAAGCGGGAGCGGGAGACGCCCTTCCTGGAGGGAGAGGTGGGGCAGCCCTATGGCGGATGGTCAAAAAATACAAGGGGTTCATACAACGGTAAACGCCATGGTGTTCATCGGGGTTTTATCCATGCCAACAACTGCTGCGCAATGGCACTTTTCAGCAAGTTGGACACCCAGTGATTCGTGATGGTTTGCTGGCTTTACACGCGCACGGATCTGTGAGGTTTGCCCTTGCCGGGGTCACGCAAGGCGACTTGGCCGGGGGGGGGGAGCCAACCACTTTGGAGGTGGTCCCAACTAAAACTCGAAGCCATGCTGGCGGGCTAAAACGAGGTCACCATGAAGATCCCTCGCTTGATCCCTTTTCTCAGGCTGTGGCATTGCAGACTCTGATTCGGTGGCTCCCAGAAGCGGCCCGGTTTTCAGAAGCCCTCGCTTGCTGCAAAAGGTCTACCTCTACTCCTCGCAGAAGCTGAACAGCGCGGAACTTCAGAAGGAGCTCTTTGGACTTGGGCGATCTACAATGCGATTGCTTCCTGTTGTTTCGTGCCACTTCTTGTGCTGGCGGTTTGGCTTTGTGTGAGTTGATTTTCAACTTCTTGCTGTGTTTTTTTGTTGTTCTGGCATTATGTGATGCGCCGTGTAGGAATTGTTTGACAAAGAAGAGATGTTCGTTCGCGCCAGTTGCCACTGGGTTTGAATCGGGCGAACTGGTGACCTCTGACCGGTTTTAGACGGAAAACGCACTCTAGGGTCGGCCATGGTTAAGCACTGACCCTCCCGTGTTTTAGCATAGTTCCTGCACCTAGAGGGTGAAATTTGTCCCTCCTTCCGGGTTTGTCATGTCCCTAGAGGCCGTTTGTTCTTTGTTGTTTGGTCAGGTGTTGGCCAAAAAGCCGTGGATGGCTGCGAAATCCATTGCGGACCACCGTTCGGAATCCCAAGGGAAAGACTCGGTTTCTCAACGTAAATGCCAACAAGCGTATTGGCTTCCCATGGTTTCTTCGGTGGTGCGAAGAGGTTTCGCACCCGTCCGCTGTACCACGACTTTTTTTTCGTGGCCCAGGCCTCAGACCTGAGCAAAGCGAGCATTGCCTGAAGAAATTCGGTTGGGGTGGCGGGGCAACTTACCATTTTTTGTGTTGAACATGGGACAGCAACTAGTGCGCGTGTGTGTGTGTGTGTACTTGTTTAGCCCCATTTGTGTACATACATTGTTTACCACTGGGTGCTATGCCAATAATTGAACTTTTTTGGAAATAGCATCCAACCCTATCTATCTATCTATCTATCTCATCTGATCTAATCTAATCTAATCTAATCTAATCTATCTATCTATGTCGTTTTTCCAGATGAGCTACCGCAACCCGTCTTTCACAGAAGGAACCCTACACCACAAGCCCGGCGAGGACTGGATGCGGAAGCACATGGAGGGCCACGAGTCGGAGAAGGTATGGAGCTACAGCGCGGGCGCCCAGCGAGCGCCCAAAAAGTCAGCTCCAGGGCTCGGGGCTCGGGGCCTCCCATGTTTTGGGGTCGGGGGTTACTGGTTTCGCCGAGTTCCGTGAAACGGACTTGAGACTTTTTGGGTTTGGACCATAGTGGCAGTCCCAGAAAGGTTGGTTGAGCTTATTTGGCCTTTTCGACTCGCTCGAAACTGAGGGGCGCCCGATTTGTTTTGCGCTTGGGGCTACTTTACTGTGCGTTTCCTTTGTGTGGGGTGATGTTTGAGCAACTATGGGAACCCTGCAAAAGGATACATTTGGGCTAGCTTCAACAGGCAGATTTAGAGGATGTATCCTTCTTACTCTTTGTCACACAGTGTTTGGTGGACTCTTTGCACGCTAGAGACCTGACTGGTTGGCCTCGTTCACTTGGGAAGTTACTACATGAATGCCTGTGACTTAGGGCCAATGATAGGGGCGAACTGGCCTCTCAGGACTTTCTTCTTTCGGGTGCCCTTTTCTTTGGGTTGATAGTGTGTGGCTCAAGTTTGAAGAGCCTGACGGCAGCTTTTAGTATTTTACATTGTGTAACAGTGTTAGTCCTCTTCCCATTTGCCAGGGTTCCATTTGAAGCCCTTATTTTTCAGTCAGACCCAAATTCTCATTTTGGTTGATACGAAGGCTCATGTAGGGGGTTATAGTTATAGCTATGTTGATCGGACTAAGTATAAGTCAATGAGTTTTAGGCGCTGCTCGCTTGCACGGATCGACCGGATCTGACTTTTCACGCAGGTGATTGATCCTTGTCCTCTCTGGGTGTACCCGCGGAGAACTGGTACACCCCAAGAGAAAATATCTACCAACTGGACCGGTTTCGTTTTTCCACCAGGGACACTGTGGGATCTGGTTTCGCATGGCTGGCAAAGTGCTTGCGATTGTACCTCTCGCTTGATTGGGTTTCAGTCTTGAAATGAGAGGGACAAATGGTGTGTCTTCGTTCAGGGGACCCCCCCCCCCCAAAAAAAAAAGGGCTTTATTTTTGGTTCCCCTTTAAAGACCAGGCAAAAAATAACGACAACTCCAAAACAGACAGATCCAAACTGGCCGCAATCAGACAGTCTTTCAAAGCCTGGGAGGCCTTTAGGGTGCTTAGACCGGGGGCCCGGCTTCAGGAAACCAGCGGCTTCCATCGCAACGGGCGGTTCGGCGTGGTTTGTTTTTTTGGGTTGTTATTTGGCTGTGGCTCCAAAAACCGGTGCCAAAATGGAAGCCTGGTAAGTGGAAACATGGACCAACACCTGCGGTTTGCCCCTCCCGTTTCATTTTTGGAGCCACAGTTATTTCTTTGTTGATGTTTTTTGTTTTTTTTCCTCGGAGATCTGCGGTTGGCGTCGGGGATTTTTTGTCTTGGCGCCGAGATCCCACGTACATGTCCCAGAACTTCGAGTTCGCCGGCGCGGCGGATCCCGGCGCCCGGCGCCCCGAGGGGTCTGAGAGACGAAGCGCGGTGGGGTGGTTGGGGGGTCTTACTGGCAGCTGCTTAGCTTGACTGCTCTTGGCTTGAATCTTTAGACTCTAACTTTTTGGGAAAAATCAAGAAGTTTTCTCCACGAAACCGAAAAGTGAAGCTTTTTGCAGGGGAGTCAACAGCGAACAAGTCAATGAGCACTTAAGAAGCAGCTAATCAGGTTCAAGGGAAGGGGGGGGGGTGGGTTTGTATCTGGTAAAATGGGCCAGGTCACAGTATGTTTAAAAGCTAAACATTACGGACCTCTGCTTCTTCCCCAAAGACTTGCCCAATCCTTTTGTTTCTTTTCGATTTTGGCTGTGTAGACGAGTTTACAAGCGGGTCCCCTCCAAAAGCAGTCCACACGCACTGACCCGTGGACACGTGGCACACTTCGGAGCCCACTGGCCCTGAACTGCCCTGACTGATCCGAGCTTGGAAATTTGTCTGGGGAGAATATGGGACCTCTGATCCCGAAACTGTTTGGTACTTTTTGGGGCTGAATGTTATACTGTGGACGGGCAAAATCTTGCACAACCGAAGCAACCCTGGAATGATTAGATTCCCCAAGACATACCAACCAATAATGGTTTCAACCATGGTCGCTTAGCTGGTGCGAACTTAGTTCATCCATCCACTGTGTGAAACGACAAACATGTGTACCCCCCGACATGAGCGAAGCAATGCTGGGAATGGTTGACACTGGTCTTCTTTTGCCTTCTTTGGGGCATTGTTTTCTAGGCTTTGGTGTGACTGCAAAGGCCCCGGTGTCCCAGCTTTGGAGTTGCAAGTGGCTTTTCCACACTAAGGGCCGAACTGTTGGTCCCAGTTTCCTTCGGACTTGGTTTGGTGGCTCAGGGGCTTTTGTAAAATATGAAATGGTCAGCCAACCAAGCGGAATGGTGCCTTTTCTGACTACTTCCCCATGAGCTAGCATCATGTTTGACGTAGGCGGTCAAAGGCCACTGTACATCTTGGCACGAGAAATCAAGTCAAGGATTTCAATGGTCCCTTGTCGGACAGAACAGAGATGCAGAGCCCCCCCAGTGGATCCTTCCAAGTAGGGGCGCGTAAATCAGCTTCTATCTCCCTGTCCTTTGAACGGGCAAGCTGCTAGGGATTTCCCAAAAAGAAACCACACCCAAAGGAGCATATGTCAAATTAGTGGGCTTCCAAGATAGGTTGTTTCCCTGTGGTTTAGTTTCTCGTACCAGCCTCAACAGCAGTACCCTCAATTCACTTGTTCAAAACCCGACCTTTTGGCCTTCCATGTTGGCTCATTTCAAGACCAGGTCGCAAAAGTTAATCTTTTATTTTCAGGTCCTTCGGGCAACTGAGCTCAAGAACCGCACCCAAACGAGCGCAGCTTTGCCCGACTGCCCAGGTGCCAAAGACCCTCCCAGCCCGGCCCAATGACAGCTACGCGCGCCTTCCACATGACGACCGCAAGGCGAGCGCGCGCCAGTGACGACATCTTCCCTCCCCCCTCCTGCAGATGATTCTCAAAGCTTGGCGCCGTTGTTGCGGTTGATTGCAGGGAGACGAAGCCACCTTTCGGCTTCCCAATTCGAAACACCCACTTCCGGCTATGTACCCGTATGTTGCGACCTTGGGCACCTCGACGAAGGTACCTTTCTGATTCTTAGGGGTCCCAGAGTTCATATTATGTTTTTTGACAGTTCATATGCTTTCATGGTGGTCTCCCGCTACACAACAACAAATTATCAGTAGCGGTGCCAAAATACATTCAACATTCAGATTATTGTGCTGTCTGGTCCTTTATGAAAAGCTCACCGAGGTGTAAAACGAGCCCCACGTGGCCCCATGGTGAAGGCTTGTTGGTTCCGGTTTTGGAATCACAAAAGGCTCAGCAAAGTGTGGTTCAGGCTGCATGTACTTTCCGTAAATTTACTTGTTTGGGATTGTTTGGTTGTGTATCTGGACCAAAGCCAACAAGCCCGGGTGGTATCCCCAACAGCCCTGGAACCCTTTGGAACCCTGGAGGAGTCCTCAAATGGTCCATATTTATCAGTACCCTCAAGTCACTTGTCAAAAAACCCGGCCTTTTCACCTCCTGGGTTTTCCCAGTTCGCCCCAGAATTTTTCCCCCAGGTCCCAAGAGGCGATCTTTGAAGTCCAGGTCCAAACCGGGGCTTCAGCCCCCCCCACCCCCCCCCGCCCCCCCGCCCCCAACCCCCCCCCCGGCCGCCGCCGCCGCCGCCGCCAGGTCTTCCGCGGCGTCCAGGCCCGGCCCCAGGAGGCCTACCGCAAGCCGCCCAGAGACCTGGGCCCGAGGCCTAAAGCGCGGGGGAGCGGAGCCAGTCCTTGCAGCTGACGTCGCGTTTGTTTTTCTCCAATAAATAAATAAATAAATATATATATATATATATACAGATATATATATATATCTATAGATGTTTGTTGTGGTGCTTGGTCTCTTCTTCTTCTTTCTTTTTTTTTTTTTGGGGGGGGGGGGGGGTTAAAACAACTGAAAACACATGTGTGATTTTTGTTTGGTGGGGGAAGAGTTGGGAAGAAACATCTCGAAAAGACATGGTACGGATGGTATGATTGACCATCAAGCGTGCAGCTGTTAAATCAATATGTGGCCTTGACGTTTTTGTGGTTGCCCAAGGTCTCACAAGCAAACAGCTCAACTTGTGTGGCAATAACTCCACCAAATTGGGGCAGCACCCTCTTCCGCGAAGAGAGGGCGCCGTGATTTATGTTCCCTTGGGGATTGCTTTTGGACGTCTCAGGAGCTGAGTTTTTCCTAGGAATTCACGGATCTGCTGTGCGCAAAATCAGGTGTACATTGTGCTTGAACGGTTCTTATGCCCCTCGTCATCCCCTCGTCCACGACGAGAAGTCCTGTGAGGAAGAGCATTTGCCAGGCTACCCTTAGTTCTTTGTGGCTATTTGGTTGAATCTTTGGACTTGAACTTTTTGGGAAACAGTGGATTTTACATTCAACCCACAAACTGTTTTGGGTAAGTATGCCGCACATGTGTTTGCCAAGATTCTCGGACACAAACAGGGTCCCAACAAACTCTTGGCCTTCTGACACGTACCTGGCATTTTGACACATTATTGTGTCAACTGTGTGATTCTGTTTTCTACGGAAGTTCCCTTGTTTTGTTTACCCTACCTACCATAGGACCCCCCCCCCCGAAAAAACAAGAAAAGCAAACTTGGCCGTGCTGGCTCCCGGCAAGTTCCAGTGGGCATTTTGTGGCGTCAAAATCGGTGACCCAACGAACACCTCTCCGTCTGCTGAGATCCCTCGCGCTGCGAGTTGCTGAATGAGGCGAGGCAAGGGAGCCTCCGGCTTTTTTTTCTTAAGGGTAGCCTTTGGGGTGGGGTTTAAAGGCTAGGTCCCCCAGTAGTGCCTTGTACCATTTTTTGGGGGGAGGGTTTCCCTACTCTACTAACAAAAAGCTGAAATAAGCTCAGGTGATATTTCCAAAAGAATGCCATGCTCTTTTTAGTGCTCGCTCGCACCACCCCGCAGCCCTCGCAGAACCTCGTGGAACCCTTTGTGGAACCCTGGTGGAACCCTCGTGGAACCTTACCTCAGGGCCGCCCCGGACCACCCCGGAGCCTATCTGGGCTGAGACCCCACAGCTTTCAGCTGTTGGGGAAAACGGGTACCCTTATTCTAACCTCTGTACTGGAGGACCTAGAAGGGATTCCGAAAGGACCACCCGCATTTTCGGGGGTCCGCTATGTTGACACCCATTTGCTGAATGTCTTTTTGTTTCTCTTGTCGGCTTTAAGAGGAACCTATCACTGGAATGATTCCCAGGTGGAGCAAAGCGAACGGAGGTTGGCCTTGAAGGCAGGCATTCCACGTTCTGTGACTGTGACGGAGGATTGGATTTCCAAAGCTTCATCCGCCATGACGTACAACTAGAGTCGTCATGTACTTGCAGATGGGTCGATTTCGGGTACAAGCCCATGTCCAAACCCTCTTGCAGTCAGCCTTGTGAGGTGCTCGATGGGTGTTCCCCCCAACGAATTGTTTAGGGTGGTTTAGGGCCACTAGCCATGGAATCGAACTGAAAGACTGCTATTCTGTTTCAACAATGTGTATATACATATATGTATATAGACAGTTCATGCTCTTAGAATTCGGAGATCGAAGACATTAAATTTGCACAAGAACTCAGGAGTATCTCGCTTACCTGACACAATTTGGGCTATCGTCCTTTTGGCTTCTCATTTCGTGTTTGGGCCTTTGCTTGAACAGGTTGTTTTTTCCTAGGCCCAAATTGGGATCTCTTATGATGTGTCATTTGCAGGTTCGGTGTCTGACCAGAATCAAAGGTGCCACTGGGGATGGACAAACTCCACTTCGCACCACTTGGGATGGACGAAACCTTATTACTTGGACCAACCAGCAATCCCATTTGGTGCAGGAATCTCCATCCCTGGATGAAACCCAACGAGTACTAGGATAAACCACAAATCCCAACTGGTTCCCTTCATGTGTTTTGCACACAGTATGCTGGCGGAAGCTCAAAGATGGCAAGGTTTTCCCTTGACGTAAGTCCGAAACTCCTTGGATACCTGTGAACGGTTCCCCTGTCAAACCTCTCTTTGACAATCTGGCACCAACCAGGGCCCGAATCCAACCAGAAGGACGCTCCGAATTCCAACTTCGGGGCCTACCTGGCGGCCCTATAGCTTTAGCTGTTGGTCCCGCTCAACGCCAGGTATCCCTTTTGATATGAGCCCAAAATAGACCAGAAGTTTGGATGTCGGTTTTGGCGACTGAGCTGGCGACTCCCGCTTTCGCGTTTCGCTGCGCCAGCCTTTCGAAGAGGGCGAGTGGTTCCGAATCGCCGGGGGCCCTTTGAGGGGTTGGGGTAGGGTGGAATGAGCTTCGCGCTCTCTTGTGGGCCTTTTGGGCCAGCACTAGTGCATTTCCAGGTCCCGGCCGTCTTGATTTGCCCAGGTTATAAGCCCACGAGTGTTCTGGGTGTGTGCAACCCCTTTCATCACCCAGAGGGCCATGGCAATCCACACGGCGATCGCCTTTTTCTGGCCCGGCTGCAAGCGACTGCCCACCAGTGGAGTTTCCTGCAGGTGGGGTGATGCTGAAAGGAACCATCGAATTAATCTGATTCATGTATAACGAGGCGTGGCCACATCCATTCAGGGGCAATCAAGGTGCTCCTTTTGGTTGCCTATTTTGGAACTTGTTGTTTTTTTGTGTGTTCAAGGTGCTCCTTTTGGTTGCCTATTTTGGAACTTGTTGTTTTTTTGTGTGTTTGTCGCTCCGCTTGTTTGCTTGCCTGCCTGCCTGCCTCTTTGTTTGTCTGTCGGTCTGTCTGTCTGTCCGTCTGTCTGTCTGTCTGACTGTCTGTCTGACTGTCTGTCTGTCTGGCTCTCTCTATTTTAATATTTATTTGTTTGTTTATGTTGTTATTTAGTTATGTTGTTCATGCCTTTAGTGCTACCAGTGTTTGTCTGTTTGCTTGCTTGCTTGCTTGCTTATGTATTGTAGTTTGTTGTTCACGTTTTAGTTTGTGTGTTTTGTTTTTTTTTGCTTATGTGTTTATATGCTTGATCACGATTTTACTTATTTGATTCTTAATCGTGGCATCCATTTGTATATGTCTTCATTTAGATAGTATTTATTGTTGATGATCATGTTATGTATTCATCTGATTTAATTATGTGTGCACGTACTTTTCTCTTTATTCCTTTGTGTCTTTGTTTGTTTGTTTGTTTGTCTGTCTGTCTGTTTGCTTGCTTGCATGCTTGTTTGCGTCCGGTCGCAGGAAAGGACAATTCGCCACAGGTTTACGACGTCCGAAAAGGGCAGTGCTAAGTTGGCTTCCGCTTAGAGGCCGCGCCTGGGAGGTCATTTGTCACAAAGGGGGAGTGTGCGGGGTTGGACGGATGAATCAAAGCCTTGGATGAGATTTTTCTTTGAAACAGGTTCCTGCGATGCTATCACTTGTTGCGCCTGGCAAGGGAAAGAATACGTCTCCCTGAGGTGAGGTAATGCATCTTGTGCCCCAGATAGCTTTGACAGGTGCATACTGAGACCCCTTCCTAGACATTGATGCACGGGGTTCAGCGTTCGTTGCTGACTGGCCTTGGTATCCACATGGTTAGCTCTACCAATCCATAGTAACACAGAAAGAAGGTCCCTGCTAGATTCAATTTGTTTGCCATGAGGCTCCTTGCGGGTCCCATGTACGTTTTTGGCACCCCCACTTAGCTTTTCATTGAGTTCTTTCCTTCCTAGCCCCAGGCTCCGATATCAAAGGCTCATGAACTTGCCTGCCCTTTCCCAACTCACCGCTTTCCCCCGGCTGAAAGCGATGTCCGTCGATTTTCGATCAGCGGAGGATTTGGGTGAAGAGAGGGCCAAGCCTTTGTCGGTGGAGCACACCTTTGAGCTGCACCAGGCCAGTCGTTTGTGATCTTGACTGCTATGGGGGGTTGGATCTTTAGACGTATTTTTTGAGGAAATCATGGGGTTTTCCACTAAACCCCCCCCCCAAAAGTTAACTTTTTGCAGGGTCAACAGCAACCAAGTGATTGGGGTTGTAATTATCCCAGGTTTAGCCCCAAAATCTCTGTCGGGTTCCCTTGTTTAGCAAGTTTCCAGTTGAAACGTCACTCTCGGGACCTGTTTCAAGCAAGTTTGTCAGTGTGGGTCGCTGGAGTTGCTCCACACTGCCATCCAGGGCGCGTTTTCTCACATTCTTTGCAATTTCCCTCCTGCAAGCCTTGAATCCAAAGGCATGTTCAGGTTTGCACTTCTGGAGGCGGGAGTTATACCAGGCATCTTCAAACCTCAGTCTCTTTTCGCAATCCCTGAATTGCTGACAAATCAGAAAGAAGGCATGCCCATTGTGTCAGCAATAAGCGTTTCGAATGCAAACCACATTTCGGAAGCAAGTTACAAACATGCACCAAGAGCAGTGTAGACCTTTCTGGGGCTAAGGGGGGCTCGTCCAAGCCGTGTTGTATGTGTGTGAGGGTACTCTTTTGAGGTTGGTTTCCAGGGAGACCAGAGGGAAAGAAACGCTCATTTCCTTTTTACAAACCCAGTCGACTTGACCCTGACGATGTGCGAAGGTTGGAACATTTCTGGAACGAGACGCGAGTCGGGATGGACTCCTGGGCACCCGAGGAGTGGTTGGCTGGGTTGGAGGCACCGACGCCTCTCAAAAAAAAAAAGGCGAATACCTTTTGGGTATTTGGGTATGTGATTTTCTAGGGGACCCCTCAACCTTGTGGTTTTCCTCTTGAGTCCCCCTAAAAACCACAGCAAAAGGGTACCCTCACCCATGTTTTCTCATGCGCACCCGGGAGCTGGGCTACCCACATCACCAGACGGACCGTTTCACCGCAGGTGCCCCACCACCGGCGCTACACGGACACGCCCTTCGATGCACAGCACATGCTGAAGGGCGAGCAGCACGACTTTGGGCCTAGGTCGCTGAGCCTAGAGGGTCGCGCAACAAAGCAATGACGAGGGAAGAAGCTCTGTTCAGGGAAATGTAAAAAAGGTAAGAACACGTCACTGTTCTGCAAGTGTTTGTTGGTTCTGTTCATTGTTGGTCGACGGGGGGGGGGCTTGCCAGAAAAGCAAAAGAAGATGTTGCTCAGATGCCAAGGGTTGACAAGCAAGACGTTGAGTGCTCTTTATGTTGGGTTTCCCTTTGGCGCCAACCTTGAAATCAAACATGGGGCCGGAAAGGCGGTCTTGTTCGGAAAGTTGAGAGGGTATGGACCACAAGACGGGTCTGAGATCCTCGTTCCGCGGTTTTTAAACCCCACGAAGGACTGAAAGCTAGAAGGAAATGGCCAGAGGACCTCCAGCCTCCAGGCACGGCCCTGAAAGAGGTGCCAGGTTTGTTGGGGATCAAAAAAAGCAATGGATTCCACCCGTGTTCAGTCCCTTTTCGGGATGAACAACCTGAGCTGAGCCCAGAGGTGAAACTGAATTCTGGACATGCCGTGGGTAAAGTTCAGCGCCGCCAAGGTTGAGAAAGGTACGGGCCCTTGAGTTTTTCTGGGATCAGTATACTCTCCTCAACAAGGGTTAGGGACTTGTTTGTTTGTTGTTACTGTTTTGCTCTCTCTTTTTCTTTCTTTTTTTTTGGGGGGAGGGTGTCCCAAAAGGAGTTTCCTATATTTTTGAGTATTTGTTGTCGTGCACCACTGGCGCACGCATGGATGAAACAGATATACGGGGCATATACAATATATGTATACATAATCAGGGCGTCCTCAGGTCACCCATTGACGACTGCCTGGTAGCAGCGGAAATCAAGAACTGTTTCCTACCTCTGCAATCTCACTTGTCCAAAGCAAATCGACCGGATCTGACCTTTTGGCTTTTTGGAGCAAGGTACAGTATGATTCCAGCGTATGGTTTCCCAGGGAGCTGGGAGTCTCTCAGGGGACCTAAAGCTGGCGTACATTTGGGTGGATAGCCCTAGCAAAGTCATTAGTCTTTTTTCCCAAAGAAAACCGCCAGGGAATGGGTAAGTTGTTTCCATATTTCCAAGCACCCTATTTTGGGTCTGTCTTTTTTATTGCTAATGCTCGATATTGAGAAACGAAGCTTTTGGCGCCATGACGTTCAAAGGCCCACTTGCCCAAGGCGAATCGACCTTTTCAGCTTTTAGTTTCGCCCTCTTTGGGAAGATTTGTATGGCGCCAGAAGCCAACCAAAAGTATAGCATTCGTGCAGTGAGGTGCATCCCTTTGCACGCGAACAAGGCTTGAGCCGTTTGGAGATCGCAGAAACAAAGATGGCCCCTAAAAGGTGGTCACTGTTGATTTCCAGGTCCCTGGGTAAGTGAGAAGGGCTTCAATCCGCACTTGGGAACCCCCTCCCAGTCGAAAACTGAGGTCGGGATTTGAGAGCGTGCACTACCACGGGCGCCGGCCGGATGAAGACCGACAGGAAGCAACTGGGGGAGTTGGGGCTAGGAAACCCTCAAATCAGGGTGTATTTTGGCACATGCTTCCCATTACGATCCAAATCTTCGTTGCAAATCCACCAGTGGGCCGATCAGGTTCCCTCACATTTATCTCCATTGCGACCTTTTCAGATTCGCCAGTGGGCCTTTGCAGGGCTCCCTACATATCCCCTGGTTGGTTTGAACGGCTACACCACACAGTGCATTTCTCCAGTCCCTACGGATTCCGAATCTGGAAGAACTGCTCCGATCCAAACAGCCTCCCAACTTTTTCAGGTGCCACCGAAAAAGTGCTCCACATTTTCCTTCGGAGACAGTGCAAGCAAGCCTCCCAAGCAGGCCCAGGTGTTTGGGAGTGTTCCAGGTTTGTTCCCTGAGGGCTTGTGACCCGATGTTCTTTCAAACATCGGCTTTCCGGATTGGTTCAGCACTTTCTCGGAACTTTGGACCAACCTTGAGCTTGTGCGGCAGGAGCAGTACCTCGAGCACAACATCAAGGAGATGGAGGCGAGGGCCCAGAATGTGCTACTGGGATCACCGGCCCCTTAGAATTAGGCAAACAGGCTAGTCATGTTTCGGAAATTGTAAGCTAAAGGCAGAGAACAAGACACTTGGGTCCAGTCAACAATTGGGGGAGACTGCGACTCCATGTTGCAGGGTACCTCCGACCCGCAAAAGACCAAGCCATGAGGGTCAGTTGGTGGATGGTTCCCTTTTGCCCCGTTTTTACTTTTCTTGCAGATGGAATTTCAGGTTTGTCCGCACTTCTTGAGTTCCCGGACTTAAAACAATTTCGGAAGACCCCTTTAGTGGCAAACACAAAGTTCAGTCACTTTGAACCATCAACTCAGGAAGTGAGTTGCAGATGAATTTTCATTGTTTCTGTTTTTTTCTTCATTTGCATAAAGTTCCTTTTTTTGGGCAGTGTCTCGTTCGGAAGTGAGTGTCGAACATTGCAGATGGACAGTCCGCCTTGGTTAGAGCACAGGCCGCCAAGTCCAAGATCCGCTTCCACCACGAGATGTCCGGGATCCGGGATCCGGCTCGCCGGACATGACTCAGTTCAGAAGGAAATTCGGTTGAGAATTCGACTTTTGGACCATGGAGCAAGCTTCCGTTTTTGTGTGCAGCATGTTGTGTCGAAAATTAATATGGGTGTGCCTTTTTCCGGGGAAGACTTGTTCTGGTTGGTTTTGAGGGGACAGGGGGTACCCTCCAAAAAAGACACAGCTCCTTCCGTTGGTGCAAAACCCTTGGAGCAGGTTCCCACATGAAATCTGCGACAGGCGGTGAACATTTGCTGCTTCGGGAACATAGCCTCAGGGCGTTTGGTTGATCAACGGATGCGACATGTCTCGTGCCTGGCACCTGGGACGGAGCGGCTCGCTGAGGCGCACGTTTTCCCAAGGAATTTCTCGCACTGGTGTCGGGGCCCGAGTGCCTAAAAAGAGGAGGGTTTTTCCCTTGGGGCGTCTCCTTAACAAATGACGAACCAATTTGGCAAGCTGAGTCTCAACCAGGTTCCAGTGGCTTTGAACCACGTTGAACTCATCCCAACCCCGGAAACCCTGAAAGCGTCGCTTATAACCAGTTTCTAGACATACATTGGCATAACTTTGTAGTCCACAACTGGACTTACGCTTTGGGAGGATCGTTTCAGTGGTCTCAGAAGAGCCCGGGCTTTTTCTCAAGTCCACACAGGAAGTATCAGAGGCTTAATTGCTTAATGCTTGTATGTTTCCTTGTTGGTTTGAAAATGAATAGTCATGGCTACTAAATGGCGTACTAATTAAATGTGTTGGCTTTTCGCCCCTCAAGCGAATTGAGGAACAGGATTGTGGGAATTGCCGTTGGCCACTTGTGCGTGTTATTGTTTCGCCTCTGGGGTGTCCCTTTGTGGTCTTTGATGTCCACCTTTAGTTTCCAGGACAGGGTAAAGTCTTCCTTGCTGGGATGTTTCGTCCATATTAATCAACCCAGTTTATGACTAGTCGGGCGTTCCCCTTCAAAAGCGATGAACGAAACCCAGGGACAACCCCCTATGAATAAGCTGGGGTTGAAATTAATATTAACCTAGCAGTGGATTTATATGGAAAAACATCGACCCCCGTATTGGATTCAACGAGTTCCTGAACTCCTCGAGGGGGGCAAAAGAGCATCCGTGGGAAGAAGTCGCTGTGTGGGGAAAGCTCCAGGTCCGAGCTACCTGCCCCAAGCGTCCCCTTGCTCACTTGACACATTTGCGCATGCTTTTGTGTGGTAGAAAGTGGTGCGGGGGTGGTAAACCCCCCAAACGCAAGTCCCGGAGAATGGCAGCCACAAAGGAAATACTTGAGCCATCTAAAGGGAAGCCTACATCCCTCCATGCCAGCTGCAACTGACCCGAGCGGTAAAACACATCATTTTGTGCTTGGTTGCTTTCATTGGTAGTGAACCCACCAAACAATTAGGAGTGCAAGTTTCAAGACTGCCACCGACCTGAATCCGAGTGTTGAAATTGGCCAATCCCAAACTCAATCAAGCATACCAGACCATTTTTAGGTCCAATTCCTGTTTTACACTGGCGGTCAACCAGAGGTACCCGCGGCTTCCTTCAAGTGCAACCTTTCTTCGGAGTGGGTTCTTCCATGTTACTGATGTGTAATGAGCTGTTTTAAGTTGCTTGCTTGGTTGTTTCATGTTGTTTCTGCGGGCGGCTTAAGATCTGGGATGTAAACTTTTAGCTCTGTTGCTTTGAGCCGGCCGTTTAGTTGTTTGCTGTGCTTGGATCTGTTCATTCTTTGGTGCAGAGCTGCAAAAAACAGTCTGTTTGTCATGGTTGGGAAGGAGCGATGGGGATGTCACAGATCCGAGGTCACTTTGAAGTTTAGTGGTATGGACCCAGCTTCCTAGCTTCCTGCCGCCAAGCCCCCCCCCAACAATCTCGAGCCCCACCCACAAAAGGAAGCACCAAACACAAGAGGACCCTGTCATTTTGACTCCCAACCGCTTTTTTGGGACTATAGGCCAACAAATTCCATGGAGCTCGAAAAACGGTTTGTGGTTAGAGAAACATCCCCCAAAATCACGAAAATCAACGAACCACCCAAATACCACAAACCCGAAATCGCTCAAACCGTGTCCTCGGAGGTTACGGATTTGGATCGTAGTGAGCTGATGCTCAAGGACAAGGCCACGCCTTTGCCCCAGCTTGCATCGCCTTTTCCGGACGGCTGGGGGATAAATCTGCTCATCCCACTCTCTGAGTGAAACAAAAAAAGAAACCCTTGCCATTTTTGGGGGTCCAAATCCAAAGGCACCAGGCGTTTTTTTTCTTGCCCAAAGCACCTGGAAAGAGAAGGTGATCATTTCTTTGGGCCACTAAATGGCCAGACTAGACCAAACTAGGAAAACCAAAAGGTCAGATCCGGTCGGTTTGCTTTGGACAAGTAGGCATGCCCGCAAACACCAATACACCCAGCCATGTTTAGTTGTCAGCAACCCCCCAGCCAAAGGACCCGCATGCTGAGCTTGCCAGAGTGAACGATCGGATTGGCACAAAGACAGTCCGAGCTTTTTGTTTACAACTAAGATGGTCTTCAAACCAGTTAGAACCTTGTTACACCAAAGGGAAACCCACCGGAGCTCATTCGCAACCCATTTATGTCAGGACATCCCCGATTTATCATTCATAACCCATTCGCCAATCAGGGAACAGAAGGGACTCCAGCAGGTACGGGGATTTGGTTTCTGGATGGCCCCTAGCTCCTTTCTGATTTTGGGTGTGTTTTTAAAAGTGACCCTTGTGTGGGTTGGCTCAAAGGGAACCCAAAAAACAGCCGCATTTTCGGGGGTTTTTCTGTGACATACGGATTGAGGGTATGTCAGGCGCGGGCAAAATGCAAGAACGGGCGCCCAGGCTTCCGCTGCGCGGGCGCTTGGACGCCCGTGCGCCCAGAGGGAGCTTTGTTTTTGGGCGGGGGGGGGGGCAGGAAATGTGGAAGGCAGGGGTTGTGGCTCCTCTTTGCTTACCACTGCGAAGGGCCCAGCTGCTTACTAAAGCTATGAAAGGAACTCGGGCTAGCTAAGTTCATGTGTTTGCCAGGGTTTTCGAAGCTTTTGGTAAGGTGCTTTGTTTTGCATGTGTTCCTTCTGGTTGGTCCTGTCATGTCCTGTCGATGTTCAGTGGGGAATGAACATGGTCAACAGCACGCGTCTTGTTTGGCTAGCCGAGTGGTGGGGAGGTGCTGCGGCTTCTGAGTTGAACCAGGGGCTGCTTCCCAGTTGGGTGGTTTCTTTCAGGTACCCCTTCTAGGTGCCCCAGTGGTGCCCTTTTACCCTTTTTTGGGGGAGGGCTCCCCTACTAAAATAGACTACAGAAAAAAAGGGTACCCTTTTTCTAACCTCTCCACTGGAGGACCTAGCCTCAGTTGTTGGTCACTCGACCATTTGTACCTTTTGATGTTCCTCTTGGGCTCTCTGCGTGAAGCTTCCAAGAGTCAGGTACTGCTTAGTTGGTGATATGTTGATTGAGGGATGTTATGGATTGAGCAGCAGTTCGCTTTAAAGCCACATGGGGAACGCACCCCCTGGCGTCCAAAAAAGTCGAACAGAGACAACATTTGGGGGTACCGTTGACCCCGGAGGAACAAACCCTGTGTTGCTTGATAGGGGAATGTCCCCTTTTGTTGGGGGGTTCATCACGAGGGAGGAGATGGAAGCAACACCTCAGCAAAGTCACATCATGGAGTCTTTAAGGGGCCTTCAAGGTTCCTTGGGCTCCCTAAACAACCCTAGAGCTCTCAACCAGCCACCCCCTTGTGCCTTCCCCACTGAGGGATCCCACAATACAAAGCGATTTCCAGGCCCGGTTTCCGGAGTCGATGCACACCATGGAGCCCTACCATGAGCTGGGCAACCCCACCCTGGACTCGAGCGGATCGCGGATCGCGCATCGCGGATCCCCACACTTTCTCTTGGTCCCAGGGTACAACTGGTTGTTCAATTTTGTTTCGTACGTTTCTCGCTTATATTGGTTACTTGTTATTTCCAGATCTTGTGACATCGTCCGAAGTCACTCTGTTTCCCTTGCTGTTGTGTATATTGCCCACTAAAAACACGGAATAACCCGACCACAAGGAAAATGTGTTTTTTTGCCAAGGCCACTGGGCAACTGAGATTCTCCAAGTCCAACCGCCCTGTGAAGGCTGCTCCAGGCAAATGTCTCCATCGGGCTATGTGCCATGGTCAACAGACGTCCAACGTCCCATGGGAGCATGGCCATGTTGAGCTTTGCGCCTCGAATGGCTTGCAGAGCTGTATATAGATGAGGCCAGCGTGAAGTGTGTGCACCAGGGAGTTGTTTGGTGTGTTTGGTTTTGAGGTAACCAGCCTGGTGTTGTTTTTTTGCAAGAAAACGGAGGGAAGCAGCTGCCCGAGTGGATTGCGCTGCTGTCGGCCTTCGAGAGAGCGCAGGGAAAATGCCCTTCTTCAACAAAGGGGGTTCCAAATCCTAGTGGGACAAACCCATGATCGCATATGTGGGTGTAACTAGGGTTTTTTGGGTTTGCCCCAAACCTCCCTAGGCCATCTGTGGGGTGATTTCCAGTTTGGGGCAAACCCGCAGGAGTGGCACGCACGCCTGAGAGAGAACGACTCTTCCGCGCCGGTAGATGCACCTCGGCGAGAGGAGAACTCTGCTTGCCCGGGCGTTGCTCGCCTGGCGCGGTTGTAGCGGTAATGTGAATGTGACCCCTGGAAAAAGAACCCCCCCTCTTGTTATTGCTCAGTTTTTTTTTTTTGGTGGGGCGTTGTTTCTTCCAGCGGAACTCCCTGATGAATAGCTGGGGGAGTTTTTAGTCAGGGGTCGACATCATACATTCTGCCGATCATTGGCATGACTCGCCTTGAGTTTTGCCACGCCTTTCCCTTTTTTGCGGGGTTCCATGACAAACGGCGACACAAGCCGACCAAATAATGGAAAGCCACGACCAACAACTGCCGCCATAGTTTCCGCTACCATACGTGCAGCCACATTTAGGATGGTTACAGCTCCTTTCCTTCCATTTCCTTCCATTTGCTGGAATGAGTATGTCTTATTTTCCCCCCGGTTTTAAAGGGAATCGACTTCACTACTGGATATTTTCTCTCTTTTCAGGGGGCTGATGCCGCAACTGGCGGGGCCGCGGCCGAGGTGAACACGGGGGCCCACATCAAGCGAGACCCGGAAGCGGGCAGCGGCCTGAAGCGCTCCTGCATGCCGGGGCCTCGGAGAGGTGCAGAGACGTAGGTCCAAAATTTGGCGGTGATCTTAAAATCTTGAGATATCCTGAAGTTTGTCTTAAAATGGGGAGCCCCCCAGAATGGACATTTTGTTTGTTGCCTTGATGTTGCCGTTGTGTATGTGTTGTTGTTTTTTTTGGGGGGGGATTTCTCAAAAAAGGTACCCTCCCCGCCCAAAACAACTACCCAGTTTTCACACACGGGGGGTCGAATGAGTGAATCCCAGGAGCGGCAACTTGACGCGGGCGCCCTGGCGCCATGAGGGCACCATCCCTTCCCTGGCGACTGCTCAGGCTTGACGGGCGCGAGAGGCTTCAGAGAGGTCAAGGGCATTTTCAGGTATGGTGTTTGGAGGTATGGATGCTCACATACCGCAAATGTACGCTTACAAGGCATATACCTCCATGCCTCCAAGACCCATACCTGAAAATGCCATTGAACCGGGCACCTTGATAATTGCAGAGGGGGGGGCCTGGAATTTAGATGTTTGATTCCACTTCGCCCAAACGCACCCAGTGGGATCGCATCTGGACCTTTTTCACTCTGCATGAAGCAGCAAACGATGGATCTCCTGGAAAAAAATCCCTTCCAGCACTCCACCAGAAGGACACTTCATCTCTTCTGGTCTAACTTTCTCACAGAGTTGGTTGAACCTCAAAAGTTGAAACCCAGCGACCCCCGTCGAAGGCCTTCCGAGACGGTGTCACTACACCCTGAAGCCAGGTATGCGCGTTTGAACCGCCATGCTTGACCACCTTGGGGCCAGAACACCCAGACTTATAAACACGTTTATGACCGAACCAGGAAACACCTTTAAATGGTCGCCTGGTGGGTGTCATACCATGAAGCTCATTCCATGCATTCGGGACTTCCTTGCTAACTTTCGAGCGCCGGATTCAGCTGCGGATGCCTTGCTAGCAGCTTGTTTTGCTTTGGCTGTCTCACTCTTCGCAATTGAGTTTGAACACCCCAACTACGGAGCCCGATTTTCCCCCCTGGCGTGTTCCCAATAATTTTCCTCTGTCCTTTCCTGTTGCCTATTTTCGGACTTGCTTGCTTGTTTGTTTCTCTGCCTGCCTGCCTGCCTGCCTCCCTGCTTGCCCGGGTCTGTCTATTTGTTTGTCTATCTGTCTGTCTGTCTGTATGTCTGTCTGTCTGTCTGTCTGTCTGTCTGTCTGTCTGTCTGTCTGTCTGTCTGTCTGTCTGTCTGTCTGTCTGTCTGTCTGTCTGTCTGTTTGTGTTTGTGGTTCGTAGGTTCCAAGGGCAATCGCACTTGTGACTTAAGCCATCAAGCATCTGCTAACTAGCTGCGCATGGTGTATGCTATTTGCTACTCAGCGACAGTGAGTAGATGCAAAGTTGGCTTATGGAGCCAGCAACTCGGCCGCCGGGATGTCTAGGGGCCTTTGGATCTTGAAGGGGGTCATTTTAGGAAAACAAGTTGGCCGGGGCACTATGGTGCATTCTTATGAAACAAGGTGGGGCAACTTCAAACTTGGATGAGACCCCCTTTTTTGGAATCGTGTTTTTCTTGATCGCTCAATTTCTCTGCAAATACATCACCCTTGCCAACAAAAACTCACCTTAAAAGGCCCGCTTAGAGTGGTATTTAACACACACACACACACCAGGGAAATATAAGGAGCCCTGACCACCAGGGCGATGGCTTCTCGAGGCCATGATAGTTTCTGATTCGCCGACCTGGAACTCCAGGCCAAGAATAAGGCCTCCTACGTGAGCAAGCACGACTTCAACCTCCCAAAGCCACCGCAGCCGAAGCCCCAGAGTCGAAAAACGTAGCCGGGGATGTCTGGGGGGAAGAAGAAGGAGCGTTCTCCTCGAGGTTTCCTAGACCCAGTGGTGACTCAGATAGCCTCTGACTGGTGGTCTGGATTGGTTTGGGTCTGGGTTTGAAGTTTGAGGCATGGGAAACCACCCTTAGCCTCCAAACCAATTTTTCAGAGGGTTGCCTATGACTACCAAAAAAGGGGGAGTTGTTTTTGTGAGGGGTACTCCCTGTAAAGTCAACCAGCAACAAGAAGCTCTTTTTCTCATGCCCACTGGGGTATTTGGTTAGACATGGGTTATATCATGTATAGATGGGGTAATACATGGGTGTTGGGCCAAGAATAGGTGCCCCAAATGAACCCTGGTACATGGACAAACACCTGCGGTTTTGTGATGGTTTATGTTGACCCATACCCACACGGTTTTGCCTTTGTACCGAGTTTTGGCATTTGAGTCACTTGGGAAGACCAGGTTGGTGGGCCACCGAACTGAGACCATAGAAACCCGACCGAACCCACCGGACAGATGGGCTCAATTCCTTGTCAGAAGGGATGATGTGGAAGATGTTCTTTAAGCGCCGTTTTCAGTGAAACCAAGGGAGCCCTTTATCATGGAAAGCGTTCTTGGAACCAGAGCCACTCCCAGCCTCCCGCTTGTGTCCTTCGCCCCTTAGTGGAGTGTAGTGCACGAACCCTGTAGCAAACCGATAGCAACCTGGACTCATTTTTTTTTGCCTTGGCAACGAAGGCTACGGCAGTACATAATGGCAGCGATATGAATTTGCATATATGATTTTTGGTTTTGGGGTCGACACTTGATTTGAGGCATCTTTCTCTTTGCCCTTAACGTGATGGTGGTAGAGAAGAGCTGAATCCGAGGTTGAGGGTTGAACATTGAGACACGTGTTTGGAAGAGGGGACCTTTGAAAGCCAGTAGCCAAACATGGACACTTTGATTTCTGTCCTTCAGCCCCGGTTCTGAATGCTAGGGGGTCTGTGGGTCTGTGTACCGAGTGGTTTGGAGACGTGGCCCGAGGTTCCGGAAGGCTCCGCAAGTGTTTTTTTTCTTTTGGGAGGGGCCGCTGAAATGATGAAACCAACAAGGGCTCCGTTTTCGTACGAGGGCCCGGGCAAACATGAGTTTCTCCTTGGCTGGGTTGGGCGAATGGAGGCTTGTTTTCTGAGATCCATGTTTTGAGCGGTGAGATCAAGTCCTCTCACAAAAGTTCTTTGGATGATTCCTCAACAAATCCGACTTCACTGAGTTCTCCTCCAGCATGATTGAGTATTTTAGTGTGGGCCAAACGTTTTGAACCATCTGACGCGAAGCCGTTGGTTGGTCTCTGGTCTCGGATGCATCGACCCGGGAAACTCACCGAGGTCGCGCTTTTGCGAGGACCAGCTCTGGAAGAGCGCGTCTCGCACTGCCCTGCTCTTGGCTCTCGCGCCAAGCAGCGTCGACGGATGAAGGGATGGATGCTTCTAGAGGTTGACTCCCCATTCTCTTCACGGCTCCTTCTCTTTGGTGCATTTTGCGTGGATGTTAGGACTTTAGCTTGTTGCCAACTAATGGGTTTTCCATTAAACCACCAAAAGTTAAACTTGTAGCAGGGGAGCAGAAAGCAACTGAGTCAAGTTTATCTCCCTTTGAGCCACTGTTCAAAGACAAGGATCCCTGAACAAAGGGCGGGGGGGGGGGGGTAAGGCTAGATTTTGTTCACCCATCCATTTTCAAAAGACGAATCCCTCAAGGGAGAAGTATAGATAGAATAATTCCAGGTTGGCTGGGAGCATCCCTGAAAATCCAGGGTACGGTTTGCATGTTGCTTTATCCACCCCCACAGGCTTTGTTGGAGTACCCAAGCCACAAATAAAAGCGGCTTGTGGAACACAGCCGGGAGCTTGGATTGAAGGACCTGGTTAGTAGAAGCAATTTAAACAGCAAGAGGTTGATGTGGGTTAATTACGGCTTGAATTCGGGATGCAAATTGCCGGCGTTTCAGTAATGTCAAGCGACAACCCTGGTCTTTAGCTGCACCAGGTTTGGACTTATCAGCACGAGGGAAATGCGTGCGGAAACCACGAAACTCGGCATCCAACCGTTTTCTGGAGGACTCCTGGTGGTTGTCCTTCCTGTTTCCTAGCTGCCGACGGGAAAGGCGACGAATTCTGCCCCAGTACGTTCGAGGTGTGGTCTCAGCTCGATGTCAGTCATGTTCCCGTGGAGCCGATCCACTGTTCCAAAAGCACGCTGATTCTGGATGGAGATCCTGCAGTTGGGATGGATGAAGCCCGAAAGGGATACTGGGATCATAAAACACGGCGGGTGCATAGTGATAGTGGAATCTGTCCTTCCACTGTAGAACCATGTGTTTAACCTACTCATACTAAGCAGGTTGGACATCCGAGTTGGTGGCTTCTGTGCGAAGCAACGCTTCATGGGTGTGTCTGAGAATGGGGAAGCCCCGCAAAAGCCAACCTCAAAAACAATGAGTGACATTCTTCATGATGTGCTGAAATTTTGAGAAACCTCAAAGGGGGCAATGTTGACCCAGGATTAATAAACCCGTCCCAGTATTAGGGGGGTTCCCTCCAAAAGTGGTCTGAATCCCCACCAAAAGGGGACACCCCCGTAGGAAAAATCAACCAGGGGGTAAAATCAGGGTTAACATTAGAAGGGGCGGGCCATGAGTTTGCCCAACAATTGGCTCCAGCACGACTTCTGAACCACTTCGTGTCTCGAACATGGGCTAACCCATGGCTTACCCTCAAACAAATCACATCGCGAGCTCCGAGCTCCGACCTTTCGCTGGTTCCCAGGGCATCAGCCAGAAGGAGCGCAGCGACACCCTGACGTACAAGCGGCCCATCGCCTGAGATTCGGTCGGTAGCCGCGGTTCGAAGTGAGTAGAGCTACGTATATCATTGGACGTTTACCTTCCATCTAAGACTTGGTTCCACTACCTCCGAACCACCCGCAGTGCAAATTGGGATATACACCCTTCACATTCAAAAACATTTGCCGAAATGGCACCTTAGGTCAATGCCACCAGAGACTAAATCCTGCGTAACACTGGCTCTTAAATTTTGAGCCATAGCCATATTATTGGAAGTTTGCCATATCACTGGTGGCTATATGGTGGCTGCATATCCCAGCGAACCCCTGGAATTGGAATCGCCTTGGGGCCGGTTCTGACCTTTTGGCTTCACCAGCTTGGGTTCCCTTTTTTGGGTGGCCCCCTGAGGGAAGGCGGGGGCAACTGAGGGAAGGCAGTCCTTTCGGAAGGGGGCCCTCTTCCATGTTTGCTGGGAGGGGGGCAGGTAGATCATTACCCTTGGACTTTTAAGCTTTTAGAATTTAGAGGGGTTCTTGACATGCCAAAGTCAACCTTTTAGCAAAGGACGTTTGGGGGTGCTTCCTACTTTGAGACGCACCCACCACACGGTGGTTCGATCAGAGTCCTAGATACATTGCCGTCCCAAACTGAGCCAGCAAACAAACATGGAACCCGAAGGGGACCCCTGGAAGATAATTTCCTTTACAGGGACCCCTGTTTCAGGTTCCGGGTTTGGGTTGAGAAGGGTTCCTTGTTGCCTTGTTCAGCATTCCCTCAATTTCCCTTTCAACCCGCAGCAAGAAATACTTGTTGCAGGGGGTTCAAGTCTGGCCCGAGATATGGTTTCGGGGTGGCAATCCTGTAACAACTCCATGAGCCAAGAAAGGCGAGCCAAAGCCCCAAGTCCCTTGGGCGCGTGAGTCTTTCCTGCTTCTGTTGTTCCAGGATTGTGTCCACGTGTGTGTTGCAATGGATGTGCCCATGGCGGGTTAGTTTCGACCCCCAAAATAGATCCCGAGCTTCAATCAAAAGGTGACGAGGCCTTTTTGAGTTGAGTTTGTTGCCCGTTCTGCAACGACTGAGTTATGCGGACATAAGTTGCATCGTTAGCGCGCCACAAGAGGCTACTGCTGAGGCCCCACCACTACGGGGTGCACTTGTGAGCTCTCTCGGTCGGGTTCGCGTGTCACCGTGTCACCGTGTCACCGTGTCACCGTGTCACCGGTAGGTTATGGTACCGTGGACCTTCAGCTGAGAAAACACGGCGTCGGGCTTCCTTTTGAAGGAAGACTTTCTCAGGCAAGCGATGAGTTCCTAGTTTTAGTTGCTTGGGTTGGTGTTGGTTGGCTGGCTGCCCGGTTGGTTTGGCTGTTTGGTTGATTGATTGGTCGCTTTGCTTTCGAAATTGCTTATATACTTGTTGTGTGCTTCTCAAAACTTGCGGCCCCTGGTTGCTTTCCTGTTGGTTTCCCCTTTAGTCATCCAAAACGAGGACCCCGATTTTGAGAGACATCGTGCTCACTTTCCGAGCCTGGCATGGCGACCGTCCGGCTCCAATTCCGCGCGGCTTCTTTGCAGGTGCCCGATGGCGGAAAAGACCGGGCTTTGGCTGAGAGATGAATGGTTTGAGGGGCGTCATTTTCCAGAAGTCTCTTCAAGTGCTTTTTTGTTGAGGCCTCTTTCGTTGAGTGTCATTGGACCGTGTCATGAGACAATTGGTTATCGTCCCTCATGTCTTCCTTGCTGTTCTGGGCGAAGTGCAGAAGATCAGATGGAAGAAAGACAAGTCGCAGCCTGGTTGTGCGAATCCAAGAGGGGGGCAACACAAGGAGCATCACAAGGATTTTGACTGGATTTTATGGAGTGAGCACTTCTGGGAATTCCCAATAAACTACTTCTTTGGAGTTTCCATGTTGCTGCCGTCTAGGATGTAGCAGTCAGAGTCACTAAATTCGACCTAGTTGGAGGGGTAACAGCGGGGCCTGCTTGCGCCATGGTCCGCGCATGCTGAGGGCGGCGAAAAAGACTCTCGGCTTAGCTCGGTGTTCAGGACCTGTAAAACATGGGATGAACCCGGAAAATGGTTCCCTTGTACCTTGTTCTTTGTTTGCCAGGGCAACTACACAATTGGGCGCAGGATCCCAACCCCTCCCAGAAGCCGCGTGAGGCCTTGCTTGCATGATAAGCTAGATTGCCATTCGCGTGAGAGACAATGGCTGTGAATAAAGCAGAAGGCAGGGACACATCGGCGAATAGGGATGAAACAGCTCTAGCTTTATTTCTGGACAAGTATGGCTTGCCTGTTGAGTTGGCAAGCTTTAAGTGATTTTTGTTGGCAGGTGTCCTCATCATTCGGATCAAGGCCCAAAAAAGTGTAAACTTTTTGGGCCAGTCGACTCAGCTGTTCAGAGGGGGGTAGTTCTCTCGAGTTTCCATTGGACTCGCCAAGGCATGCCCAAGAGAGCTGCTTGGTCCATCGTCCAGAATGCGCACAAGCAGAAGCTGATCCGGGAGGACGCCACAAGTATTCCCCCGCAAAAAAAAAAAAGCAAAAAAACAAAAGCGACAACAGCAACTGCTCGCTGCTTTGGGTGTTACGTCACTAAATTTCCTATTACTCTACTTCTACTGCTACTCATACTCGTATTGCTACTCCTACTTCTCTACTGCTTCTCTTGCTCATACTGCTGCTGGCTACCTTCTACTAGGCGCTTCTGCGGGTTTCCCTTTGGCTTCCCTTTGGTTTCCCCAAGAACGAGTGCCCCCGTCAGGACGACGTGGACTCGGGCAACTACCGTGGCCTCTCCACCCAAAAGCGGCAGTCCGCCCTCACGGTGCCGAGGCCAAGGGCAGAGACGGACGAGGACCGAGTCGTTGGCCTGACCAACAGATCCACCCGAAACAAACGGTCAGGAACCCTGGATCTACGGATCCCCCTCTGAAACAGAACCCCCCCCTGAAAAACTGGTGGGGTCTATTAATCAGGGGTCAGCATGACTCCCTTCCTGAGCTCCGGGAGCCTCGGGATGACCATTTTGATGGCAAACAGGCCCAAAAGACCATTGTTACAGTCAACAACAAATTTTGGTTTGTTTGGCCAACCCACTCCGGCGTGTGTGAGTGTGTGTGTGTCCACGAACAGGGTATCTCCTACTTGAGGGTGTTGGTTTGAGGTGCCTCCCATTCCTGCAGTCTGGGCAAAAGAAAACTTGGCTCAGCCACCAAGAAAGAAGAACCGGTTGGGGGATGTTGCAACGATTTTCATTCACTGGCCTAGATGTCGAAACACCACGTGTTTCAGCATGGATTTCCGTCGCCTTCCCCCTGCCACCGGTTCGCCCTGAGGACGCAGTGGCCTCGGATTTGAGCAGCGCCTCTTGCGAATTTCGACCTTTCGACTGTTCGATTTGGGCGAAAGGAAGCCAAAGGAACGGGACCTGTGCAAATACAGGGATTACTTTTGGGAAAAGGGGGTAAAACGGAGGTGTCGTTTTTTGAGGCTGGCCTTTTTGGACTGGTTTAACCGTAAAGCAGATCAAAGCCCGAGCCACACCGCCTAGCTTACTCTTCCAAGTTTGTAGTTAGCGGTTTAGTCCTTTGCTGTTCGGTCTTTACATTGAGTGAGGGCTGTACAGAGTACCAGCGTTTCCCTGCTGACATTCTTCGAGCTAAAGCTCGGGTAGCTGAAGGTTTGTGGACAGAGCCAGAGATGGACGCATATACGTGTTTCTTTCAAATCTTTGCGTAGCTTTGGGTAGACTTCTTTAGCTCAGGCAACACTTATTTTAGTTGGTGGTTTGGATTTGGATTTGAATCTCTAAAAAAACAGGTTAGGGAAGCTGATGAATCGCGAGATGTTATGCGACTCAACAGGGTTCCCCAGTTCTACAGTTTAACCTATTTTCTGGCTTTGTCGATTCCACTCCTTTGGACAAGTGAGGCAACGTGCCACCCCCCTCCCCCCAACAAAAAAACAGACTAACAAGCATCAAGCATCAAACAGAGCCATTGGAGGAGACTGCAGGCGGGTGGGTCCAAAAGTCGGATTTGGGCCCCTGAACATGGCGATCCCGAGTTATCCCACTGCAAATTGAGTGGGAACCCCAGAAGAGGCCCCCTTTCCACGGAATTTCCTCTAGTGAGGCAAAAGTAGGGTTCGTCCGTTTGCAGAGGTGTACTAGTAGATGGGTACCGGGACGCTTCGCACAAAAGTTATGGAATCCGCAGCGCGAGTAGGGGTAGTAGTTGAGAGGTGTTGCCCAGGGTTGCCTAAATTCCTTCGGAAGCCTCGCCCCCCTTAAAGATTCCCTAAAAGCATGGAGTAATGTCCCTTTTCTGAGACCAGCTTGAGGGTCGCAGGCAGCTACCTTCCCACCCCACACGTTTTTTCTAAAAGGGTCCCCCACAAGGAGTGTCCTCTTCCAATGAGGGTTACGTGTCTTCCATGCCCATTGTCAAACCAGGTACAAAGCTCGGCGTGCAGTGGCTAGTTTGCTGTCTTTGGCTCGATTCACCGTTCTTATTCGCAGCGAAGGTAGCGATGATGAGCGGCCTCAAGCGAAGGTGCGCGCAGCTCGGCAGAAGAAACTTGGGGTCCTTGAGGTCAACTGTGGGCAAGTGGGGTCGTCCCTGGCAAGTGAAGGTCTGGCGAACCTGGTCCCGATACTTGGAGGTTTCTACCCCATTCCAACTTGGAAGCTGCAATTGGGTCTGTCTTTGTTTGATGCACTGGGGAACAGAAAGAAGAACCGCCAATTCAATTCTTAGCATCCCATATATTAATGCAAACCCAAGTGGTGAATGCTGTGGATGGAGGCTGATTCGGCAATTGCTGACTGGGGTGTTCATTCAAGCTGGGAATCCTTGTGTCCGGAATTATTGCAGTTCTCGCCTTGTGCTATGCATTGTTTACGTGATGGGGTGGGCGCTTGCGCAGTATTCGTTGTCGTCTATCCCTCAAGCCTTTACCCGCGGCATTGCTATCATGTCTCACTTTCCTTTTGGTCTTTTGGTTTGCCCCTTCCTCTCAGGAAATCAACTCACTCTGCCCCTAGCACCGGGTTTTCAGCGCTCAAAATCCCAACCAGCCCTCCCCCCCCCTCCTTCCGGGCGCTCGAGGGCCCGCCAGCGCTCGGTCTTCCGAGGTGCCTCTGTCCAAGGACCTGGCCCTCGCGGCGGTGCAGCGCAGCAAGGCGCGAACTGGAGCGGTCGAAGGGATGAGCACCGCGAGGGTTTTGTGATTTGGGGACTGGATAGTCTCGCTTCCCGAGTTCATGGACTTTAAACACTTTTGGGGGTTGGACCATTTTGGTGGTAAGCTTTTTTTTGGCCAGTCCACTCAGGACGTGAGTAGCACCCTTCCTCCCACAAGCATGGCACCAGAGGGTGCATCTTAGAGGAAAGTGGTCTTCCAGGACTCCTCAGTCAGGTTCCATGTTAGTGCAAAAAGAGAGTAACCCCTATACCAGGGATGAAAGGAACCACGATGTAACTAGAGCTTTTGGGACTAGATAGTCTAAACCCTGGAAACCACCAAGGCGTCGTCTAAAAGGCTCGTCACACCGAGCCTGATTTGGCCCAATTTGGCCCCCGGAGTTGGATCAACCATTCCCAAGTCTCCATTGCTAGGGGGGTTCATGTTTTGATACCTGAGCCATTTGCCCATGTCAAGGGTAAAGCGGGCTCATCGACTTTGGGGTTAAAACGATCTCAACTGTGAGGAAGGTTCCTTAGATGGGGATTCTTGTTTTCAGGTGTTCGAGTTGCTGCGCAATTTGCACATTCGGACCCCTGGAAGTATGCTGACTCCCATGGCTTGTGATTACCTTGTGAAACTTGAGAAGTATGGGTGTCCCTTCTTCAGGATGTCTATCTTCGGAAGTCGGATCAATTTGAAATGATCCAATGTAGGTAAACTTAGCTCAAGTTGTTCAACCTCTAGGATTTCATTTGTTTAGACTCAGTAAAGAGTATTAAGTAAAGTTGACCCCATACTAATCAACCCCAGTTTATCAATCGGGGGTGTTCCCCTCCAAAGGTGATGATTCCCCCACTAAACTCAGGGACACCCCCTATTAATAAACTGAGGTTGATCAATATGGAGTGAACATTATGTCATGTGCTATTTTCCCCGAAAGGCATCCCAAACGGGATGGGCGCTATCAGAGATGATCTATATTGTGTTTTGGGAGGCATGTCGCTAAACATGGGCCAGAATCAACAGCATCCTTTGGAGCGCAAACACTGTGGTGGATAAGGCAATTTTGGGTGCTAAATCTCTCATTTTGGGGTTGAGTATGGTCAGTCTCTACTTGCAATATCTAGGGCGTCCACCATGGCACTGGTTTCGACCCTTCGTAGCAACTGTGGGACCTCCCGAACCACCGGGCTCCAAACTTCACCCATCCAAACTACCACTTGCAGTCATAGATTGTTTTTTAGCTTGGGCGGTCCCAAACACACCACCCATCCAAACCCCATCAAGATCCTACGATGGTTGATTTTTTCATTCTTCCCCAAAAACCCAAAGGAGTCCAAACAAAAAAAATGAGTTTGAGTCTTTCCCAAGCGGATGTGGGGTGTGGCGGGGACGTGTGTGGAGACTCGCCTCGACAGGTGCTCAAGGGCCTGTCCATCCGGGGCCAGGCCGGTTCGGCTGGAACTCGGTTCGGGACACTGTTTGTGTCTGGGTCTCTTTGTGTGTGTGCGCTTGTGTTTTTGGAGTGTGCTCCCCAAATAGGGTACTCTCAGAAAGATGAATTGCCCGGTTCATGTATTTCTGTATCTGTAGTAAAACATGTCTGTGTGCTGTACCCTTTCAGGGGGTGGGCGTTCATGGGAGGCCCAAGTAATCACCCCCATCTTGTCGTTCAGTTGCACGTGGTCGCGTGACTTCAACCGAATGACATCTGGTGGCTGCCTGCCATTTCCCGAGCGAAAACAGGTTTCCTGGAACCCCAAAACACATCGAACCGCACGATGTTCTTCTCGGCTTGGCAATCATAGCACGATCGCGTCTTCACCCGGGTTTGCCGTCCGAACTAGCGGCCGAAACATCAACTCCACAGTCATGTGCAGATTCTCGCTTAGGTTACCCTGTGTGACCTTTGGCCTTGCTATTTGTTGAACCGCCTCATGAGCAAACAGTTCAACTTTTTGAGACATCCCCCGGCCAAATGGATTAAAGAGCAGCATGTACCTGCTTGTTGCTTTGAGCGCATTGAACAAATCAAGTTTGTTTTTGGGTCGGGTGATACGGGCGTATGAGTTGTTTTTTCTTCTTTCTTTCGTGTTGGTCCAGTCATGGCCCCGAACAGTTTTATGACTTGCTATTTCCCTGCCCCTGTAGGCACCTTTTGTTTCTTCGTTGGCATGTTTCTTCACTAAAGGCTCGTGGGCAAACAACCAGTTGAGCATTGCATTTCACGGGTGCATGTGGAGGGCTTCTATCAAACTTGGCCAGGGGTGGGTTGCCACCCCTGCGAACTCTGTGTTTAAAGCGTGGGATATGGGGACGTCTGACCTTTTAATGGCCAAACGATGCGCGAAGCTGCGTGGCTGGTGCGACGAACTGGCAGGTGCGTGTGGCTGCCCTGCTGCAGCGCGCCAGCTACCTTCCTGGGGAGCTGCTATGGTCGGGCCAGGAGGCGACACCTCGAACCCGGTTCGGAAGTAAAGTGGGTGTGCATGTTTTTTGTTGACCTCACGAAAACCCACCCGTGTTGGAGGTTCTGCCATTTTGCAACTAGGCTGACCATGTGTCCTTTGCTTGAGATCCGAATCTTGTTTCAGTTTGAGAATGAGCAAGGATTTGACATTCTTGAGCTTCACTTGTGCTTGAGGAGAGGGCTTTTTGACATTACAACGAGCAGTGCGCAAAAACCATGGACTGTTGGTTCTGCTCTCATGATCTTTAACCGATCTTTAACCGTTCATGTGGACCCCTGAAGCCACGTTCCAAATCCAGCCGCGAAAATGTGCCGACTTTGTGGGATTGAGTTTTGAGCCTCAATGGGATCACTTTGTTGGTTGGTGGACACCCATGGTTGGTGCAGGTGGGCTAAAATGTGGCAACCGCAGATTCGGAGGTAAAGCGGCTCAACAGCTGCCACCGTCATACATCGGTGCCCTTTACTAGGACCAATTTGTTTCCAGTGGTGCCCTCCAACTACTTTGGTGGGTGCCCCAGAAAAAAAACCCACGGGTACCTTCCCATTCTTCCCAGGGATCCTTGTTTTCAGGAAACCATCAAAAACCCGGGGGAAACAGCTCGTTTGTGAAAAGAACGATGGTGAAAAAGAATGGGGAATCAACCCCCAGTAAGAATGGTCGGTTCAGTGGCGGCAACAGGCTTCCACTGCAAAGTACTTCCCCAGATGGTTTTTGTCCAGGTTCCAAGTCTATAGCACCTACGGACCTGGCCATGCTGTGGAGAGTTGTGGGGCTTGAGGGTTGCTTCAGGGTTGGTTGGTTTAGAGTCTCACTTGCCGAAAGCGAATCGACCGGATCTGACCCTTTGGTTTCCCGCTTGTAGTAGTCATGGCCCCCAGCTTCAATTTCTGGTTCCAAACTGGGCAACTGGTTTGGAGTTCGCCGGGTGTAGCCTCAGCTGGAGGTTTGGATGCCCGGGGATGCTGGGGAGGTAAACCGGATGTTCACAGGAGCCGAGCCCCACAAGGTCTTGCTTGGGAGCCGCTTTGCGGCTTGCCAGTTTGACATGTTCTTCGCTGGACATTTTGAGGCTTCAAAATTTATGTTGCGAATGGTCGCCCTCTAAATCACAGTGTGGAGGGGAGTGTTTTAGGCTTTTGGCGCAGACCTGGCCGTGTAAAGCCGATGGGGCTGGACGAGGATCAGCAGAAGCGCCTGGTGATCATTGAGAGCGGGGAGGCTGAGCTGTGGCTCCCCGAGAACGACACGGAGCGCCGAGTGGGCCGTTTTCTGCTCGATTTGTTTTGGTTGCGGAGACTTTTCGGCGGTTTCCCACTTGGAGCAAGGGGACCAGGTTTTGGGATTCATGTGTGGTGCGGAGCGTACGTGTTCCTGGTCACGATGCCTCTTGAGACTGTTTTGCGTGCTCTAAATGACCAAACAGACATGGGCTAGAATCAACGTATGCTGTTAGTTGGGGGCAAACCTGAGGTACGTTTGCGCTCATCAGTTTTCCCTGATGGTAGCGGCTTAGCGGAAACAATCACGGTTTGGATACCTTCGACAAATTTCTTCCATGTTCATGTTCAACAAGTTTGAGTTTGGGGTCATGGTTTCCGCTCGACATGCGACGGACTATAATGAAGGTACAGCTCGCGTGTTCGAGCGGCATTTTCGCATGTGAAGGAAACACGCCAACTTGGACTGAAGGCGAAGGGCTTAGAACCTTTCCGGAAGTGCTCTGGCAGATTCTATGTTCATAAGCCTGGTGTTTCATGAGAAAAGTTTCAAAATCACATTTAGCGATGATTTCCCTCTAACCCCCCCCCCTTAAAACTCTTGAGATCCCGTAAGGGCCACTGGTTGCAACTGGGTGTCTGTCCACTTTGGTTCTCTACCACTTGTGTTTTAGAAAGGCCTTGCCTCGATGTTGGTCAGTAGAAGTTGGTTTAGAATCGTTTAGGACCTGTTTGGGAACATTTAGAACCAGCTTTGTTTCTCCTGAGCTCAGGACCCACCTGAGGACCCAAGCAAGGTACAATATGTTTGAGTATGAGAAAGGGGTATGCACACATGAGTCGAGTCCTATGTGAGCACTTTCTTTGATAAGATATTTCTGATTGCCCCAATGCCAATCAGAGAGGCCCACCGTTTGGCTCGGGTCATTGAATGTTGATTCTATTTCCCCACTACTTTACCATGAAGCCGTCATTCCCTTTTGGCCACCATTAGGAGGGTATTTCGGGGATGCCGCCTGTTTTCGCACGGGTCCTAGATTACTTTGGGGGATAGTTTCCCATCAAACCCGCCCTTTAAGGCCTTCAAACCCATCCCTTAAGCCTCTAAAATGTGAACGCCACAAGTGTCGACTTGTTAAAGCAGTTTGCTTTGGCTCAGTTCACTTGCAGATGCCCCCGAATTCACCTGAGACCCAAACGGCTGCCGGGTCCCGAGGCAAAATGGGTTCTACACGCTCTATGTGATACTGCTTCCATGTCGAATTTCAGCCCGGGGTAGAGGAAACCATCATCCACCCTCAAGGCCCCGCAAGGAGCCGTTGGTTCACAGCTGGTGCTCCATATCAAAGATCTCTGACCGTTTGCTGTTTGAGCAACCCATCGACCGGAGAAGTTCGTGGGTTTTCCTCAAGATTGCTGGACAACATTCGTCGAATCCCGTGGGATCCTCAGGGTTTGGTTTTCAAGGCAGAAGAAAGCCATCCGAATTTCTTGGGGTGGAGGTGTCCCTACTGTGGACGGACGATTTCCTGCCCCACCTAAGAAACCCTGGAATGATGATTCCCCTGTACATACCAACAAGCAATGGCTTCAACCATGGTTTCTTAGGTGGGGCGAAATGGATTTCGCAACCATCCACAGTATCTTCCTTCTTTTGGTCGCAAATTCCTGACATGGGTATGGGTCAAGATTAGCTCAGGGACCACAGGTTTTAGCCCTCTCCATTTACTAGGGTTCCATTTTGGGTACGGACCCACAGCCTCAGGAGCGGTTCGTGGGCACTTCCGGGCCCGGCAAAGTGCTGGGCGGCCTCTTCGCCGTGGGCTCGGCGTCGCGGCAGATCTTCTCCGTGCGGGTGCAAGGCCTTGGTCCCGTTTCGTCGGATGCGCGTTCTTTTGGAGGCGTTCCTTTGAGTGATCTGGGTGGGTGTTAGGGGAACACGGGGAAGCCTGCTTGTTGATCTGCAGCTTGAGAATGGTTGGTTTGCTTGCCATATTGAGCGCGTTCACTGTGTGGGCACGAGTTGCTAGGCTTAACTGCGGATGAATAAAAAGCAGAAACGTACCACTCACTAGTCGCTGGAACAATTTCCGCCTAAATTTTTTAAAAGTGTGCCACCCCTGAGTAGTACTCTCCTCCCAGTTGAGTTGGTTGGAGTCAGCACAAATCAATCCCTTGCAGATTAACTCACATCGAAGCTCCGAAACCAATTTTTCTAGAGGCATCTCCTTCTGGGATCTTTTTTTGGTTCCTCTTGTTTATTAACCCCGTATTTCCTGAAGGCACTGAGGCGCCCACGCAATTCTGGGTTGCTCATTGCTTCGACCTGCCAGCTCGCCTTGGCACGTTTCGGCTGGCCGTTTCCCCGGCTGGCACCACACGCTTTGCATTGTATTCGCAAAGCACAGCTCATGAATTCGCCGAACAATTCCGCCACGCCAAGTTGGCGGATATGTTTTTTCTCACACGTGTTGTAGGCCCGCGATGCGCCCGTAGCACATAGAATCGTAGAACTGATAGGCGCCGGGGCATAGCCGCTATCCCCCTCCGGGGTGTTCTGGGGAAGAAGCTTCCCCTTGCCAGGAGACATGGACTCGGAGGATCCGCAGCCGCTGAAGGCGGGGAAGGCTTCGTCGTGCACTTGGCCCAGTGTTGGGCCGGAGATCCGGACCAAAAATGCCAACGAGGTTTTTTTCACTATTTGGCCACGGGGGTTCTGGGGGGCTTCAAATTGGAAAGGTCAGTTTATCCCAGGGTTCACTTTAGGCGGGTTCCCTTTTAAAGGATCAGGGCCTCCAGTGGAGAACCCCGGCTTCTTCCCCAGAATTAGCTCCCCTGTTTCTTTTCTTTTTTGCTTTTTTGGGGGTCCCTTTGTTTTCCACTAACCAGGCACAAAATATATTTTGCTGCTGGGGTCCTAATTCCAGCCTAGTTTTCAGGGGGCCCTTGGACAAAAACCAGATCTTCCTGAAAAATCCTGGCGCTCCGCCTTCGCCTTCAGGTCTGGGAGATCGCGAGCAGCGACCTGGAGCAGTTCGAGTCAATCTTCAACGCGGACGACCTCAACGCCTTCCGGCGCCGCGTGCTGCAGGTCGGGGCATTCGAAGCCTTCGGTGGCGGTTTTGGAGTTCACCTCATTGGGTTCCGATTCAATCCGATTCACCGAAAAGGGGGTGGGTGGGTGGGGGTGGGGGCAGTCTCAAAATGGAGCCTTTTGGTCGGTCTTGAAAGGGGAGCCAAAAGGGAACCGATTTTTGTTGGTCTCCTACGTTGGGAGAGAAACAGGATCCTGCGCGCCAAGCCGTTGGAAAGCAGCCATGCCAGGTATTAAACAGGTCTGGCCAAAATCCTTGGTACTTGGGATTTGCGAAATTAAACCAGGGCCCATTTTTTCTTTTTGAGTTTGTGTCACCCACAGACCTGCCTTGGGTGCCTGGCAAACACGGGCCTGCAGGCACCCTGCAAATCAACCCTTGGTCCCCGCAAAAGGCACACCAACTGGGTAAGGGCAGTGTCAGGCATGGGTTTTGGAGGTATGGAGGGTATACACCGCGTATACAAGGGGTAGATTCTGCATAGCGAGCAAGCTTGTATTGGTGGAATACACTCAGCCCTTGAACAGCAGGCTTGAACACTATTGAGCAATAGTTGAGGCAGCCCACCTGTGGATTAGTCAAGCTGGCGACTAAATCAGAGGTGCAACAGCTCAGGGTTTCCTGTTAGCCACTAGTGATTAATCAGCCAGGAGCTCATTTCCGTTGAGTCCACATATCATATCCTTGAAGAACATCCATCATAAACCTTGAGAACAGTCTGAGGTTCTAGAACATTGTTTGGCCGCGGTTTGTCCACTCGTGTCGTGGATTCATCCCAAAATCATGCCCTAAAGGCATGGGGGCCTTGATAATCCTTTGATTTCTTTGGGTTTGGCAAAACGGCTTGGCCTGGTGTTATCAGGCCGAGGGATGTTATCAGATGTTTTCAGGCTTGGGCGACTTAACACTCCGGTGGAAACGGTTCCAACATGTTGTGGGGCCCGGTTTCTTTTGGTCGCGTTCCCGCCCCCCTTTTTGCGGGCCCCGTGATATCCATGGGTACTGGTTGTGGGTGTTTGTCAAAGTTCACCCCCTCCTGTCGGATGTGTTATCACTCCCTGAATTCCTGGACTTGAGGCTTTTTGGGTTTGGATCATTTTAGGTGGTAAACAAAAAGTTAAAGGACCCTTTTCACGAATTCACTTAGGAAGTGAGCCCTTGTTTAAACAAAGTTCTCCCTGGGTCCACCTGAGAGGACGTCCGCATGCAGCTGGTGCCCTACCTGCAGCAACTGCTTCTGTCGGGCGTCTTCTCCCGCTACTCCACGCAGTTCATTGCACGCATCGTCAAAGACCGAATATCTTTGGGGTAGGGCCAGGAACGTGCATGTTCATGTGAATTGTCGTGTTTCGCTCCGACGCTCGGCACCATCTTACATCTTCGCACTAGAAAAAAAGTTCTACGGTATCTGGGACCCCTGTTGTTGCTTCATGTTATTTCAGGCTGACGAGGACAGAGTCAATGAAAGTGTTGTGCTCCAGGGCAAAGAGGCAGATAAATTTGCTAAAAAAAATACACACGTTACTGTCCTATGGTCATGACGTAATTTGGCTCAATAATATAGTATGCCAGAATGTGGCTGCAACGGACACACAATTTGCCGAAATACCAGGGGTTGAACAGGATTGTGGGAATATGGGAGTTTGCTTCGCTTCAGTGATGACAGGGAGCCACAATTAAAGAGTTAGTCATTGGCAACGCCGGGTTCCCAAAATGATTTGAATTAGCCGGCCATTGTCGCATTCCAACCCAGGATGAAGAAACCCTCGGTTGAGGAGCGTCCCATTTTGGAGAGCATCCTTCTTCACTTTGCGGGGAACAGCACCCAACTTGATTTGTCAGCTTATACTCCAAGATACTGGGCAAGATTCAATACCCGAACTAAAAACAAGGGGATAGCCTTGCAAAGGACCGTCATTGTGTTTGAGCTCGTTTCATCCTCGAATAAGCTTGTTATATTTTGCCCGAATATCGAGGGGAATGACAGGCCAGATGTGCATTAATGGGCAGGTGCAAAAACATCCTCACACTGGTTGTGGCTGTGTCAGTTAGTCAGGGCAAAAAGCCAACAAACATAGCCTCTTGCCCACCTTGTTTTGAGTGACTCCATCGAACAGCCGAAGGTGGGATACCCCCTTTGCCCCCCATTGACCCTGCTGGTTTGGTTTTGGCGGCGCCATGTTTGTCGACCAAACCCAGGCTGCAAAATTTGAACCTTATTCTATGGCTTGTCGTTGTGTAGTGGCGGCTTGGTCACGGGCAATAGTTCAACTTTCAAAATACCCGAAGCATGCGGCGGGCGGGGCGCCGTTCGGGTTTCGGCCTGTTTTTGTCCCAGCACATTGTACGGCGTTCGGCCCCCATTGTTTCAGTCCAGTTTGTCACTTTTCTTTTCTGTGGTGGCTGAAGCTGTAATGATGGCCATGCCATAAGGCAACTAATGTTGAATTGGGTTGCGGGGTTCCTCAAATTCAAGCGGAGCCATAGTCACAAGATGATAGCATGTGTAATTGTTCAGCTCCTCAAAGGTTCACTAGACTTGTTGTGCCGGTTTTCGGGCCACCATCATTTTGGTCCAAGTTAATTTCAACGACTTTGAGCCGTGGTTTGCTCTTCTGATTTTGTTCACATGTCCTTGGCGCCCATTTCCTTGCGCTTTGAGTTCGTTAAAGCGTGCGCCTTCGGGGCAGGATATGGACCTGCGCCTCTTCGAACCTGGGCAAGTGATCTTTAAAGAGAAGTCCCTCGGACGGCGCCTCGGAGCAAAGGCGGCTGGTTTCAGGCAACCCTTCCAACCCACAAATGAATGGAAGGAACCCAGTTTGTTTTTTGTTGTTGTTTTTTTTGGGGGGCGGGTTTCGATTCCCGGAAAAAAAACCAGGCAAGGGGTTCCTCAAGAAGTCCATGTTTTCGTTGGTGTCTATGTCAAGCAGGGGAGTAGTTGGTGGTTTGGTTGTTGGATGTGAACCCATGGTTCTTGTATAAGTGCCAAACCATCCTTGACCTCCATATCGCCAATTGGAGGAAAGCTGATAGTAAATTCCCCAGGTTTACTGCAGCCCTTGCTGATTGGGTGGGAGTCCCAGTTACATTGGAGCTTGTCTCAGAATGGGAATCGAAACCAACAAAAGCTGGTGCTGTCCATTTGGCTTCCTGGAAAGCAGCCAAGGCGCCTCAAGAAAGGACACTCAAGAAAGGACACAAATTCTCAGCTTTCCTTGAACTGACCTTAGCCACGGAAGCAACGTCCCAGAGAGAATCTCAGAGGCTGGAGGTTACAACGCCCCAAAAGCACACCTTCCCCGTAGGGCCCTCCAAGCGGAATACCTTTGGCCCGGTCAAGAAACTACTTTCACTTGCTGTGTCCAACTCAGCTTTCCTCCAAGTGGTTTGGATTGCTTCGGTCTTCCGGGGCGGTTTCCGCATATAATTACTCAGCTTGCCCCTTGGCGGCTTGGTTTGGTGGAGGGGCTACCTTCCCCATTTTGCTACAGGTTCAAAGGAACTGGGGTTCAGAGAATCCCTAGAGCAGGTGTTGAGATGCATCCTTGATGCATCCCCTTGGCGCAAAGAACCTCCCGCGCTGACGTCGACCGCCATCCCAATTCCCGTGGCGAAGTCTCGCAAGGTTTGACTCAACGGAAAGAGGCCAGTGTAAGATCCGGTTTTTGTGTCAGAGCCTGCTTATATATATATATAAGTATTTTCCAGAATCTCTCAGCATCTTTTTTTAATGGTACCTGGGGGTCCTGGACCACAAATTGTCCTGCCACAGCTGGGTGAAAGTGGACGAACGGCGCGTGTGTTCCATGTTGTTTCAGTCATCCCTGGCACTTTCCCACGCAAAATCCACTTTTACCCTGGTACAACAGGTGGTGGAAGACATTTCCGCAGAAATTCCCTGGTTTTCTCTTGGACTTTCTTGTTTTCTCCTCTTGGGGTTGCACCATTTTCCTCACTGCAGTCGCGGGAACTCCCAGCTTGAAGAACAGAATCACTCCTTTATTATCATATCCCTATCTCTCCCTGTCTTCTCACTCTGCCGTAGTCATTGGCAGGATTTGGCCCGTAATATGTAGAGGACAATTGGCGATATTGGCGTAGAGGAGAAGACGGAGCAGGAAGAAGCTAAGCAATACAGATAAGAAAGGTAAGTTAAGAAGCAACGATAGAAGTGATTTTCCTCTTTGCATTCCCTTAAACTTTATTGATTTACTTAGGTAAAGATGAAACATAATCAGCAGCTCTTTTTGGAGTAGAGGGCCAACTTTTGCATTTTGAGGCTCTATGTCATAGTTTTCTCAGTTGCTTGCATGAATAGGTCGGTGTGTTTCTCTTAAAACCAGATGCTGGTGCTACAGGGAGTCTACTACTAGTAGAACTCATTTCTCATGATCTCCGGTTTCTCATGTTTACCGGGTTCGAAGAAGGCAATTGAAGGGATGCCGCTGGTCCAAGGAGTCTGGGGGTGTTGGTGTCCGGCGTCGTGGATATCATCGTCAACGGGCGCAAGGTGATGTCTAAGAGCAGTTCCGGCCAGGACGGAATCGAATTGTTTTCGAGACGTGGTCGGGATCCACAGAGAGCGGTTCCTTGAGCAGCGGTTTGCCAACATCCCCAGCGGCCGTTTTATGAAGGTTAGTGGGGGGAGTGGGGGGCCGGGGGGGGTGGAGGGGTGGAGGGGTGGTGGTGGTTGTCTGAAAAATCAGGTTCTCTGTCAGGTTTCTGAAAAATCGGTGGCTTGGGGATTTGAACCTGGGTAGATGGGAAACCACTCCCTAACCACCAATTAGAGGGAAGCTGCCATCTACTGACTGGCTTCATGCGGTGTATAGCAAGGCCTGCGTTAGCCCTTATGACCATGCTGTTAGAACCAAAAGTTAATAGGTTTTAGGCGCTGCTCATTTGGGTGTGTTAAAATAGGGATTCGGAATCACAACATGAAGTTAGGTTTCCCTTTAGGCTTCTTTTTAAAGCAACCTCACAAAGGATACCCTCACAAAACGCACACTCACAGACAGACTGTTTTTTTGGTTTCCAGGTGAGACACTCGGGAATGGATGAAACGCTAGGATTTAATATCACGATAAACCATCTTCCGCAGTACTACCAGGGTAGTAGTTTTGAGTGGGCCCCTGTTGGTGTTGCAGGTTGGATATTAGGCTTGGGTAAGCCCATATCGATTTATCACAGTAATATGGTCAGGTACTCATTAAGCTGTCTACGGAACGCGGCCTTACAATCGGGGGTGTATGCCAGAGCCTAGACAAGCGGCTGTTCTGGACACGGGGTTAGAACTTAATTTGTAACCTTTCCATAACATATTCCCGATATTTTCCTTGGGAAGGGGGTTTGATGCGAAGTGAGCATCGTCTTGCTTAGTTGCACTTGGTGTGACCTTTCGTTTTGCATTTTGCACAATGGGAGTGTTTTTTTGTTCACGGTGCCCCCCTTTTTGGTTGGCTTTCCGGATATTTTAGCCTGGGTTGCCACTTCACGTGCTTATTCAAAGGGGAGTGAAGTTATATACCCTCTGGATCTACATGGAACGCGTCCCAAGCCATCAGATGCTCAACCTCCCAAAAACGGGACGCTCCTGGGGATTTGCAGGGTGTTACGATTTTCCATGTTCTGCCCTTGCCCTGCACATTGGCTTTCCCAAATGGGTCATGCATTCAAATGCCCCAAAATGCAGGACTGACTCAATTGTTTTTTTTGTTGTCCTTTTGTCCTTTTTGGGTGTTCTTCACGTTCTTCACGCCTTGCTTTCAAAAAGCTTTTGACAGGGATCAGTCTCAAGTTTCAACCCGCCACGGTATGCTTTCCACTTGCAGCCAGCTCATGCCTGTTCGGAAGGGGCAACTTCTTCAAAGGCCTTAAGGCCTTTTGCACATTCATATACACACATATGTGTCTCCATATATATATATATGTATCTCACTTGCCCTAAGAGCAAATCGACCAGATCTGACCTTGGGATTTTTCCTGTCATGGCCCGAAAAGTTGATCACCTTTGGTTTCTGGGTCCTTTATGTAACTGGAAGAAGTCCTTGTATATTAAGGTCTTATTGAAGGGAAACAGAGGCGTCGGATCCTCTGAGTGAACATCAAGCACAGCCTTTTGGGTACCAGCTTTCGGGAACAGAGTCTTCGCTATTTTGCAAGCGCGTCCACGCATCCGAAGTTCGAAAGGGATACACGGGCCAACGAAATAACCACCTGATTTTGTTTGTCGGATTTGAATCCATATCCTGGTCGAGCAAGTGGTTTGTGGATGGAAGGAGCCCTGTTGATGTCTTGTTTTGTCCTTTGACCTTGGCTCCACCTCTGTGCGGTGTCCATGGGCTCCCTGCACACATGTGTCGCCCCAACCTGCCTTTTTTTGGACAGCAAAACGAGAGATGTTGCTACTGCGTATGGTTGCGAAGTCCATTTCGAGCCAACTAAGAAGCCGTGGTTGGAGCCATAACGTTTGTTGGTATTCCAGGGGACATCATCATTCCGTCTGGTTTCTCAAGTGGATCCCACGAGGAATTCGCAACCATCCGCAGTATTGGCCCGCACCGTCGTTGTGGTCAAGTTCTTGGTGTCAGTTTTTGCCAATGGGAAATTAGAACTATGCTTCCACTACTACATATTGACTGGACCAGGCGTCATTGTTGTTGGACATCAAGTCTGAACACATGACTATGATAGTTTGAGTCCATCCTTGTCGGTGTTTGGCGTTGTTTTGTGAGTAACACGAGTCGTCCCACAGGAGATTGGGGAGGCGGCCTTGTTCGAGACCAACTACCGGCGCCACGCCACCACCCGCTGTGGATCCTGCGAGTCGTTGATGTTCCTGGTCAGCCGGGCGCCTCGCCGATCCGGGGGAAGAAGCATGGGCCCATGGTTGTTTTAGGGCCCCCCCCTTTTCGAGGCACCCGGCTCCTACAAAATGCAACACCTGAAAGGAACCCTGTTCGCCGAGAGGCCTCAATGAACAGTTTGCGGGCGGAGACCCTTGACATGGGACATGAGAGTTTGAGGGCAGCTGGTCTTTGAGGCTCCCCTCCCCCTCCCCCCCCCCTTCGACGGCATGCCTCGAATTTGGCTGACGCTCGAAGTTTCCAGAAGCCATGAACCCAGGACCCCCAAACTCTGTTACTGAACGACTGGCTGGTATGGGGACGAGCAAATGGGCAGGGGTGATATGGCCATAAACAACCTCCTTTCGAGTTCCCTATTCAAAGATTCAAAGGGAGCCTTGGTTGGCCATAGTCTGGACCCTACCTTTCTTTCCAGCATTAGCCTGCTACATCCGATTAGGCCCCGGCGCTCATGTCATAGACAGGGCCAACCCCATGAAACAGAGTTTGGAGGTGATCAAAGCCATTTTTGGGTGTTGTCAAAATAGCGGGATCTTACAAGGGCTGACTTTCCGTTCGGCGCCCCCTTTAAAGCAAGGTGAAAAAGGCACCTTCATTTATGCAGAACAAAAACAGACAAAGCCTCCGGCCGAGAAAACGCATCACTGCATCACCCATTTGCTGTAAGGCTCTAACAGATCAGAATGGGCTTGCGGGGTACTTAAAATCAGCTTAACTGAAAAGATAAACAATAAGCAACCAATAGCCTGCTAGTCATCCCGCTCCCCTTGAATTCGTGGTTTAGATTGGTGGTTTGGAGCTCACGGGCTGGTTGTCCATTGCCTCGCAACAAGTTTTCCAACCACCCAGGGGAGGAGCAATCCCCACCCCCGAAAAAATGGAATTGGGGCGGGGGGTGACCCCTGGAATTCCATTTGAGGTTCCATTGTCCCTTTTATGGGGAAGACTAGATAAATGGAATTGGGGAACCCCCACCCCCCTCCTCCTGAAGGTAGGGGGGATGAGGAGCAAGCCCAACTCCCAAAAAACGAGTTGCCTGGTTTCTCAATTACCTTCCAGCAACGACTCCAAGCCCAAACAAGGAGCAAGCCAACCTCCCAAAAAACGAGTTTTGCCTCCAAACAGGATGCCTTACGACTCCAAACCACCCAAATAAGGAGCAAGCCAACCTCCCCAAAAACGAGTTTTTTTGCCTCGGAAAAGGACGCCTTCTACATGTGTCTGGAGAAGTTCCCGGAGGAGAAGATCAAGCTGGCGGAGCAAGTGCGGCACCGCATCGCCATGACGGCTCGGAGCCCCGAATCGGATGTTTGGAGCTGGGCGATGCATGGCATGGCTGTGACCAAGCTTGGTGGCCCCCGAAGGCCATCCGGTTCCTTAGCTTTTTATAAATCCTTTTAGTGTTAGTGGTACTTTCCATCTACCCCACTAAAAGTTATTCACTTTTAGCAAAAAAAAGTCTGAGGGCAGCCCGGCAACGGGGGGATATGCTGAAGGTATACAAGTTGTTTGATACATGGAACTGTATGCTTTAGTCCTTGACAAGTTGCAGGTCTTCAGGTTCGGGAAGGCAATCTTTGATCGGATTTTTCTTGCAGCTTGGCGATTCGGTTGACCGGACGGATCGGTTTGTGGAGAGACCGTGGGGAACCGATGTTGATGTCCATACGTCGGTCATCGACCATTTGCTCGTTCAGGGGGGGGGGCAGCAACTCACAGCTGGGTTGCTCAGTCGATGCCACAATTCCAACGATTGTTTTGGTGGGTAAAGGGGATGACTAAACCAACAGACCGGGGGGAAGGCACCTTAGACTTTGGATTCGTCCCATTTTAGCTACTCGTCATGGCGTCTCTATGCGTTCGGTGCTGGTGGCCCCCGGCTGTGCTTGAACCGGGCATCCCCTCTTGCAACTCCTTTCCGGCAATAGGAAGTCACCTCAAGTTCCAATTGGCCCAAAGTCGCCAGCAAAACATTGTGTTTGGAGTCTCCATGACCCTTCAAAAATGGGCTGACCCCATTCTGTTGGTTAACCCTCTTTTTTGAGGGCCATGGAGCCTCCAGGAAGATTGCATTGTTCTTCCCAAACGATTTCAAGTCCGGAAGCTGCTCAGCACACAAAGCTGGCCGCTCTGTTCAATGGTTTTCTCACTTCCCGAGTTCCTGGATTTTACACTTTTTGGTAAGACCATTTTCGTGGCCAACTGGAAGTGAAAGGACTTGTTTTGGACCATCCACTCGGGAAGTGAGGTTTGTTTCCTTCAAACCTGGCTGACCTTTAGCCAAATTCTTCTCAAGCAACCATCCGGAGCTTCGGGTCAACCTAGGCGCCGGCCGGTTTTTGCCACGCGAGTCTGAGGCGTCGTCCTTTTTCCTGGCTATTTGTTCATGTCAACCCCCGAAAATCACTCGCAGTTTTATTGGAACCAACGAAGTCATGGTAGTCCTAGTAAAATCCCACATCTCTTCTGCATCTTACTCACCAACCAGTTTTATGAAGTTCAGACTTGTGCCGGGGTTTCTGTGCTGAACTAAGAATCGTTCCATTCCCCGCACTGGTGCCTTCGTTACCTCTGGTTCTCGTAGGGGCTAATGGATAACCACCCCGGACACATCAGAGGGATGCTGAGTTATAGGCTGAAAATTCGACACCAGGCGCAGATGTTCGGTCAGCGGAAGAAGTGGGATTCTTGTGGAAGGAAAAGGACCCTGCATTTCGCACCTGGTTAGGTTGGCGATTCCACTTATTGCATCTTTACCTGTGGATAGTTTGTGTTGTGATGTTCATTTGTATCCAGCTGTTCCATGGCAGTTTTTGATGGGAAGATAGAGCCCCCTCCCCAAAAGGATCCTGGGCCAACCAGCGGATGCCTAGGGAATTCCAACGAGGGAAAAACTCATGAAAACTCCTTGACTTCTATTTGCTTAAGAATATGTTTTATTTGGCCTTGTTGGTTTTAAAGGGAACCGATTTGACTACTGGACGTAATTTCCATTTTGCCAGGCAGCTCAAGCGAAAACTCCATTAGGTGCTGAAGGAGCCCTTCAACATGTGTGACCCAGCCTTCCTGCACCTGGTGTGCACGGAGTGCGAGGCCGGCAAGAGACGACTTAGGACAGAAATGCGTCAATGGCTTGGCGTGTGGAGTTGTGGGGTAGCTAGCTGTTTTCGTGTTTTCGTGTTTTCGATTCTTGTTGTTTTCTGTGGAAGTGTCCTTTTGTTCACTTTCCGGCTCATGTTTAGTGGCAGCTGCAAGCAGGGTGTTTTCCTACATGCCAAGGGTTGGAAAGTTAGCTAACTTTCTACCCTGTGGCGTGCTAGTCATTGGCGTTTGCCTGCTTTGCTCTTTTGATCTCTTTTGCCCTTTGGGGTTTTCTTCATTTTGCCTTTGAACCAGCAGAAAGTTGTTACCTGTGCCAGGGAGCCGCCCCGCCCGACCAAGTGTGCTTCCCAAAAGGTGCTTTAAGTTTGTACCCCTAAATTTCCGCCATGTGCCACCCACCTCCTTTTTGGAGAATAACCGTCAGGTACATTTGGCACCTGTAATTACATGTTTCCTCCAAGGGGAGGTTGGTTTGGGCTTAGACAAATGGCATGCCGATAGCACACCAAAGGAAGACACCTCCTTCTAGTGTTCGACTGCAAAGTCCTGCATGGTTGTTTACCACTTTCTCCCGAGATGCCAACCCCCTCAAAAATGGAATTGGCAATGGAGAAATGACTGTCTTTATTTCCTGCTGTTTTTGGCATGATATGTTTTAGTTTTGCTTGAATGATTTATGTGTTTATTTCTTCGTTCCGTTGTTTCTTTCTTTGTTTGCGTTGTTTGTTTGTTTGTTTCCTTGTTTCTTTATGTTTTTCTTTATTTATGTCTTTCTTTTTTTCTTTCTTTCTTTCTTTCTTTCTTTCTTTCTTTATTTCTGTCTTTCTGTTTTTCAGGCTTTCTGTCTTTCTGTCTTTGCTCTTTCTTTGCTTGTTTGTTTGTTTGTTTGTTTGTTTGTTTGTTTGTTCGTGTTTAAAATCTTTTTTCATGCTTAGTTCGCCAGGTTGCTATAGCCACGAGCAGGAAAGGATGGCATGACAGGGGCTAGATCATTGGAATGGTTCGGGGAACGAAACAATGAAGTTCAGCCCTGCCCCTTGAGGCGTTGCGTGTGGTTGTTCTTTTGTTGGCTTGTTCATGCGAAGGCTCCAAACAAAGCGGAGCTTCTCTAACATAAGTTGGTTGATCCTCAGTTGTTCAGGCTGTTTTAGGTGGTTCTACATTGCCTCCTACCAACCATGCTAGTAGAACCAAGGCCAAGACTTACCAACCACCAACATTAGGCATTTTGAACAACTGACTTGCCCAGAGCGAATCGACCTTTTGAACTTCTGATTTTCCCGTGTATAGTCACCCCAAACGGTGATCACCTTTGATTTCTGGCTCCAGACAGGGCAGCTGACTTTTGCACGAAAAGCCCCAAGAAAAACCAAGGCCACTTTGGGGGCAAGGGGTCCAACCTTTAATTAAAGAGAACGAGGCACCCGGATTTCAGCCTTTGAACCAACGAGTTTTCGGAAAAGTCCCATGAGCCAAGACGAGCCGCCGCTCAAAATGTCATCCGCTTAGAGACGCGGACAAGTCGCGCGGCACGCGTCGCGAGGTGGTGAACCTCAGTTGGCCCAAGGCCGCCTGCTCCCCGGACTCTGCGGACGAGGCGGCCGAAGGATGGTCTTGAACGTGCGACACTTCCCTTGGGCTTCATGATGTGAATGTAGCATCCAGATGTGTTGTTAGAGACAGTTGTATATAAGGGTTTTACGAATGGTTTCCCTTTGTTGGTTTTGAAGGGAATCTATCACTACTAGGTTTGTTGTTTTTCTTGGACCTGAGCAAATGGAAGGACCGGTTTTCGAGGTTTAACCCACTTCAGAGCCAAACTCTCCATGTTATGTTCCCCCACTGCTTTCAATGGGCTAGCTGATAGAGCCGAATTGGTTTTTACTTTGAGCATAAAGTTGAAACCTTCATTTGCTGCTTGACTTGTTGAGGTGGGCCCTCTTTGGAGGATGGTTCCTTTGTGGCTGACCCCGTGGCCCCTTATTCTGGCTTGTTTTTGAAGGGAAACCAAGACGTGGCTTGCTCTATCGGGGGTGTTAGGGAATCGAGCCTCAATGGCATGTGAACGGAACTGGTGTGGGAAGAGCAGCCACGTGCACGAGCATCTGAGGAATGTCCAGCACTTCCAAGCAACTGCCGTTGTTTTTTTTGGTGAGACGTTCTCTTGCGCACACTTTCAAGCCAGACCCTGTCCCTTTTTCAACAGTTCATGATAGAGGCGGCTGAAACCAGAATACTGGGCCCATAGTACACCAACATGTAAGCAACAATGCGTCTGGGTTGGAAAAATGAAGGCTTGGTTTCTGCACTTTTTTGTTGGTCCAGCCATGTTGGTCCGGCCATGTTGACCAAAAACAGGCGTGAGACGGGCAATAGTGCCTCACTCCCCCATTCCGGCCGCTTGGCCTGCTTGAGGTGATGCACCTATGCTACGCAGGGGACTTGATCGTGGAGGTGGAGGGGCAGGACAGTTGTTGGATCCCCACTTGCTAGTTTGTTTTTTTCTTTCGGGGGGGGGGGGGCGTATGAGGAAATCTTAGCAAATGTGCGTGTTGAGGCTCGTCATGGGGATGGGAATCCCGTGAAACAGCGTGACTGATTTAGGGGCAGCCAGTTCAACAATCCGGTCTCGGGTCCAGATTTTGCACCATCGGCCCGTTTTAAGGGCAACCCATGCGTCTTTTTAAGCAATGGCTTCATCTAAGGCCCGCCGAACACACAAGTAGTGGACATATCTTACAATCAGCGGATATGGGTGGTTGTGCAAGGGCCATCCGTTTCTGCATGGCGTGAAGGTGGTGTATGATCATGTAAGTAGGACCTCAGGTTCAAATTCTTTCAACTAGGCTCTTCAAAGCCAATGTTTTATCCTTTGGCCGTCCAACATTCCATGCGAAACAGCCCACTTACACCCCAGTTTCCGACCAACATTTGCCCTGGATGGCCTTGTTTGATTTCGGTTTCCTCACTTGCAACCGACCTTCTGGCTTTCCCTGTGTCGGTTTCCCCATTTCTGTCATGGCCTCAGCTCTTGTTATTTCTGGGTCCTTTGCGCAACTGACATTATGAAGCATTCTTTCCTGAGATGCTTCAAGGAAGCCTCCCTTCAGCCAGAGGAAGATGCTTGAACAAATGGCTTAGAAACATGGAACAGAGGTCCCATCCCAACAGTGGGTTGCTCTAAACACGGATGGGTTCGGGGTTCCATTTTGAGCTGCGAAGGAACTCACTTGCCAAAGCGAATCGACCCTTTGGACTTCTGATTTTACTCCTTTGGCCCATTTGAATCATGGTCCCAAAAGGTGGGCCCTGTATTTGCGGCTCCTTTGGGCGACGGAGAGGAACATGCAGCGCGGGGTTTCGTGCTCGCCATGCTTTGCTTCGCACGGGGGAGCCAACCAAATGGACAGGACTCCCGCTTCGCCAAGAAGTGGGAGATCTTTGGGCTAGAGGTGCCGAAGCCGAAGCGAAGCGAGTGGTTTGGATTGCTTTGGATTTGTTTGGGGTGGGACACCCCATTTTTACCCTCCAGAACCAAGGCTCACATCCCAAAAGCTTCCACCCAAACCACCAACTCAGGCTTACCTGAGGCCAAAAGGAGTTTTTCCCGGGTTCCATGTTAATCTGCAGGGGGTACTATTGCTGTAGAATCTAATGTGTGTGTGTGTGTGCTTTTTACTTTTAGTGGGGGGATGCAAAGAGCAAAATGTTTGGACAGTTGTAGAGTGTTGCAATTTTGGGTTCGCCAAACATCCGGATTCCCTCATGGCCCCTTTTAAGAGCAACACGTTGACTTTTTTTGCAGGGGTCCATGCTTGGCCCAATGAATATGGGCCAGAATCTCTATATAGCTTTCTAGTTTTAGACCAAAAGGCTGTTGTAGCGTGCTCTCTGGTTTGCTTTGAGCATGCTTTGTTGAGGAACCCCCCTCCCCCCCGCGTTTGCCTTTTAATTTGTCCCCGCAGCCACAAGGTCCGCTGAACCTTGGAGGCCTTCTGGGCTGCTTTTGGCCTGATGTCATGGCAAGAAGGCGTTTTATCTCTTTTTTTTAAGAAGTCAGGCCCATTTTCTCCAAGTCTGGGGGCCCTTGTGGCCACGTGTTTCCGGCGTTTTTTCCGCTGCTTTGCGGGTCCAAACCTCGTTCGAAGCGAACGAGGCGGCCCTGGGTCTGCGGAGCGGGCCTCCGGAGTACAAGCTGCTGGCCGGGCGCGCCGGCTGCACCTTGGTGCGGGTCACCTGGAAGGCCTTCGAAGGCGCGCTGCGTGCGAGCTTTTTTTGGGGGCGGTTTTCGCTCGGAGGGGCGGGGGGGGCCAGAGAAAAGACCCGGGGGCTGTTAAAATGGGCAATTTCGTTTCATGTGGTGTTTCCTCTTTTTTGTTGAATATATATATATATATGTATATAATTATTATCATTATTATCATCACTATTACGAGTGGGGGGAGGGGGGCCAAGAATAGTGTGCTCTTTGTGCAGAGATGTAAGGTGTTTGTGGACCTCCATGTGTGTGCCGCAGAAAGGCCCGTGGTGGAACTGAAGAAACTCCTCCAAGCATACGATGTTTCTTTATTTTGTTTTAATGGGAAACGTATTATTGAACTCCATGTTGGGGGGGGGCCTAAAAAGGCATCCAAATCTGAATTTGGGATGATTGAGTAAGAAACAGAATGAGACAAATCTGTTTGGTGTCTGGTTTCATGGTGTCCGCGTGTCCTGTAAACCACATGGTCCCTCAAAGCGGTTCCTCTTGACTTTCGTCTGAAACCCTGCAAACTTGGTCTGCGTCTTTTTCCGGTCTCAAAAGCGCTGTTAGGACAAAGCGGCTTTGAACCACCGGTCAGGCGCTTTGCGCTTCTTCCCCACGCAGCTGGGGCACCTGCTGCGCTTGGCCTCTGGTTCCGTTCCGAAAGACCACCCATTCGTGGGCCAGGACGGCGGTGTGAACCAGCTGTTCCAGGTATTGAGCCCGAGCCAAGGTGCCTGGAGTCTCCATGTACCCTTGATGGGGTTACTCAAAAGAAAGGGGCGACCCCGGTTTTGAAGGGTCATGGAGAGTTGAGGTAGGCTTAAACCCAGGCGTGGTTGGATTATGTTGGATTTCTCCGAAAAGGTTTCTGGGTTCATGCCTACCTTTGGGCAGTCAGAAAATTGAATTTTGAGCGTGGATGACCGTCCTCCAGCAATGTTCCCTTGAGAGGTCTGGGGCGTCCGTACGAATACCTGGAGATGTTCCGTTGGATCCAAACAAGGTATGTGCAAACAAATGACCCGTAACCATCCATAGGGGCTTCAGAGTTGGGCCAGCCCCGAAAAATGAGAGCTACAAGTTGCTGTAAACCAGTGGGTTGGCCCAAATCAGGAGGGGGGGGGGCAAGGAAAAAGAGGCTGAGCCTATACTAACAACCGCTTAGGGATTTTAGACAGACAACCACTGTTGGGTTCCTAAGAGAATCGTGGCCATGACCCACAGGCCCGGAGATTTGATGCGACTTTCGCCGGGCACTTGGGTGACTGAGAGGTGGGCTAAACATCATGCCATAAAAACCCGGGGAGGAGGGCTTTGAACAGGGACAAATCATGGGCCCAGCCCCGAAAATGAGGCGGAAGAGGGGTGCCAAGCCATGAACACCATGCAGGGGATTCAGGGGGGTTGAATCTCGGCAGGAGGGCCTCATTTGGGAGATGGTGCAGCCGCTGCTGTGCCAGATATTTTGCACCATGGACGTCGACTTCGCCTTTTGCCAGGCGAAAACTTGATGTTTTCTTACCACTTTTTGTGCTGACTTTGAAGCAGACCTGGTGTTTTTCATGGCAACTGTTGCCCCATGGTTAGTCAGGGCTTGACATCGGCCCCGAACAGTGGTGGCATTTGGAGTGGGAATGGTTGGTATATTTGTTTAATTGTCCTTTGCGCGCCAACCAAAGGGGTGAAATGATTTCGCTTGCTTCAGCCCTCTTTCTTGGTTGGTCTTATCAAAGGCCCAGACCCCCCTGAAAAATTCGCCTTACCCCTGTTTTTAGCAAAGGGCATCGGGGGGGGGAACAAAAACAAACTATTTTTGGGGTACTGCCCTACAGGCTAACATGGGACCCAGCAAAGCCCGACCATTTGTAGACGAGGAAGCTCCTTTTGCGAATCAGACCCCCATGTTTATTTCGGTAGGGGTGGTGGTAGATTGTTTCAGCTGCCCACCAACGGTGGTTTGGATTGGTGGTTTGGAGGCTAAGGGGAGGGGTTGCCCAATTTTCATCGACAACACCAAAATCCGAATCCAAATCACCAATCCAAGCCACCAATAAAGGGCAACCTAATGTTTGAGACACTGGGGCCCCCCCCACCCGCACCACCCCACCCCCCACCCCCACCACCCCACCACCACCCAACCTCCAAACCCCCCGACCCGGGGAGGCCTTAGCCCCCCACTTCCAAGCCTCCGTCTACGACGCCGGGTGCCTCATCGCTGCGGAGGGCGCGGTGTGCGACGCCTTGGTCCTGCACCTCGGGGGCGAAAAATCGGGGCAAGCCGAACCCAACAAACTTGCTGGTGCTAATGACCCGTATAAAGCATCCCCTATGGTTTCCTTCATTCCCACAATCCCTGAGCACCGGCAAGAAAATGTGTGGGGGAAGGGTTGTTAGGGAGAGGACTCACCGCCCCCGTAGGACTTTAGCTTGTGGAGACTCGGGTTGTGTAGGGTACCCCCTTTCGGGTTGAAGGGGGAACCAAAAGAAAACCACCCATCTTGGGGGTTCCCCCATTTTGGCACATACTCAGCCATGATGATTGGCGTGGTTTAGTGGTTGACATCCAACCACTTAGCTGCTAAGACTCAGTTTGCTTTGCTCCCCTTCCAACGCCCAGATGTTCGGAGCCCAGAGCCCAGGCTCTTGTCCGGGGAGGTCCTGTGGTCCCGGCACGGCATCGCCACCTTCGCGGCCGCCGCGCCCCAGTACTTCGACGAGAATTCTGGCGGCACTCGGGGGGAAGCCGGGCGCATTTCTGGGGGTACCTTCCATTTCCATTCTTTCCAGGGATCCTTAGGAAACCTCCGGAAAGCCAGGGAAAGCGGGCGTTTTTTTTTCAAAAACAGCGATGGTGGAAAAGAAGGCTGAATCAAGCCCTAGAGCATTTCTGACTTGCCCAAAACGAATCCACCTGTTAACCTTTTGTTTTTGGATTTGATTTGGTAACCGGTTTGTAGGAAATGGCATCAAAAGATCAACCTCTTATTTCTGGGTCCTTTGGACAACCGAGATTTGGCTGGTTTTCGGTGTGACCGAAATCCCCCCACCGTCCCCCCCCCCACCGTTTGGACAGAAACTGTTTGCCATGAAACCTATAGAGCTTTGCTCCGGGAAGGGCCACCTAGATAAATCCGTGTTTGGTTGGTTGCCCAGTTAGAATGGTCAACTGCAAAGAGACTTCCCGCTGTCTACCAGGTCACTCGGCAATTGGGCAACCGCGGTGTTGACTGAGTTTCCGATTTACGTTTTGTGCAGCGGGCGGTGCCTCCACAAAGTGAGTGGTTCGGATCTTCGCTGAGGCCAATGACCCTCCCAGCTTGTTGTGAACGGAAGGTCTGTGAATCCCGGTGGGTGTTCACGCCAACCGAGGGCCATGGATGAGTAGAAGCCCCACAGCACTTCCAAAGACTAACGCCCAATCCCATTTCTAACCGCCTATGGCATCCTTGACTGCCATCATTTCCCTTGGGAAACGTTGGCTTCCCTTCGAAATGCGGCACTCGCTGAGTGGGACTTTTGCTTTGTGGCCGGGGATTTTTTGTAGCGAGAAGTTTGGTCTTGTTTTTTCACTCAAAGATCAGGCGCCATGAGCCCCTAGAATGGAAACCCTAGATTTTCGGATGCTTCAGCGCTATGGGATACACCCTGCTGGATGCTACGGGTGACCCCCATGTTTGAGCCACCTAGGAAAACCCAATGCCATACATAAAACGAAAAGCAGCTGCATCAACTTCTAGAGGAAATCTCTCTGAATTTCTACGGTTTTGGATAAATAAACATATATATATATACATAATATGCATCTTATAACGGCGCCTATGTTGACTGACAAACTAAACGCACTGCGTAGAGCCTGGCTGGTCCCAGATGAGTTTCGCTGGTTCCAGCCGAGCCCTGGCTCGGGAAGTGGGGAAGTGGTAAGCTGGCCTGGTGAACGCTTTGGGGCGGATCCCATACGACTGGAGATCTTCAGGAGTAGGTGCTATAGTTGCCCCCGGATTCATCAACCCCAGCTTTATTAATAGGGGGTGTCCCTGTTTTTGGTGGAGGTTCATCACTTTTGGAGCGGAACACCAGGATATATATATATACATATCTATATCTACATAAACACATAGCAAGAAACAGGGGTTTATGAGTTGTTCCCACTAGTTCCATTTCCCTTTGTGGGAATCGGGAAGGACGAGCAAAGAAACGACTTCGAGCCTTCCGAAGCTTTGCGAGGACGTGTTTCTTCTTCGGCGGCTCTCACAAAGCCAGGCAAAGCTGAAGACGCCGGCAAAGTGCACATGTTGACCCATTTCTTTGTGGGTATTTGGTTGGATCTTTGGACTTTAGCTTTTTGGGAAAACCATGTGTGATTTTCCATGCAGCGAAGATTTGATCATGACACCATGTGTGCAACGGTCATTTCGACCGGTTCCTTTTCTTGGGGTTTGTGATGTTCATCCAGCTGGTAAGGATCCTTTATCAATGACCGTGATAAACGATTCCTTCTGCGGCGACCATGGCTATAAGGCCATATAAAAGTCTTTACCATGGCACTCATGTGGGACGCTGGGTTTTAGGGTCACTTGCTGTGATGGTCCTTCGGATGGGAATCCCAGGGTTGCATCGCAGATTTTTTTTTTTTGAACCATGAACACTCAGTCAGCAAAAGCGAAAGGAATCCCACCGCTAAGGGGCCAGACCCTGAACCTTCCGTCTAACAAAGAAGAACTTTGCTGGCTCCTCGGAGTTCCTTCTCCATGTTATTCGTTCTAAGTGGGGGGGTTGCTAAGGGCTCAACATGTGCAAAAGGCTTGCCTTCCACATTTGTTTCCCAAGGACGGGTTAGCGAACAGACCCCCTTTTTTCCGGACGAACTCTCTTTGGATAAGTAGGGGCCTGTGCACTATGCCTGTTTGGTTGAGGGTGTGCACCCTTAGGCACTTTTGCGCCCGTGTGGTGGTGCAGCTGATAAACACCTGCTCCAAAACGCTCCCTGCACCCTGAGGCCCCCTCTTGTTGTTTGAATCATCCGTAGGTTTCAAATTGCAACCAATCAAGCAAAACTGGTAGGTAATGTTGTCCCCATATTAGCCAACCCCGGTTTATCACTAGGGGGGTGTTCCCCTCCCAAAGTGATGATTGCCCACATTTCACCCGGAGTAGGTGACGCCCCCTCAAGCAAAAGGCAGATGTGCCTGATGTTTGTCACCCCGGCGTTTGTGGAGATCCGGCCCTTTCTTGTCACAGCCCTGCGGATACGGACATCGCAAGGGCATGGTTTGTTCATCCTGACTCCAAGCTTTCTGGGGGTTTACTGGGTCATATCCACATGTCAGACCCCTTTTTGGATTTAATGGGCAAGCTTTCTCTGGGGGTTTACCCTAGATATCCCCATTTCAGGCCCCATTTTGTTGGGTTTCATGGTTTGGCCGGGTGTATCAACCCTGACGTCTCGGATGATTCGCCTCGGTAGTCTTACGGCCACCACCACCACGGTGATTTGGCGCCTGCACCGGGATGCCGTGCAAGCGCCGGAGACCGCGGCCTTGACGGACGGGGCGAAAGGGCCTTTTTCCGCTTCAACTCGTGGAAGAAATCGGGTGGGGGTGGGGGGGGAAATGGGGTTTTATATGTTTCATTCTTTTTGACGGGGGCGGAAATCAAGGGAGTTAATGGGGTTTTGTTCTTTTTTGACGGGGGCGTCACGTGTTTGTTTTCTTCTTTTTCTGTTAAACAAATCGGGGGTTTGCTGCGGGCCCCGGCGGCTCGAGTTTTGCCGTTTTGCCAAAAAATGGTCAGGGGTGCATGGAGTTCGTCATACTTTTGTGAGCAGGGTTTGCTACCAGGCTGTGCTATCTCTCAGTTCCCCCCGAGCGACACGAGGTAAAATTCAGCACCGGAGTTGCCAACGGTGCCTGAAACTCCAATCGTTTCAACATGGTCCTTTTAGTCTCCCGCCGTCGGTGTGTGTTCAGGGCGGTTCCCACCCCCGCGCTTCCAACCAAATGTTTGGACCAGCATTGTTCAGGGGTCCCTCGATCTCCCTTTTTCGGACCTCCAAAAGTGGCGGTTTCAATGAAAACCACCAGCAACATCGACCCCTGCTGTTTACAAGTTTTACCATCCAAATTGGTAGCCATGGTTTCTGGCGGGTTGAACAGGGCCTATGGTTGCAGGTTCCTTTTGGCTTTCCCTCGGCCAATGGTTGTTGAACCAACCCGTGCCAGACCTCTCTAGAACTTTGCTTGGATTTAACTCGTCGCATTTGTTTTGCCCGTTTTGAAGGGAGTTTCGTGTTGGTGATTCAAGTTTGACATGTACGGAGCCTTGTTGCATTTGAGGTTGCGTGTTTCTTGAGGCTTGGCATCCTTTATGGCGGAAGCCAAAAGGACAACGCCTCGCATATGTTGTTTCCTTTTGTATTTCCCCACCGGTGGGATTTCAGCACTCTTGCTGTTACATACCTTTGCAGTTTCCAAACTGGAAGCTTTGTTGTGGGTAGATGCCCTGATTGCAGGACATGTACAGCAAAAAAATGCAAGCTCGTCAGGCCATGCGTTTGAGCAGGTCAGAATGGCATAGGCGTTTGGCCGTCTTTGTGTAACAGTTTCCGGGTGATTTTGCACGCCAGGTGTGTTTTAGAGGGCAACTTAGTCTTAAGCGCCTTGATGTTTTTTTGTTTTTCCTGACTTCTGTTGTTGTGCAGTGTCTTTTTTTGTTCCTTTGGTTTTTGTCAATGTATGTTTTCCCAGGTTGATATTCGTTTGTCGCCGGGGCTTGAACCACAGGTTCAAGTCCGGTGGGGTTTCTCTCAACCAGCCCTGGTGAACAAACCGCAGCTGCATTTCTCACTTGTACAAGACGAATCGACCAAATCTGACCTTTCAGATGTTGAGTCAACGTCCCAAAAGGCTAAACTGGGAGCCTGGGAATAAGGTCCTTGGAACAAGTTATGCGAAGCAGCATTCAGAGGCTGAATGCGTGAGCCCATGCAGCCACAGAAGGGGCCCAACACGGCCAAAGGTTCATGTGTTTATTTCTGAGGCGTTCAAAGGCGGGAAACCAATAAGAAACCCATGGTCAGAGGGAAGCAATCGATCGCGAGGACAGCGTGGTGGAGCTGCGGCAGAGCATCCAGAGCAAGTTGCGGTCCAACCTCCGCAACATGAAGACCTGGCGCAGGCGCTTCGCGTGCGAGCGCGTGCGCGATACGAGGGCCCTCCTGTCCTCTACGGAAAGATGGTCCCACCCCCAAATCACGACCCCAAAGAAGATGAGCCACATCAAAACCTGGGTAGATGAAGGTTAGTAAGGGATGCTCCCAGCCAGAAACAGCTGCAGCCGCTTCTTAATTCTTTCCATGGTTCTAGACCATTTGAATACTGGGTTTTGATTGTGACTCAAATGGGGCTCGGCTACACCACCACTACGTGGCCCAGATGAAAAGGATGTACGTCCATTTCTTTCGTAGAAATGCCCTTAGACGCTTTGCAGGTTGGAAACCACAGAACTAAAGAGTATCTCTTGGAAGACCGCCTCCTTTTGGCTTTCCAAGGATGTCGGCCCGGGATAAATCAGCTTGGTGGAGTATTGGGGGGAGGGGGGTTGTTTTTGATTGTGCTGGGCCAGTCAGCATGCCAACCTGAAGACTTTTGCCAGATTTCATTGGCAGCTTTTGGCATCCTTTGGCATCTTTTGGCCACTTTGCATGAATTTGGATTGTGCAAATTGCGCATGTTCGACATTTTAATCAGCAAGTTAGGCCTTTGGGGGTCGAAGTCTGGCCAGGTGTCTCCAAAGCCAGGTAATCCCCGCAAGCTTCTCCGCGCTCTTGGGAAGTCCCGCTGGTCTATGGATCTCACGCCTCGAGCCAATTTTCATGGGGGCTGGGGGGGAGGGAGGGGGGGGGGAGGGAGCCTAAACAAGCCCGAAATAAGGCCTTATCAAGGTAAGGGCATATTTGGGCTCCCTCCCCCCTCTGCTCCCTCCCCAGCCCCCATGAAATTTTAGAGACATGAACCAAAAAACCAGGACCCGCTTCAAACATTGGAGAAACACACCAGTGAAATTTGGGGAAGGCAACCTACGTATTTTGCATCTCGATTCGGCAGGTGATGCTTGTATGTCTTTCAGGGTACCTTTTTCGGGGTACCTCTATCAGGATACCTCTTTCAGGATACCTCTTTCAGATTGGTTCGAAGGGAAAGCAGAGCATTTTGAAAGACATAAGAGCATACCACTTGTCAAGCAACAAAAGTGTCGCAAACATAATACTCATTGATGTAAGGGGAGAAAAATGCTAGTGGCTTTCTCTTACAACCATGATTAGAGGTGGCTTTAAATTACCCCACAAGGCTATTTAGGCCCTTACCCTGTCTAATTGGGCTGGCCAACAATCACCTTCAACAGCATCAGGGGCCCCAAGAAAAAGCAGGTCTTTTTGGATGTATCCTTTGGGGAACCCGGTTCCCATGATCGTCAGGCCCCGCAAAGAAGAAACACCCCCACCAAGCAAAAAGAAGAAACAGAGACAAAAGCGCATGCAAAAGGAACCCTGCAGTCCCAATCGCGTTTGGGATTGGGGAATCGGCCCCTTGGTTGGCCCTTAGCCATAGGATGCTCTTCTCACTGGTGGTGTAATCAAGCGGCCGCCCATCATAGGGTAGAATTCCTTTTCAAGGCGGGCTGCTTGATATAGTGAAATGACAGGATCTTGCCTCAGATGTGGCCGCAGGTTCAACTCAGAGGTCTTAGAGCTGCTTTGTGACAACATCTTTCTGCGCACCTACTTGCCCAACCAGACGATTTTCAGCGATGGACAGGGCAAAACTTGGGTTGTGCACAGGGCTGATGAAAGAAAACTACTGGAAGCCGTGTTTTTTCAATTTGCCGCCAAAAAGCTTGAATGCTGTCGACCTTAGGTGCCTTCTTTGGTGCCCCCTTGAAAAAGCGGGTTCCGAAAAGGGCGGCGCCGAAAGCCCTCAAAAAGATGACCATGCGTTTTGGTTTTCCCATGGATTTTGGATCCCATTAGTTGGGTTTCCTTTTGGTTTCCTTTCAAAAGATGCCCCCAAAAACGGCCGGTGGGCCATCGGTTGGTTCTTGCCTGGCCCCTTTGGAGGTTTGGACGTATGGCCCCTTATCTCACAACTGGCTTGCCATTGGGTAACGGATCTTTGCCGAGGCTTTCCATTGGATTCCCTGCAGAAACCCAACCCAAGGGTTTCAGACTACTGCTTGGCTTGAATTCCATTGGGTTTTCCAGATTTATCTCAGTTAAATCCACTTCTTGCAGAGGGGTCATTGCAGCAAAGGCTTTCCATTGGATCAAGCCAAGGCGCCGCAAAAGATGACCTTACCGCTCGGAAACAATCGAACTTCAGGGTTCTAAATAGAATGCTTGGATGCAGCGGAAGGAAGATAACTCAGGAACCCACGACCTCTCTCCTCAGCCCTCACCAATATAATGGTTGCATCTGGGGCTGAGTTAAGATGTCTTGAGTTACCTTCTTCCGGCTTAGAGACCAGTCCAAGCGCTGCATTCATCCACATCTCTCTCCTGTCTGTGTTTGATGGATTCATATCTTCATTCCAGCAAACACACAGGAAATAGAGAGATGACACACACTTCCTCCCTTCCCTATCCACTGTTGATGATTGATAGGCTTGGAAGTGGATAGGTGGGAAGGGATGAAGAGGTGTGAGATGGTGGCTGCCTCCGGTCTAATACTTGTGTTTGGAGGATTTGTGATTACAGCCGTCTATTTCCTATGTCCCGGAGGCACGAGTGAATGGGATAGCTTTCTTGTTGGTCATGTCATCCCTTTTCCCTTGGTCACCTCTCCATCCTCTCCCATCTGGTCGCGTCTGTTGGAGATGAACGGGAGGGATTTCCTGTAGACCAACCTTCATCTCCCATCATATCTTTTTCTTAGAATTATCTGTCCCTCAAGAATTCTTGGTTTTAGACGGTTATCTGTAAGCCGCTCACATCCATTCGCTATTCCCTTTCCCTGTCAGTTGGTCGCTTCCTTCGGTCTCTCTTTCCCAACCTCAACCACCGGCTGGACAGGGAAAGCCGGGAGAAAGAGACTTAATTTCCAAGCTTCTAAAGTTTACAATAAATAATAAAAGCATTATAATGTTAGTAAAGATAATGTGATTGAAGATTCATGAGTTTACAGTAAACCGTCAATGATAGAAGAATTCTGAAAAGACCACCAACTGTAAAATCCTTGACGAAGGGAAAGGACATTCTCTTTTTAGTAGCTCCTCCCGCCACAAAGAGAAGGCGGGTGAAGAGGAGAAAAGGAAAGGTTAACCGCTATGACGAAGAGATGAGGAATGAAGCGGTGTAATGACTGTGCTTTGAGAAGTAGAGTAAGTCTAGCTAGTTGCTTGTGTGTGCCTGGAATGTGCGTACAATACAATGTTATTTGTATCGGTGGACTTTACCTCACTCCATGTTCACAGCTGAATGTGGGGGATGTTTGTCGGGTTTGCAAAATCAAATTAATCCAAAGCACCCTGCATACTTGTGATGTATACATCCATATTAATTACCACTACGCATACAATTGGAACGCATTAACTTGAAACGTTTGTTTTTGCTTGCTTTGACATTTCTTCCCACGGAAGGCCATATTCTGCAAATCCCAAGTGGCTACAATTAGACGCAGGTGTGCCTTTTGCTTTGGGCCCATTGCCATGGCCAACACCTGGGGAATGGTGAGGATTTGCTTTTGGGTTCATTGGTCCAAGGGTTATGTGAAAGGGGTATGTACAAGCACCCCTGGAATGATCATAGTTTGTTTTTTACCAGACGATCGTGTAATCTGTGTTATGTGCAGTGTTATGTTCGCTTCAAAATAGCCAGTTCTTCAGTTTTGGAACCTACCTGGCAGGTTTCATCATTTTTTCTCAATGAATTCACGCTTTTTCAGGGTTACGATTTACAACTGCCACGTTCGCCTCACATTGGTAGCTGTTCCCTCTCCCCCCAAGCCACCATTTTTGGGGGTCCAAATCCCCCACGTTCAATACCCCACTAACATTTTGAGGAAGTTGATCTTCCAGCTATAGGTGCCATGCTGCTAGTGAGAAAAAGGCACTGCGTGTCGCCCCCCAAACCAGTCCAAATCCGTTTTGAGCTCCTTAGCCTCTCCACTAACCTGGCACTGCAGGAGCTATGCTAGTGCGTTCCCCTAATACTAAACCCCCTCCGTAATATATATACAAATACATATATATATATATATATTCGTTTGTGGTACAGCTACACTTCTCGTTCAAATGGTGTCCCCCTCTCCAGTTGTTTGGGAGTTGTGCTGGTTTCGAATTGATTTAAGCTTAGTTTTGGTTTAGTATTGGTCTGGTATTTCTGCCCGTTGCCGTTTCGAATTCGTTTGGGGACCCCGCAAAAAAAACGGTTGGTTTCCTTTTGGTTTGCATGTAAAACCAACCAAAAGGTGGTTCCCCCAAAAGAAATGCGCCAGGAGACTTGGGGGAGTGTATCTTCATTTTGATGCGTGGTCGCGCGGAGGCAGGCGGCAGGATCGATCCAACACGTCCACCAGGGTTGGGCAAAAAGAGATACAACCCGACCCGCAGCTACTTTGAAGGGACACTTCGCAGTTCTTGGCAGGGTTGTTTGCCTTCAAGTTTGTTGTTTGTACTCATGGTTGGGCTGCAAGCAACTTTTGCCAAGGATTGAATGCGGCTGATATCACATGGGGTTGTCCTGATGTTGAGAGATGCATTTGGCACGTGCGGCTTGGGTTTAGGTAACCTTGTCTTATTGGATTGGATTGGTGGTTCGGGTGGCGGTTGAGGCTCAAAGCAAGAATCGGCAAGAATGGCCACCTCCAAACCACCAACTCAAGCAGACCCAAGGACCCTGAAAAGGGTGTCTCCGGCTTGGGAAACATCTATCACAAACTTCCGGTTGATTAATGTGATGCTTCATTCGCAGTCCCAAGTGCAGCATCGCCTCGTGACTATGAAGGGAGCCACCCAGTTTCATGTTGTCACACGATGACAAAAAGAGTTACTGCACGCCAATACTTCTAGAAGGGTGCCCTCAAGGTTTGTCACCCTTTTTTCGGCACCCACCCTTCTCCACCTCTTCCAAAATTCAATTCCGGCTAAAGAATTCCACGTTGCCCTGCCACATAGAAAACAGGGCCAGAAAGCCATATTCACTGTTCTGGGCATGTACTTGCGGTTTCGGTTTTTCGTTCTGTTCATTTTGAGTGGCTGGCTGCACAGAATAACGTGCTTTGCTCACATGCCAAGGGTTGGAAAGACATATTTATATCTTGCGGCACTTGTCCTTTTGGGTCCGTGCCAACTAGGCATGCGGACCCCAAACATATGGTTTCCGGTTGGTTTCCCTGTAAACCAAGATGAAAAGGGTGGCCTCGAAAAGAGAGACATGCTCTCCTCGGCCAGAAACAGGCAAAGGAGAAGACCGAGCCTGGGGCCGCACAGTACCACTTGTGTCCTGTACCATTTGGTTGGCTCAGTGGTTCAATTCCGACCTTTTAACCTGTTGGTTTTCCCTTTTCAGCCCACTTTGGGTTTGAAGGTCCCAAAAGGTCAACCTTTTATGTCCAGGTGCTTTGGGCAAGTGAGAGAAGGATCAGTCACAAGGTCGCAACCGCCACAAAGGGCCATCCTAGTGATGCCAGGTGCGTCCACGCAACCAACGGAGGCTATCCGTCCCGGGTTTTTACTAGGCATCGAAACTCACAGAAGAGACGGCAACAGAAACCTCCTCGCCTCTTGATTGTTCTGATGGCTTCTTCCCCGCAGGTTTCGTCGCACGGGGACGACAAGGTGAGCTATTTAGAGGAGCTGCGGGGATCCTGCAAAGCAATCAGTTGCGCATTCCGAGCATTTGGGTGTGTGCTTCTTGGTCGGCCCCCCCTTTGAAAAACAAGCGAGGGCTTTACCTAAGAACCCAGGGGTTTGCCGGAGAAGCCCCGTTTCTCGCATGCTTCTGTCAGGGGCCCGCTCCCATTTTTCACCCCTTTGCTCACTCCACGCGGAGGAGGGCACCACTTTTGGGGAGATGGTGCTCTTTGGTCAGCCCAACCGCACCACCACGGTGAAGGCGAGGCTAGTCGTGGAGTTTGAACTTCTCGTCGTCGTCGTTGGTTTTGCTGGGGGAAAAGGGGAAGAGGAAGGGACAGCCTCCCCCGTTCACTTGACGATTCTTGGCAGTTGCTTCGTTTTTGTTGCGGAAAACAAGGGATGTTCTCCTTCTGTTCAGGTGAGTGGTGCTGTCCAGTTGCTTTCGATATTTACATTCAGACTCCCTTTGGAGTTGGCCCCTTGTCCCAAGAAACACACCGCCGCCCTCGCCGCCCTTTGCACAGCGGGTTGCAACCACTAGAGTTGTTGGCAAACCAAGCTGCCCCTTTAGAACAGAACCAAACATCACACAAATTGAAGCAAATGCAACTTGTTGTCTGGAAACAAGCTGAAGATATTTATATTTGCGAATTTTGTCGAGACCCCGGTTCAGCACCCAGCAAAGTGTGAACAACAGACATGGAACCAGAAGGAGACCCTGCAGCAAGCCCAGTTTCCTCTAGTTTTGTTTTTTTTAGGTTCGATGTCGCGAGAGGGGGGTGGCCTCACGAGTTAGCACCTTTGCACCATGGGTTGTGGAGGTGAGGTGAGAAATGCAACTTATGTACGGGGATGTCTTCTCGTTGCGGGCTTGTGTATGTTGCCGGCGGGCATCCACACAGTATCCACACCTCCCAAACCCATCGGTGCCCTTGGTGGGCTTTATCATGGCCTAGGCCTGAGCAGATGGTTTTTGTTTAATTAGCTGGCGAGTCAGCTCAACAGGTCACGGGAGGCAATTGGTGTGCGGTCCGGCGTTGTTTGGTTGCGTTAAGGTGTCTTGTTGCTATGTTTTTCGAGAGAGGGGCCGTTTGGGGCAGATCCTTGTTGCTTGCTTCGTTGGTGTTCTTGCCTTTGTTGCCTTGGATAATGGAGTAATACTTGTTTAAAACTGCTTTGAAAGGATTTGTCCGGAGGCTTCCGGACTGGTCAATTTTTTACGCCTCAGCCGTGCGGTCATGCCCATGATTGCCTCGGACTTGCCGCGGCCCCATTTGCAAGGCTTGCTCTGAAAGCAATAACCCTGAAATTGGTAATGGGAACTGAACTCGGTAAAGCAAAGCCATTGCCGAAGGGGGTCCTTTTGTTTCAATCCCTTTTCCATTCAACTTCTTTGTTTTCCCGCGATCTTGTATGGGAACTGCCAAAACTGTCAACGGCAGGCCGTATCACAGATCAATGGATGTTGTTTTGTTTGCTGACGAATGTTGACCTCGGATTTTTATAAAGCCGTCCTATGAGGGGGGCTGTTCCGTCCAATCCCCGCAGGAAAAGGGACAGCCCCCTATTATTCAACGAAGAGTCTATCAATCTGTGGTCGACGTTAATTTTTTCGAGACTGAACTTTCAAACGCAGCTGGCGATTGGCGGGTCTTAGAGGAGTCACTCTTCCTTTGTGGAGGTTTTCTGATCCACGTCTATCACTGGAAAAAGGGTAATCTTTGATGAGTTGTGCATGTTGGTAATCTTTCATTAGCGATGGCTGGAACAAAAGCGAAAGATGAATGACTGAACAGGCAGGTGCATGCGAACTCTTGATTAATGGCAGTTCGTTCAGGCGGAGAGCCTTTGCATCATCAACGTGGTGCACAAGGAGCCGCCAGAGAAGAGAACAGGTTTGGGTGCGCCTTGATTGGTGGTTTGGATTGGTGGAGTTTGCAGCCCAAATCCTTTTTCACACCAAATAGGGGAAAATGCCCCGCAAGGTCCAACCCAAACCACCAAACCATCAACCCACCAAACCAAACCACCAAGTAATACGGATGTTGATTCATTGACTTGGCATCCACGGTCGCCTTGGGCCGCTATTTTCGCTTTTGCACGGGCTCGGAGGTAAGGCCTTTCAACGGAAACCAACTTGATGTTGCTAGTAGACCAAGCTTACTCAACCCCAAGACCAGGGCAAATTACTGCAAATCAGAGATTTAGAAAGGGCCGACCCATGAGTTTCACCGAACATCGTGGGCATCCACCCGTGCCGTCCGAGGACTTAGTGAGCTACGCGCTGCGGCTTGCCCCAAAGGCTTTGGCCTCTGGCAGCGTCAAGGCACGGTTGGCTCCAGGGACAGCTCCCCAAAGGCCCCCAAGGCCTAATGTTAACCCCGGATCTAAGTAGAACCCCTGGTTGATTTTGATCGGGGGGTGTCCCCTTTTAGTGGTTGGATTCAGACTGTTGGAGGGAACACGTCCCTAATAATGGGTCCCTAGTAATGGGACGGGTTTATTAATCCTGGGTCAACATTATGCACCATGGACACTTACATCGATGTCCCTGATGTCCCACTGTTTCCAATGCCATTCTTCTTTTGGCCCCCCAAGGAGAAGTTGGACTCCGAAAAACTTACTTGTGCAAAGCGATCAACATGTTCAGCTGTTAGTTTCCCCTTTTCGGTCCATTTTTATTTAGTCATGGCCCCCCAACGGTTCATATTTTACGTCTGAGTCCTTTGTGCCCTTTGCATGTTTCGCAGCTGATCTCGCAAGATGCGGGCAGTGACCTTTTGGTAGGGAAGGCTTGGACCCTTGTGACTATCTTGGAATGCTGAGTCCTTTGGGCAAGTGGGAAAAGGAATTGCACCCAAAAGCCAACAAAGCTGTGAAGCCTTAGTCGCAAAAACCCATTGGAATGGATATCGATGGGGCAAGATGAGCAAAAGCCATCGTGGGGTTTTGGAGGTTCCTGCAAACAGGTGAGACTATTGTACTTGGTGGCTCCCAGTCATCCGGTTCCTTAGCTTTTTAGCCTTTTAGTGTTTAGTGGGGATGTCCACTTAACCCGCTAAAAGTCAAACTTTTAGCGGGGGATCCGAGGACAGCCCAGTGTAGAATTTGCAGATGATTGGCATTGCCAGGCTCCAGAGAAGGTCGCACTTAGTTCCAGGATGGGGATGCGGTTGCACATTGGGGCAGCACTCCAGCATGATGTGGTTTCCCAAAAACATAGGTTGACTGCTGAATATAGGGGTTAACTTTCGTTGCCGGGCTTGGCTTGCTTCCCCCAACCCCTTTTGCCAAGTTGCTCTTTTTCTCTTTTGCCCTTTTGCTTCACCACAAAGCCCCCATAGTCTTAAGGGCCTACCTTGTCGATTTCGGGCTCCATGTTATAGGACCTTCCAGATTCAGCCGCCCGCCCCTCTCCCTTGCCCGGTTGGCGCCTCAACGCGTCAGGCGGAGCCGTCCCGCGTGCAGGGCACCGAGGACCGCGCGCTGCGGGGCTACGGCCACTACGACCGCTTCGGCCGCACCACTTCGGGCACCGAGCGGCGCGGCCACGAGGCGAAACCGGCGCGAAGGGTCGGTTTGTTCGGGGGGGGGGGGGTGTCCCAGGTTTCTCAAGAATTGGGTTACCCGTCAGGTTGGTGGTGTGGATCGTCTCTTTTGGATTCAGATTTGAAGCCCTAGCTTGAGAGGGTAAATGGAAAACCCCTCCTTAGCCACCAAACCACCGATTAGAGAGAAGCTGGTTTACAGAGATCTAACATGTTGCGAAAGGAGTTCCCTTTTGTAATTCATAGCTTTTCAATGGGGATGCTCAGGTATGCTCCATTTTGAACAGCCGGGTAACTAAGGTCACCCTTTCAAACACCAAAAGGACATTGAGCAGCGCTTTTTCTCAGATGGATTTTAGCTTCGCGGGGAACTCCCAAAGGTCCGCGAAGCCACTTCGCGAAGCCCGGCAGCAGTCACACAGGCGAAGCCACTTTGCGAAGCCGCTTCGTGGTTGGAGTGTGTTATGTGCGATCATGGCAAGTGTGTGTGCTTTCATGGCAGTAGCATGCCAAAGGTTGATGTTTAGAGTCAGAAGGCTACGACAAGACTACAGGAAGATTACAGGAAGACGACCGGAAGAGCACTGTGCGTTTCAGGCCCGGTTTTGCGAGAAACGATGGAACGTTTTCGCGAAGCCTCCGCGAAGCCCCCGCGAAGCCTCCGCGAAGCCACCGCGGTCCAACTTCCACGCTCCGCCCCTTTGGGCCCAGCCATGTCCCCTAGTCCTGAAGCCCCATTTTTTTACCGCCTTCATCGCCCCCTTTCGCATGGACTTAACATAGTTCAACTGCATGAGAGCGCAAATGTCAGAGATGTTTGTGAAACAAGCATCCGCGAAGCCCGGCGAAGCCACTCCGCGAAGCCACAGTCTTGCCGCGAAGCCTCGCGAAGCCAACCCTTCCACGAAATCTGGCCCCGCGAAGCCCGCCGCGTAGCCTCCCAGCAGTGTACAAGCCCTGAACCTCTAAAAAAAACAATGCCCAATTGGGATCCATTGGGTTTCTCACTATGAACACTTTGTGGAACGACCAGCTCAGAAAACTGGTGAACAATAACTTAGACTGCAGGCTTTGGCCTGATCAGAAAGTGAGCTGTCTTTTTCTTTCTTTCTTTCTTTCTTTCTTTCTTTCTTTCTTTCTTTCTTTTGTTTTCTCTGTTTTTTTTTGTGGGTGGGGTTGCTTTACAATCACCTACCTAGAGTCTCCATGTCCCTTAACAAATGGGGAAAATGGGGGCACGACCCCTTGATTTTGTGTAATGACCCCATTTGTGAAGGGGACTCCAGGTACCAAGTGTGTTTCCTCATTTTTCCCAAAGGTCTTGGCTTGATCCCAAATTGGCGCCAACTTACAGCCTCTGGGGTGCTCGGGGAGTGGGGGCTTGAATCCTGGTGCAAATTATAGCAGAGCTCAATGATTCGGGGGACGAGCTTGCCGCATAATGATGGTTTCTTGCATAGGTATTCGCCCTCCAGCCGTCATGTTTGTTGGGGAAGACGTTTCTCTTGGGGGCCCCTGTGCACTTCCATGCTTGTTGAAAGAGGTTCCTCCTTCTTTCCAGTTGTTCAATTGTACAAATTCATCCAGGGATCCACCATCCAAACCTGGGTGCAAGAAGGTTAGGGGATGGTCCCAAGCATACAGTTGATAGGTGTCTCTTTCTTTGGGGGAACGCCCTGTTCGAATGCGTTTCGATCAGGAAATGCAGTTGCAGCCGTCGAAAACGAAAGGGAAACCACGGTTGATTTTGTTTTGTTTGTGCGCATGTTTGATTCTTCAGGAGGTTGGGTGGACTCCCTTCCCCTTACTCCTGAAGAATCCATTGTTTTGCGGCATGGCTTCTGGGTAGGCCCCCACTCCACGCTTAAGCAGGCCACGTAGTTGTCGCTCAAAAGGGCCCCTTTTTCTGATTGGGGAGGTTGTGAATCGGGGCGCCACCTAACCCATACTGTTTAGCAGACTGTCCCAAAAGGAAGCCTTACAACAGGCCGGATGTTCTGTGATTTTCAAGGCCCAAGGTGTGGAACCCTTTTGTGCGAATGACCGCAGGAAGAGCCGATGGCACGCACAAGCGCGAGTGAAGCTTCGTCGCAATTTCAGCGCCGCCCTTTTTTCTGCAATCCGTACCTCAAACTGACCCTTTGGTTTCCTCATTTTGTCTTTTCTGGTCAAGGTTCCAAAGGGTTAGCCTTTTATTCCAGCCCTCTTGGGCAAGTGAGCCACGTTTCTGAGCAAATAATATCGAGCTCCTCACCGGGTGAAGAAAGCTCATTCAGGACGAAGGCTGCTTCGGGCAATTCCTCTCCAGATGAAGCCACAATTTGCCCAGACAATTTGCAGTTTGTAAGTGTATATCCTTCCGGGGTGGCGTTAGGGGACACATGCAGAACCCTGCTCTTCTCTTTTCAAGCTTGTAAGGGGACTGCAGGATTGAGAACCTCGCCCAGTTTAGATGAAGCGCCACTTCCTTATTTATGGGCAGGCTGCAAGCCAAGCTTGAAGGAAGCCTACCTGGCCACTCAAACTAGCTAGGCTGAAGGGAGCAAACGAGCAGGGGATGACCACTTACGCACTTACCAACGAGCAAACGAGCACAACAGAGGTTTCCAATCGCCAGCCGGTTGCCGATGTGACGTGAGTTTGCTCTTGGGCTGATTTCCCGACATCCTTGAACTTTATATACTTTCCGGGCAGACAAACATTATGTGGCAACCAAGAAGCTTAAACTGGAATCAGCAAATCCATGCCAGTGAGTGGGGGGTCTTAAAAGGGGGGATGCAGTTTGTCAACGGTTGTGACTTTGTGCACAGGAGGGTTCTGCATAGTTTTGCAGGCCTACCATCATATTGACAGGGTACCAGTACCCTGTTCACTTCCGGTGACAAAAGGGTACATAACAAGCCCTGCCAGCAAGCAAGGATAAGGGATGTCAAGCAGATGCTCAGCAAAGGTAGATCAAGAGCATGGCCATGCGCCCGTTGCCATTACGAATTCCACCCAGCACTCGGCACTTTGCCTGACCCGAGGTGAATTTGTCACATGCTAGCTTTTTTGGATGTTAAGCATCCATTGAATAAATATGCTACCATCCAAGGCATTCCTTCTGAACCTTTTCTGGTTGACTGCTGAGATCCGATTTGTGGGATAGCAATGGGATGTCCTTTAAAACTGACAAAGGAGTCATGGAGATGGCCCACTTTAGCACTTTGCAAGGGGAGCCAAAATGAGGTTGCTAAAGCAATCGTGGTCCAAATATGTGTCACTTCAACGGGCTTTCAACCCTATTCCTAACCACCCAACCCCCCCCCACCCCGAACCCCACACCCCCCCACCCACCCCAAACCCCAAGACCCAGGACCGGCGCCATCGCGGTGCCCGGAAGTGCCTCTTCGACCTCTCGGTGCCGCGGCTGCCCCCCGTCCAGGCGCAGCTGTACCAGGCGAGCGGAGGGGGGGGGGGCGGGTGGGTTGGGGCGGGGGACGGGTGGGTTGGGTGGGGCAGGGGGGGAGGGAGGTGTGGGGGGGGGGGGGGGAAAGGGGCCTTTCGCGGAAGTGCTACGAAGAGGTTTCACATACCCTCCACAAAGTAAAGTGGCCAGATCCCAACTGCCGGTTTTGAAGTGAAAACGGGGGAAGTGGCTGTTGATCGAAAGCTCCAAGAGCCACAGGTCAGTTCTTTGGGCTACCTCAGGTGTCGTACCGGATCTCACCTGTTGGGCTTTCCGGGGGAAGCCCGCGCGGAAAGCAGCGGTTTCGGGGCTTCAAAATATGTTTGGGGCGATTGGTAGGTGTACCCTTTGAGGGACCGGTGTGTTTGAACCCAAAGATGGATCCCATCCCGGAAAAATGCCGCTCAACATGATGATCTGCTTACATGGGTGTCTGATGTTGTTTTGCAGCGGGTACCCTTTTTTTTAGGTTGGTTTAGGCTGTTCAGATTTCTATGAGATGGGACGGGGGGATTTTTAAGGAACCATCAGGAAATTCCACAAGGAGTTAGACGGGTTAGACAGTAGCTCAAGTATTTGGGTGGCAAATCATCGAACTTGGGGCTGGAGGCCACATTGACCTCAGGAATTCAATCATTGAGATCCCAAACCCTATGTCTCCCACCTTCCTATGTGGGTCTTTTTTTTGTTGATGGTGCCCCTTGTTTGGTGGTTTTGAGGAAACCCACCCTTTTGAGCGTCCCCTACAACAGACACACACACATTTTTTAGGGGAAGTTTCCTAATCCCATGGTCTGCTCGGAAGACTTGCCTCACCATCTGCCCCAAAACGCTTTTGCGCGTCCTTGATTTCCCAAGCTTCACAAAGGCCAAGCTCCGGCGTGCGGGACTGAGGCGGCATGTTCAGTTGTGGCTATCCCTGGGCCGGAATCTACAAAGAACATTTGCCGGGGCAAAGAAGCTGAGGTAGGTTACGGCTTGCTCATCCAGCCCGAAAAGAGTGCTTTGAAAAAACAGAGCTCAACAAAGGGAAATCCGCCCTTGTGGGTGGGCCCCTGTTTGTTTGAAGACACGGCCATCTGGTATATCGGTATATTATATCTTGGAGGCTTTTGCCGGGCTCACCTAGGGAGAAAAAGCAGTGCCGGTTGCAACCGGAGACCAGCCCGCATCATCCCCCCAACATAGGAGCTGAGTAGTGCTTCTTGGACGACCATTCTCCTCTTGAAAGGGGCTGCCTGTCAGGTTCCATATTGAGAGAGAGAAAGAGGGGCAGTTGCCCTTGTCCCAAACTAACCCCCCCCCCAACAAAAAAAACACAACATACATAAACGAGTAGATAAGTCCGGTGTTTCCTTTTTGTTTCCCCTTCATCCAACCCCAAACCGCGCACCGAGCCTCAAAAACTACGGCACGCGTCGCCCGTCGCAGGCCCCGGAGACCACGCAGCAGGCGCTGCGCAGCGCCTTCAGCGGCGTGATGCCCCGCCAGGCGTTGGCTCGATGAATCGGCGAAGCGCTCGGGGCGAAGCGCTCGGGGATCCTATCGCCTTGCTGGGTAAGCCTATGATCTTGCATTTGCTTAACGTTTTTGTTGTTGGTTTTTGTTTAATAATATTATTATTATTTCTTTCTTTCCCCTTGTTGGTTTTAAAGGGAATCTATCACTACTGGAAATATTGTTATTGTCCCCGGGGGCCTAGTCCAATGCCCAGCCAGCAAGGACAGAGTCACTTAATTTATTTGCTATTCCGTAGCACGTGATGCTTGATCATAGGTAAACTCAAGCATACTAGGCTAGCAAATCAAAAAATGTAACCTGTCCTCTTTACACAAGGAACCTCGCGTTTACATTGGCCAAGGTGATCTATTGAAACCACAAAAGGGGAAATATAGGGAAGCCTGTGGCCTATACAGACACGGGACGCCTGCACCTTTAGTCCATACATGTGTCCAATACGGTTCAACCGCCCAAACCACAACTCCAAGCCAACTGGGCCTTGCTGGTTCGAGAGGCGGGGAATGAGTTGGAAGGACTCAAACAAGAAAAAACATCCAACCTATGGTTTCCTTTAAGGGGATCCCAAACGGTTCATGTCACACACCCGGAAGGTCATTCCCTGCAGAGCACTAGCAAGAAACTTCTCCTTGCGTGTGCGATATGGTGGGGGATACACTCCTTGTGCGAAATGACTGATGACACTAAGTACTAAGAAGGGAACCCTGAATACCAAGTGGGGCTGGTCCGAAACTCAGCTTCCCACTAGTTTATGGTTTGGATTCTGGAGATTGGTGGTTTGATCATTGGGAGCTTTTCCTGGGGCCGGCGCGACAGCTAGGGAATAACTCTCCGGGTCTGGCGTTGGGAATGAACCGTGTGGGGATTCAACCCCGGGCATGGGCATGGGCATCCCAGCGTGGTTTGTTCAGTCGACTTGGGCTCAAGCGCGAAACTTCTTGTTACATGAAACAACCACTGTTGTTCCGTGGCATCATTGTCCTCTTGCCTTCTCCTGACTCCGGACCATGGGGGGCATAGGTGTCCTTGTTGGTTGTTTTGGTAGAAAAATGGATGGCCCTGGTTTACTGGTAGTTTAATCATCTACCAGGGCCATCTATTGCCCCTAAAAGGACGCCTATGATTGTTTTTTGTTTTGTTTTTAGTATTATTATTATTATTTTTTTTGAGGGGGGGGGTTCACGGCTACAGAGGTTTGCAAAGGCCTGGGTCATGCCAATGGGTCCACTTTAGTGGTAAACAACCAGTTTCGACTTTTGGTTGGCCAATCCAAAGTGAGAAGAGGAAACATCATGTAAAGCTTGGTGGTTTGCCCTTGAAACCAAAGGATGATCAGAGCATTTGTTTTGCTGGTTTCGATTCAGGCGAATCAAATGTCTATCAACCATGTCCAAAGGGGTTCTCTCTGTGACCTCTCCGAGCCCTGCCACTAGACCAGGAGAGGATCTGAGAGCCTATCACTCCATGCAGGTCCCTAACGCATGTCCTGCCAGCCATTTTCACGGATTCTCAGAGATACATTCAGGCCTGGGCGTGTTTTTTTTTGAGGATAGCCCCAGTTGAGTGGCTTTCAAGGGAAACCAAGAGGAGACTTGACGTTTCGTGTTTTTGTGATCTGTTTCTTACCTATTGCAAAGCCATATTTAGCCAGACCTAGATGCCCGTTTACCTTTTCCCGACGGTTGCTGGATTCAGCCAGTTCCACATTTCTAGTCGTTAACGTCCAAAAACACCAGCCCGGAGAACGGCTGCGTGAGGCGAAATTGCAATTGAATCAACGGCTGTGTTTTGGCATGCGCATTGATCGCAACTAAGACCTTGTATGTCACATCTACGTGTGCATATGTATAGTCATTAATTTCTAGAGGTTGTTTTATACAGAGTTACCTATGTAAATAGTTACATACATCCTGATCATACATACATGCCTTGCAGGTGCTATTGGCCTCCTCCAACATGCGCGGGGTCCGCCTTTCTCCGCCTGGGAGCAAAAAACGCCTTGGCCTCGAAGACGCGCTGCCCCACATCGCGCGGGTTCCGCTGGGGCGCGCCACCTACACGGAGCCGTCCGCCTTTGGATTCGGGGGTATACATCGGAGTTCCACCACCTCAAATCACCATCCCTGGGAGTTCTTTGAGGTATACAGCCACTTTCTTTCGCTACTATTTAAAGCTCTGCGGGTAGTGGTGTGGGGGTATTGGACGCCGTCTTAGATTTGTTGGACCCGGCAACCGCCAGTAAATTGATCAACTGTTGATTTGGGGAAATCCAGGTCACGGTTTTTATGCAACTTGTTTTGTATGGATTTAAAGGAAGCCCACATCTTGTTTTGGGCGGCGCCTCTATACAGCGTGTTTCCAACTCAGTACTGCGAGTAAGGGAGCATTCGGAAGACGATTCTCAGATATACCGTAAGTAGCCATGGCTCTGTGGTTGAGTATGGATGGCAGGGCATCCACCGCGTGGTCCCTTTCTATCAACACCCTTCCGCCACGTTTGGACGAGTTTCTAGGGGGAAAAAGGGGAGTCCGGTATGTAATGCTGCACTTCCCCCCCGCGCTAAACTCAGCTGTTAAAACCGGGAGGAACCCGACCTAGCCTTCTGGTTTTCCTTTCTTTTGGTGTAGCATCATCCTGCTTTGCATGGTATAGCCCTCTTCCATAGCAATGAGCTTTTCGATTTGCAGATGAACCACGAAAGCACGAGGTTTGGACCGAAGCATTGCGAACTCGCGGTGTGCTTCCTCGTTTTCTATTTGAGCGCTGGGACGCCAATATCTGTGTCTCCTGCCTGTTTTCCCCTTCAAAACGGGCCAACAAAGTGGACCATCCGAACGAAGTCTGGCACTTGAGAGGGCCGCCCCTTCTCACCAACCAAGGACAAGTCCTTTTCCGGCGTGTCTTGGAGGTCGCTTTGAAGGGCCCAACTGATGGTATGGACGCGAAGCTTCGCTGCCCAGTTTCGACTTGTTCGAATGCAGGGCTGCTCCGAGTGAATGGATGACAGCTCCGATCGAACATCATTGTTTTTTTGGGACTCCCCTTCCACACCTTCGCGCTTTGCGCGGGTGGCAGGTAGGTTCTTTCTTTGCTGAGGCTCTTAGGTTTGAACCCTTACCAGTTCGGAGTGAAAAATAATCCCAGTTTCTTTGCGGGGCCAGAACAAACCTGGCAAGGGCGGACTTGTTTTGGCCAATCTGCTTAGGAACTGGCCCTTAGCCACCCACCGAAGTGCCTTTTCATCTATTGAGTCGGAACGTTTTCGCAAGCGACTGCTTCAGGAGCCATTGCCCCCACAGCGGATCACCAAGCGCCTAGAGACGCCGTGGATGGTTCAGGATCGTCGGTTCAGGGGAGCCCTAAGGCCTCCAAATGCTGTGCCTTTTCTGAGGGACCCCCCTTTTTGGTTGGCTTTGAAGAGAAATCACAGGGAAACAACTCATTTTGGGGGTTCCCTCCAAAAACGACAGACCCATTTTGATAAACAAGCAAATATGCAGGCAAATATGCATTCTGTATAATTAGTTCTGTACACACTTGGTATAAAACCGGAAAGGGGATGGTATCTGTGGATTTGCCTTTGAGTCAGAGTCTGCGCAAGCCACCCAAAGACCAGTCAAGCGTCAAGGCTAACTGTCGCACAGAACGCCAATCAATATGGAACCTGCCACGGGGGTCCTGGCAGACCATTTTCCTTTTAAGGGATCATTTCCCTGTCAGGTTCCGGGCTAATTGGTGGGAGGGCATTTCTGCGGGCTTAAAACTCGCGGCAGATTTGGAAGCAAGACTGAAGTCCGTGAGAGGTCGACATCATTCCACGTGTGAAGGTGTTGTTTTGTTGAGGTTTGCAACAGCTGAGGTAGATAGATGTGGACCAGAATCTTAACACATGACATTGTATTTTGTTTCTTAGGGGCAAAGCCTGAGGTGGATAAGCCCGCTCATGCCTGAAAATCAAGGGGTATGGCCACAAAACCGCAATGCGTGATCAGAACTTTCAGACGGTGCGACTTAGTTTGGCTTTGAAACCCCCACAACCCTGTTCTTGATTTGTTTTGATGAGGCCTTTGTGGAAATCATCTCCAACCAGCCAAAGCGTCAGTCACTTAAGATGACCGCCACAAGTCACTTGGACTAAGATAAATTCCAATCGTTGCCTTTCCCGCGGAGTTCCTGTCCAGGACCACCGCTTCGTCATCATGGGGAACCTCCAGGCCACTGTCATGGCTCTTGGGCTGGCTGGCTTGGGGAGGTGGCTAAAACTGGACCCCTCAAAGCGGCTACTGTTTGACTTTTTGAGAGCTGAAACTTCCATTTGTTTGTTTTTTTTCTCTCGCGGGGACCCTCAAAATGGTGGTTTCCCGTTGGTTTCCTCTACCACCAAACACGAGTGTGCCCCCAACAACACGACAAATTCATTTGGATCCCGGTGGCCTCATCTAAAACGCTATTTGATTTTTTTTGGCTCGTCTATGAAGAAGGTTGCTTTTGGTGGGGGTTGACGGCTAGTCCCTGGCTTCATTTCCAAAAGTTCATCACTTTTGGAGGGCCTCCACCGGATGGAAAGTCAAAGGGGTGGGAGCTATGGAATCTCCTGGAAGGTACCGTGCAGTCGTTTCAATTTGGCTTCTTGAGTTCAACTATCACTCGCGCATCATTGCCGACATTATGATACATTCCGAGATATGTCATTTACTCATACGGAACACGCCTCTATCAGTTTGCACAGGCGGATTTTTCATGCCATTTGGTGTCCAAGAATTGGAGATCAGGGGGGACAATGGCTTTCCTTTGGGCATAAAAGCTATCCAAAAGGGCGTTCCTAAGTTTTGAACACACCCGGTTTTGTTGTTCTTGTTTTAGATACGGAGCTCGGACGGATGGTGGCCCTTTTCGGTATCTTGGGTTCACCAACGCAGTTTTCGTTGACATAATGCTGTCCGGATTTGTATGAAACCTGGCAAACTGCGTTGTTCAGTGGAATCCACTTCTGGTGCGGGGGTTGTTTGTTATTCGGCAGGGAGATATCGTAAGGCATTCAACTATGCATATTTGCGATGTCATGCGCTGCTTGCAAACAGGTTCTGCAGGCGCATCAAAACTCGACTTTCGGGTATTGATGGTTGGTGTCTCTTTCTGGGTCGGAGAATGCAGCAAGAACCTGGCGTTTGGACTGCGTCCGTAGGCAAAGGCGTTGTTGCGGCTCTGTTGAAGTCCGGGCTGGTAGGGATGGTCAGCAATGGAGAAGTTGTGGACAACCAATGCATGACCTCAGAAAATATATTACCGTGATCCGCGGAACTAGGGAGGGGATGCTCATTTTTCAGTGGCACCCTTCGAATCCGTTTTTGTTTGGCTTCCTAACTAACAATGGTCAACCATCTGAAAGGGTGTCGGTTCTGTTTATCAAGACTTTTGATTTTTCC